AAATATACATTATCACTACAATATTTGATAGATTTCTAATAAATTTCATATGGTATCCCTCTGTAAACCTTGAAGCAGAAGTGGCCATTTTCTTTTTGACATATGCCATTTAAAAAAGACCAATTGTCATGTGCCAAACAAAAACAAAAGAGAGGAACAAATGTAGAACTCAAAATGTTTTATGTTTATTAAACAAAAGACTTGAAAGGCCAACAAAACTTTACTTCAGAAATGTCAGACAGAAAAATCCAAATCCAGATAAACCAAAAACCACCAGGGAACTAGAAATCTAACAAAAGAAAAAGGCATTGGGTAAAAACACAATAACATATGTTTAACAAGGCATGGCCAGGTATAGACACTATGGACAATGAACCAACAAAGAAAGAGGGGAAGACAGGGACTATATACACATAGGCAAAGAGCCATAGGTGAGACAGACAAGGCACAAGTGAGACTAATGAGTAATCAACAAAGGAAGAAAAACTAATGAAGTAAAGCATGACTTGACATACGGGGACTGACTGATAAAAATTAACCACGAGACCAAAGAGTAAAAAACACAAGAACAACAGGAACATAAGAATATTGAACACAGGAAAACAAAAATAACAGAAAATACAACTTAATTATAAAACAGGGAATAAACTACACTAACAAGATCAGCTGATGCTTAAACTTTCATATAGCATCACTGCCATGCTACTGTTAAAGACCTGTTGACTTTAATTTGCCTTAAATCAAATTGTTGCTTGTCTCTATCCATTTCTTTCTTTGCGCATCTCAGCAGATGGCTGTGGACATGTGTCTGGTTTTGTTAAAGGTTTCTGCCTTTCAAATAGTAGTTTTCCCTCTCCTCTGTGACTTGTTAAATGCTGCCAAGTGTCTCATGTGTCTCATGTACAAAGGACATGTACATGCCAATTACTCTAATGGAATATCCTGCTGCAGAAGATATGTATAAACATTATTCTCACACATGTCTTGTAGCTTTGGCTTGTGTCACTCAAAGGAACAAGTACAGACAAGATACAGGAAGACTGATTGGCATAAAGGTATGCAGAGCAATGCCTATGCCTGTACATCATTTACCTCAGCCCATTTGCAGTGTTATTTTAGCATCAGTTTTGCACCAAAGAAGGAACTGAAGACATGCCGTTCATCGTTATCATTATATAGTTTCAGAGTTCCCATTTAGATAAAAGGACAGGCTATTTATCTGCTATAGCAATTATCTTTCAATATTTCTTTTTTACTTTGAGCGTTTGATTTGGTGGTTCTTATATTTAGGTCAAAAACATGGATGAAACAAAGTAAAATGCTCCAAAGAACTGTCTACTTTTGCTTTGAAATGGCCATTACAGTGTAGAATTTTATCTTTATATCCTGTAGTTCAGAGTGCAATGGTAATATGCTAATATCGGTCCATATGTTAACAAATGCCTGGAATAATCATAATAACACAGTAGGATGGTTGCACCTTTTCATTCAGTTCCATATAACAAGGATTTCAAAGTTACCCTTCTAACCCCATTTGTAGTTTATATTCCTCAACATCTCCCCCGAGTGCAGCCAGAGTTGACCCAGAAATCCTCTTAAATACCACCTGCCCGGTCCCACTGAGATGATTAAATAGGGGTGGCATTCACGACAGAACCCAAGTGTCTTAATTCAACCCAATTACAGGTAGGACTGTATGTATGGAGAGTGTCTGAGGAAATGTCACTGTACAGTTATCGTGGGTAATTACCCTGCTCCAGTGTGACGAGGGGATGGGAAGGGATAAGGCCAGACTGGGGGGGGGGATAAGTTCCCCATCTTATTCTGGAACTTTCCATCATCCTGGAAAGTGTTGTAGAGAGCACATTTCCCCCGCTTAATTGAGAACACTACTTTTACTCCAAATGCCAGTGCTTGACCACAAGGGTTAACTTTTAATCAGTAAGTAATTGCTGACATTTTGAACCAGTGCTTGACTTTTTTGGCTAGATCACACTGAGGGAGTCTGTGTTCTGTGGCACCAGCATGGCAGGAGTTGACACAGAAACCGTCCAAATGAAACGTGAACTTCTGAGTGTCATGTTTCCAGGTGCAAACTGCTCTCCCAGGAAGTCATTAGAGCACTTTTTCATCTGCTCGCTGTCACTTTAAGAACTGAACGGCATATTCTTTATTTTAGGCTGCCTAATTAGAATAAGAACATACTGTTCTTTCCCCTCAAATATGTAAGTGCCACCATGTGGTAGCACTTTATCTGTCAGCCATGTAAAGCAGCTAACAGATGAGTGGATAGTTTAACACTACAGTGGACCTGGTCGTCGTTTCAGATTAGGCTTGTTTGCCTCAGAGGGGAGTTGATATAGCAGAGGGTGTGCAGTCTGGAAACAAGGATCTGCTTCTCGCAGGATGTGGTGGTGATGCATATGGACACAGTGAGCGGAGATGCCTGACACTCATTATGGTTTAGCATTTCACTGCCCCTCATTATTCTAGTCTGAAACTGCATGTCTCTGGAGGGTGTTTGCAGTGCTGGCAGGTGGAGAACTGACGATTTAATTTCACTGATATAATCAACCACAAGAAAAGAAAGAAGAAGGCAGTCGGACAATAGAAATGTTGGTTAAATGATTTCTTTTCTTAGTCAATAAGAAATGTAAACCCCACATGTCCAAAATATGCATGTGCAGCAGTTATATTGGTGTTGTATGCCGATTAAAATACTTCAGTATGCGATGAGCACCAGACAGAGGGGATCCCAGCTTCCACAGAACATCTCACTCACTGCATATGACCTTTGTTTTGAGAGGTGGAAATTCAAACGTTCAGCAGGTTTTAACATCAATTGAAGTTAATTATAAATAAAACTATCTTTGTATGAAGCAAACAGCGAGGTGGCTGTCTAATGTGAGTCTAGGTCCTCCCCAAGGTTTCTGCCTTTTTTCTTGCCACCGTCACTCATGTTAGATGAGATGGGTCAAATCCGTCCCATTTTGAGGTTGGGTCTTAGTAATTCATCAAATAATGAGTGTGGTATAGACCTTCTCTTCTATGGAAAGCATCTTCTTTCCTCATTGCCAAGCCCAGCATTGGTGGACACCTCTGGCCTCCACCAATGCTGGGCTTCAAAATATCTCTCCAGGAACCAACAGGTGAGTATGACCATGGTCATATGGTCTTTTGTCAAAGTTTAACTTAATTATAGATATTTTGGTCCCCCAGCGACACATGTAAAGTGACATTCTGACATATTATTATGCTTGAACAAAAACTACTCCATGTCACAAAAAAAGAAAGAAAAAGGAAAGAAAATTAAAAACATCCTACTGTGGTTTTATGATCTCTTGAAAACCTTTAAAATAAATTAGAAAGTGGTTTTCCAAACTTTACCAAAAATGGTGATGCATTATCTCATCATCTGAGGAAGGTGAGACTCAGTCCTCCCCAACAGATTCTCCATTGTCTCTAACCTGACCAGAGTGCAGCAGCTGGAGTGTCAAATGGGTCCACAAAATCATATCATATTTATTTACCCTGGCCACCCATATCTCTCAAAACAAATTTCAAAAACTTTCAATCAATTTTAAGACCCTTGTCTCAGGAAGTACCTCCTTATATCTCCAAGCTGCTCTTCCTGTATGATGAAACACTCAGCATGGGAACATAAAATCTGTTATCTGGTTCAAAGTCAGACCTGAAATCTAGAGGTGACTGTAATGGTGCCAGAGCCTCCAGACTGTAGAACACCTTAACAGAGCAAATCAGGCTTGTTGAATTTGTGCCCATTTAAAAAAAAAAAAAAGCATCACATTTAGCATCACATGTTTGTATTACCCTCACTAAATTACTCATTAATTTACTTCATTTGCTTTATTGGGTGATGTTCTTCCTGCACCAAGATTGACTTTGGCTTGTTACTGATGCTGTGTCTGTCTGTATTCTTTTATGTACATAAAATAAATGATTTCTTTTTCTTTTTTGAAGAATCGATTGATAAATGAAAAGGTATGGTTGTAAAATCAGCTGAAGTGACTTGAAGATGTAATAACTCAAAGGTTATCATTTTCAGTTGAACCTGTTTATCATTTTTCACCAAACGCTTCGTAATGATTACACTTGGTGGTCATTCGTATATTAAATGATTCTGAGATCAGAATTCAGCACTGTCTTGGGATTGATTGATTAATACTTAAGGCTTGATCAATTCCATCTGCTTCAAAACTTCCGGCTAAATGAACAATAGAGTAGTTGTAAACTGTTTTTGCAAGGAGTTTTGCAAGGAGATGTGGTATCGCGCCTTACAACCCGGTTTCAGCACCACGGACAGCGCCGCGCTGATTAGACGCAGGAGGAGCAGCGAGGGCAAGACGAGGAGAGAAAGAGCGGATGCTGAAACTTTGTGGTGCATTTTACCCTCGTTATTTCCTTGTTCTTTTGTTTATTATAGAAGTCTTGACACAGTGGGACGACTTTCACACGTTTCTGTCTTTGAACCTCACGGTGGCCGTCTGTTCGCTCTCCATACCGCCCCGCCCTCCTCCTCACCCCTCACTCCCCCCTCGGCTCAGACGTCAGCCGCTGGAGAGCGGGCAACGGCGATTTAAATCCGGACCGAGTGGGAAGGTGCCTGTGCGAGAGACAGGAGCGTCTCTGGAAACAGTGAGAGGATGTGCGTTACGAGCTGCCACACGGTGGAGCAAAGACTACCCAAACTTTATCTCTAAATTTTCAAACACCCCCTCCCCCTTAACCGAGACACAAAGTTTGACATCCCCAACAAACAAACTTTTTTCAAACCCTCATTTTTGCACGGTTTGACTTTTTTTTTTATTTACACTTGTCATTTCTTGTGCAGCAACAAGTGCTTCTGGCCACCAGCCACAGCTTGTCTATATGATATTTCTCCATACACAGAAAAAAAAAAACAGATGCCAACGACACATTAGCCGCCGCTCAGTGCACCGTGGCCGCCCAGTGTGCCACCACCGTGACACCGGACTGCGATGATCGTGTCAAACGTGAGCCTGAGCGGCTGCGCGGGGGTCAACAGCGCTCTGTGTGCCGGAGCCGGGGAAGGGCACCTGGGGGGCGGCTCGTACCGAAACACCCTCACCCCGACGGGGAACGTGGTGGTGGCCGTGTGCCTGGGCTTCATCGGCACGTTCGGACTTCTGAACAACCTGCTGGTGCTCGTGCTCTTCTGCCGTTACAAGATGCTGCGGTCTCCCATCAACCTGCTGCTGATTAACATTTCCATCAGCGACCTGCTGGTGTGCGTACTGGGGACTCCGTTCAGCTTCGCGGCCAGCACACAGGGAAGGTGGCTCATTGGAGAAGGAGGCTGCGTGTGGTACGGATTCGCAAACTCGCTCTTTGGTGAGTACAGATGCAAAAAACCGTGAAGCGATCATGTTTGAACTGGTGTTGTTTTTTAAGAAATCTGTGGGACTGAGTATGCTTTTTTTAAGATTTGGTTCACAGTGATGCTGTGTTTGATACACTGGGTTCGTTGAACTAAATGTTCACCAAATGTTAGAGGGATCATTTTGAAAAACTAGGTACATATTTGGCTGTCTCACCCTTCTTGAATGCTGTGATTTGCACTTGTGTCTTTGATTTCATGCAACTCTCATAGAACATCCCTGAAACCCTGCGTAGCACATGCATGTAAAAGACTGGAAAAAAAGGCTTTTGCACCTTGACAATGTGAGACCTTTTAAATTCAGCAGATATGTCATACGCACCGAAAATGTCTTTCTTTTTTTCATCCTTGTGATCTTTTTGTCATGAGAATTTTGGGTTGTAGGCTATCCTGCAGTCTTTTATGCAGAGAGCGTTCCTGGGAAAAGTGCAGGACGTCCAAAAACCATGACATGTACAGAGTAGTAGTAGGCTGGTTCTCGTGCATCTTTACTATCACTATCCCTGAGTATGCCTTCACGTGCAGGTAGAAGCGTTGTGGCCAGGCAATTAGTTGTTAAAAGCAGTCTTTATTGGCTGCATCCCATAACCTCCAAATATGCACACGCATGCATTTCCACGGCATTGGTGTATTTAGTGGAGCATATGTGGTGCTTGGCGCTGCATTCCTGTCTCATTTGTCCAAATGTCATCACAAAACCTGAAACCTGTCACACAGGATGTCAGAGGGTGATTGGAAAGCTGCACGCGCTGGATCTGCTGCATGATGAGCAGCATGCAGCCTGCTATTAAGTGGTCGTTAAACGCCTGTTAGTGTACAGTGTCGTTTCTGCGCCTGAGGCGAGAGGAGCCTCATCACTGTTCGTTTAGCTGCTAAAAGAGCAAGTATGCGCGAGGCTGTGCGCGAGGACACGGTCTCAGGTCCGCGTGCAGGCTGTGGCAGATGCATCACCCGAATTTATGCCAGAGTAAAGTCACCCGTGGGAAATCTGTTCCGTGAAAGTGTAACGCTGGTTTAGCTTTGCTCAAGGGTGCTCATATTGATGCAAATGTGCCACAATGATGCAACTGAGGATAAGGCAGTTACTCACTCACCTGGAACTCAGCCAGGCAGGAGGCTGAGCCAAAAGAAAGCCTAGTGTTCATGCCTCTATAAGCCAGGAGGGCTGTGGAAAAGTTACAAAGAAGGAGTTTTGTTTTAAACTATCAGAGCGCACTGTATCAACTTATCCTGACTGAAGTACCTCATTTTTGTCAAATTCAAGAGCAGGGTTGCTCTTTTGTCATCAGTTGTGACTATGATGTCTGATTTACAGGTCTTAAATGAACAGGCTTTCTTGTCAACAGTCCCACTAATTGCTCTAAAAGCTTTTCAAGCCATCCAAACGACCTTTGAAGACCACACAGCAGCAGTTATTGGGTATGAAAACTCTAATTTCTCTGCACTTTGACATGAACATTGTTAGTCCTCTACTGGTCCTCTCACAGTGTCCAATCAAAGCATAGTTTGAAGAAAACTTGCAGGATTTTGATTCATAACAACCTCTTTGAATACATTTTGGAGAACTTGAGTGCAGAAAATGAGTACAAGGCAATAAGGAGGCATTTTAAGATCCCAAAACACAATTTTCTTTCCATTCTGGCTCAGGAGTCCTCAGAATACCAAACATCATGCTTGACCTGACAATCTAATGTGAGAAACCTCTATCTATATGCATATGAATTTCATTGCATGACAAGTAGATCAATTTGTCAAAATATATACAATAACTGTCACTCCCCTCATCATGTTTAAATAATTGATCATGTTTTCATTACTTTTTCCCATCAATACAACCTCATCAATAAATCATAGCCACTTAAATTCATTCATGGTCAGCTTCTTTTAGAAACAAACTCCCAAAGTTCATTGGTCAGTAGATTCAGAGAATGCAAACACAGTGGAAGACTTTTTATCGGTGGAGAAAAAAAGTGATTTGAAATATTGAGTTTTCTAGAAAATAGACCTCAACCAACCTTCACGCTTGCTTCATAAGGCATGTTGAATGTTCACAGTCCGAGTCTGATAAGGTTTGTAAAACAGCTCATAAATCTTTCAAAAAGAGTCCCCGCTTCTTCACTTCGGTGTATCTAATCTCCTGATGTAGAGTATTCTTAAAGAGATGTTTCTATCAGTATCCTTCCACAATCTGACAAACACTCTGAAAATCAGAGCATCTATTTCTCCTTTGGTGAAAGACTTTTTTTCCTGTTTCTCTATTGGGATATTCATCTGCTCAGCCACCTGCTTGACAGTCACATTAATGTAACACAACAAAAAGGTATAGCCATAAATCATCTGAGACTGAAATGTGGCTGAATTCATGTTATTGTTAATTGTCTGTACCCCTGCGACTCCTGGGACTCTGTATTTGCACACTGTGGATCGAGCAGCCGATGGATTGTGTGACAACAATAGTGTCCTAGACAAAGGCATGTAAATGTACCACCACGACCGACTCATGGGAGGGTTCTTTTGAATTAGCATAACCACCTGCTCAGTATACATTATCCTGTTTATTACCCAGCTACCACCTGAAGAATATACAATATCCATTTAAGGATGAGTCTGTAAACTTTTAAATTACTCATCTATAAAACCTAAAAAATAGTTGCTCTCTAAGGCCACCTTGGGGCTGAATGTTTCAAATCACGATTTGGTTTTTCTATTAAAGCTCTTGTGAGGTGTTTTTTACATCAATGAAACTGTCTGAAATCAACAATAATGTTTTTTTTAATGATTTTCAAACACAAATAAAACCATCAGCAACAACAAAACAACTTGAACATCCTCATTTGGAAATCTTGACACCACTGTGAGGGGGTAGATGCCACCTGAGCAGCTGAAGAAACAGCTATGTGTTTGTGATTTCCACCTAAAATATTAACAACAAATGGCACATTTGACTGTCAGGAGTCAGCAGCAAGAGATTTATTTTGTCAAAAATTCTTTCTCAAACATGCCAATTTAAGAAAAACTGCCACAAAGCCAAAGTTCCTTACAGGAGCTTTAAATTATTATGAGGCATCGGAATTTCACATTTTAATAAGATGCCAGTATGAATTATAAATTTGAAACCTGATACCCTAACAAGAAAAAATGAACACTTGGGCACCCAAAATTCCCTTCTGTTGACAGTGATGGTACAGAAAAAGTCTCATAACACTGACCAACTTCTGACAAATGGTTAATAGTAATGCCGCTGGAGTAAACAAGCCTTGGCTATGTGTGGGCTCATGTAGGTTGCCCCGCTCAGGATAAGCCATGGTTGGTAAAAACCTGACAAAACGGAGTACTGTAGTTAGGTGTAAAATATTGAATTAAATGTTGTGCTGCATGACTGGCTCTATTTTCATTCTTTGAGTTAACTTTACGATGTGAAAATGTCCAAGTTAATTGCTGATATTGTCACCAAGCATATTCTGGGTAAAATAGTCACCGACCGTCCATCAACATCATGTCATTATCGTGGTGATAATGATACAATAGAACTTAAAAACAAACCAACTGTGAGTTGCCTCTTAACGCTGCATGACAACACTTTGTCCAGCTGGACTTGAAGCAGTTTGTTGCGCTTACTCAGGCTGTTTTCCTTTGTCTAGATCTCTGCTTGTGTTATCTTAGTTTTAATGAGAAATTACTCTGAACAGAAGCATCTGCTAAATAACACTGTAACACACCACATCATTGGCCTGGTTTATTAAAAACACACCAGCAGACAGGGGAAGTAAAACTGTCTGTGAACAAACTAAATCCAGCACCTTTCCACACTTTTAAAGTACGTAAGAGCTAAACTGCTGGGAAACTATCCCAAAAATAACTTGTTTTCTGGTATTGCTGTATTATTTACTTTACAGGCTCGCTCTCTTCACATTATCTCCATGCCAATCAACCACTGCTGCCTGTTCGCTAACATTTCTATTTCCTCAGCACAACTTCTGGTTAAAGTTATGATTGTGAAACCTTTTCTTTCACCGGATTTGGTGCCTTTCTAGACTACTGGATGTAAAGCTGACAGATATTATATGATTTCAAGCATGTGGCATTGAATGAGTTAAGTAATGATTATTTTGACAACCATATTTTGTATTGATCAGCAACATAGTTATCTACTCACCAGCTCTGCTGTCACTGCCAGGATTGTAGGACATCGCTCTACTTTTCCAGTCAGAGGTGGTTTGGTTCCTAGCATACAGCACTGTTTCCCAACTCATGTCATGATCCTTTCAACTAAGGATTTAGGCAATTTTACCAGAGACAGCCAGCATTATCAAGAGATGATTTAGGCCAAAGAGTCAAAGAATGACTCAGAATTAAAAAAATGACTTAGGCCATGATTTTAATAGGGTGAAGATATGCATGTGCTATCAGGTTGTTTAAGGGGCTGCTTATGTTGTTTAAATTAACGGAAACACAGAGAGATGGGGGAAGAGAAAGAGAACAAGAAATATGGCCAATATGGCTACTGCTGCCAAAAGATGGGTGACATCACTGACACTGTGTCCAGTAATTGTACAGTCTATGGTGCTAACACATTGGGCAGATGGCATTTAAACCGATATGAAACCTGTGCACAGAGGAAGCCAGACTTTCTGAAGATGTAATAAGACAAATTTGATCAAAATCCAGTCTTGATGCATTTGCAACAGGCTTGCCTCGATGCAGAAAACTTGTTTTAATCAAGTTTGTATTGCCATATTGTGTTGAAAATTGTGCTTTCTTGGCCAGATGCAGAGATGTAGAAAGAACAACAACAGAAGAGAACTTGGTCTGTATGCTCTTATGAATTCAACTACTCTTCATTATATTGAGAAATATTGAATCAATCTGATTCATAATTGTTGTATTGCTGGGGACTCGGGGAGATTGCAGAGTCACATGTGAAAGTAATTGAATAGTTTCTAAGACAGCTGCAAGCAGCACTTCCAGGACTGAGGACTCATGCTCCAAGTATGAACCTACTTTGGAAAGAGCCACACTTGTAACACTCAATAAGTTCGGTCGCTACTGCACAAAAGATCCAGCAGGCTCTTCCCTTCTATCCAGGCTATTGTCACCATGTGGCCTTTAAACTTCCCTAGATCTACTTCTTAAAGTTTGCCACACTTAACTAAATTGAATCTTGCTTTGCTTAAGAGACTCTTGAATCTGTCAAACTTTTAAATTGAAAATAGACTTTTGAACACTGCTTCCACTTTCTCTGGGATAAAAGTGACTTCATTCCAGTCATATTATGGGGAATGAAGAGAGCCTGCCAGGCTTCTCCGTATGTGGATGTACTCTGATTGTATTCACTGTCTCAATAACATGAGTGTTATGCTGAGATTAAGCACCATGTGAAGATGTGTAACACTGACATCCACAAGGAGCCAATTTATTAAAATCTGCCTGACAGGAGTTTGGCTTCAACAAGCTAAAACAGAGCAGGGAGGAAGACGGTCTTTGGGTGTGTGTGTGTGCGTGTGCGTGTGTGTGTGTGTGTGTGTGTGTGTGCGTGTGTGTGTGTGTGTGAGGGATGGCTTGCAGACATCATTAGAGCTCCATTGGTTATGGATGAGTGATTCCTCAATGGCCTCATAAAAACAGTGAGACGGAAAGAGTGAGGGAGGGTCAGAGAGAGGAAAAGTGAAATTGATTGTTTGGATGAATAATACTGCGTGCTGCTTTGACAAAGTGACTGTGTCTGTCTCCACCACATCTCTGTGAAGCTCCTATGAGGGATCGATGCTCCTTCAAATTGGATGGCGTTACTACCACAGACTGAGATACTGTCAGCTCGGCGTTATCATGTTAAATTCCTCGCCGCTGCCTTTTTTGCGTAGATATCATCTTTTCACACACTTGTTTTTAAGCCTGACATCTCTGAGTGACTGCACAGCTGAAGTTCCCGTGCTTTGACTTTACGCCAAGAGCACCAAGTGAAGACAATTTGTGGAGACGCATGCATGTGTGTGCTCAGAAACCCACTCATACTCTGTACTTTGTCCTTTGCCATCAGCCTCCTGGCATCCATTTAGCCGCTTCACCTCCTTTGCCCAACTCTTCTCCTCTTTAGTGAACTTTCATTGTCTTCTGTGATTGCTCTGGAGGAAGAGGAGTGAGTCCTTTTCGCCAGGTGTGCATGTCCCTGCATACTGCTTCTGCCATAAGTGGACTGCATGCAGTCAGTGGATTAACCTTGCACTCCAGTATACTTGAGTTAGACAGGCTTCCTGCAGACACACACACAAAGCAGCAGCTATGTGTTAGGGCAGAGAAATGGATGGAGGTACGACAAAGGCAACACCTGACCTGAGTGAAGTTAATTTGAGCAGAAGGTAAGAGGAAAGTCTCAGCAGGGAGAAAATAAAACAGAACAATGCTGCTCTACTAAAGGTCACAAGGAGAGAGAAAGAGACAGCTAATGAGCAAAGGTAATAAATAGTGAATAGATAATATGAAAGCAGACAGAAAAGTGGGAATTTTGGGTGACTGATGGTTGGTTTGAAGCTGACATGAGTGTGAACAGCAGTGATGAGAGCAGGCATTCTCTTTATTGAAATAGAAGTTTGAATACTTCTAAAAAAGACTAGTAAAAATGAGGTACTTTTTCAATTTCATAAATAAAGAGTATGGGCTCTGAGAGGTAAAATGCAACCCTCTAGATGTATTTTAGTTGACTGTTTCTGGGCATAGCCAGCTGATCCTCATGAGATGTTTAAAAGTTAATGTGCATTTATGTACATCGTGCCACTCAGAAAAGGTCCGTCATTTTAACTTCACATGGTGAATCTGAAAATCACTATGGACAAGAGTTTGAACAAAGCTGACATAATCTTTTTACTTTTCAATGCACAGTAAAAACTTCAAAATACTTACACATCACGCTTTCTAGATGTTATGGTGTTGTGATTGTTTGCTCAGTGCTGCTTTGCTTAACCATGTCCTCCACTTTTGTAGAACAAAATTACTGTATTATTTTACTTAGGTCAAGGGGACATGGATTGGTCAGGTTACAATGAGAGCGCCCCCTGCTGGATCATACAGCAAGTTACTTCAGCTGCCTGATGCACTGGTATACTCTATAATCATGAGTTTGAGCGGTTTATTACAGTTTGATTATGAATTTTCCCGCAGAGTTCAAATAAAGGTTTTCATCTCAGATAGACAGTGACAGCCCACAGGCCACATACAACTTTATCTCCACTTTTAAAAGATAATATGATTCTTTGCTACAAAGTGCTTTAGTCATCTGTGCTTGTTGACATACAGGTAGTAGAGTATTATAGTTTAATGGTGTAGGTGGAAGCTGGGATTTCTGAGCTCCAAGTTGGAACTTGGTCAGATATCCGACTTGGAAAGTCTGATGATCCACACAACCCCCGAGTTGACATTTAAAGATGGCAGCTCCAGTTGTAAACAGTAAGTAAAAGTAAGTAAAAAAAAATAGGCTTTCATCGGCATCCTTGTGTTTCCTCTTTATCCACTGTGATTGCAGGTTGCAAAAGGACTGCATATTTGTCCAGAAGTTGTTTATATTCAGCCAAGGCAAGTGGGAGAATAACTTTCGTATATGTAGCCACCTTTTTTTTTTCTTCCATTTTTGGCCGTTGGCTACTTTTTTCCGACTTTGAAACTGAAATTCTAATAACGCTGAAGTGACGTCGTTCTCAGCTCTGATTTCTGACTTCTGAGGTAAATGGAATGTACCATTAGTATAGCAGCCATTAACCAAGGCTGCTGCCCAAGCTAGTAGTGGGTTGCTGCACTTCAGCTTAGACATGACATATAAGAGGTGTTTTGATAAAAATAAATTGACTTGAGTTTGCCTTGGCTAAGTTGAGTTGAGTAGAGTTGTTTCAGTTTAGTTTGGTTAAGTTGGTTTAGTTAAGTTTGGATAAGCTTGGTTTTATTGGTTTACTTTAGTTTAGTTTGGTTTTGTTGGTTAGTTTAGTTTAATTTGGTGTAGCTTATTTAAGTCAAGTTTGGCAAAGTTGAGTTTGGTTTGGTAAAGTTTAGTTTTGATTGGTTAAGTATAATTTGGTTTCTTTTAATTAAGTAAAGTTTAGTTAGGTGTTAGTCAAGTTAGTCAAGCTTTTTTGATCTGAAAATAATGTAAAGCTATTAAAGGGGTATCGGAAAAGAAATAGAGTTTGAAAAAAATGCATAATACTCCCCACCAAAAGAAGAAAAAAAATCAAGAGAAGATGAAGAAAGACTCAAGTAAACAACAAATAACCTAAAAGCTCTTCTTAAGTACAGTCACAAAGTGTTTGTTTCTAGTAATTGCTCACCTTTCAGCGTCAATAATCATTTGTTCACTGAGTGACATTTGCATTCTGATGTTCTTTTACTTCTTGTTCCTCCTAAAATGTGTCACAGTAGATCTGTGTTCCTGGGATGACTGAGAGAAAAGACACAAGGACGAGATTTATGAGGAAACAACATTTTTATCCATCCCTGTGTTTTCCATTCAAACTGTCTTTTGCTGGATATTCAGTAACAGACAGGTGAGACTGATTCAGATACTTCTAACAGACTAACAAGACAGATGCCGTGAGGGTGAGGCACACAGACAGCAGCAGCAGAGATTTGTTTTATTACAGACATTATCAGATCAGGGGATGTTTCATCCTGGAATATTAGATTCTGCTGCTGCCATTGATCCTGACAGAGAACAAGGAGATGGATGAGGGGGAGTCTGATTTCAGATGTTAAGAAGTAACAAAGATGTTTGGGTGTCTGTAAATGTGACTTTCCAGGGAAATGAATTAAGATCCCCCTTCACTCATAAACTGTGTGATGAGATGGAGAGCTACTCTCATGTGACAGGATCTACTGATCTCATCCCATAACAGTAACACAGTTAACTACAACTGTTTTATAGGTATTAGTTTTAAAGAAGGTGCTGTGTCTTTGCTAATCTTAAAACCTCTGAACGTGAGTCAAACATGAATCAGGCTTTTCTGCTCTTTTTACCTTTTACTTATTTTACCATCAGGAAATCTGTCATCAAAACTACGTGTTTTTTCTCTTGTTTATACCAAAAGCTTAGACCCAATAAACTTTTTCTGGTGATTTTTGATAGGCCTTAAATACTGTTTGAGCTGATCTATTGGCTGTGGCAGTGTCAAAAGTCATAAAGGGATTGACATGGTCAGCAGCAATGCCCAGGTAGGCTGTAGCAGTTAAATGATGCTAACAATGGTACTAAGGGGCCCAAAGTGTGCCAAAAATACCCCCCACGCTATTACACCAGCAGCAGCCTGAACCACTGATGCAAAGCAGGATGGATCCATGCTTTCATGTTGTTTACTCCAAATTCTGACCCACCATCTGAAATTCTGACTTATCAGACCAGGCAGCGTTTTTCCAATCTTGTATTGTCCAGTTTTGGTGAGTCTTGTAGCCTCAGTTTCCTGTTCTCAGCTGTAAGGAATGGTACCTGGTCTGGTTTTCTGCTGCTGTATCACATCTGCTTTAAGGTTTGATATTTTATGTGTTCAGAGATGTATTCTACATACCTTGGCTGTAGTTATTTGACTTGCTTTGCCTTTCTATCATGTCAAACTAGTTGGCCCATTCTCCTCTGACCTCTAACATCAACAAGGCATTTTCACCCACAAACGGCCACACACTTTCCTTTTTTTTCTCAGACCATTCTCAGTAAACCCCGGAGATGGTTGTGTGTAATCACAGTAGATCAGCAGTTGCTGCAATAATCAGACCAGCATGGTCTGGCACCAACAACTTTGCCACTTCAAAGTTACAGTGCATCCGGAAAGTATTCATACCACTTCACTTTTTCCACATTTTGTTATGTTACAGCCTTATTCCAAAATGGATTAAATTCCCCTTTTCCCTCAAAAATTCTACACAAAATACCCCATAATGACAAAGCCAAAAACTTTTTTTCAGAGCATTTTGCAAATTTATTAAAAATAAGAACACTCAAATGTTGCATATACATAAGTATTCACACCCTTTACTGGAAAAAGTGAAGTGGTATGATTACTGTCCAGATGCACTGTACTTAAATCCCATTTCTTCCCCATTCTGATACACGGTTTGAACTTCAGCAGGTTGTCTTGACCATGTCTATATGCCTAAATACTTCGAGCTGCTGCCATGTGATTGGGTGATTAGCTATTTGTGTCAACAAGCAATTGAACAGACATACCTAATAAAGTTGCCAGTGAGTGTATGTTGGCTGCAGCTCACAACAGACACTGTATCCCTTCTCGTTTTAACAAACACTCTCAAATCCATGGCATCCACTGCAAAGATCTCAGCCTCTTGACAAGCTTTGTTAGCCCAGCTTTAACATTGCCTCTGTGCACATTATTGAACTTGGCACTTGATATTCTTCATTGTCAACCATGCAGTTCTTTAATGATGCACTTGTATTGACTTTGCTCAATGTTTATTGTGTGCTGTCCTGCATGGTTTTTGCTGGCTTTGTCTTTTATGTTTTGATGCTGTGGGTATAAATTAAAATCCTCTGAGAGCAATAAAAGTTTCATACATTCATTTCAATACTGGATCAGGACGTCTGATGATGAGATTCTGCTATCAGCAAAAACTAATGACCCAAGTCAGATAGAGTTTTCTTAGATACAATCAATGTCCTTTTCAAATGCAAGTTCTTTGGTTTGTTAAGTAACTTTCCTGCAGTCATGTCATGCTGACGGCCAAAAGTAAGACTCATACCACTTAACATTATGAAAGATCCCACTGAGATGAAAAATAAAAACATTGTATTTGGCAAAGGGCACTCATATCAGACAGCCTGGTGTGGTATTTATCCACGTAGAGGGTGAGGTATCTGCATCTCTATTCAATGAGAAACTTTCTCTTTAAAAACAGCATATAAATTCTAATATCAGATATTCCTGTCAGATGAAAGACATCTTTTGTCAGTACAAATAGCAAACCATACAAATGACTGCAAATACAGAACTGTACTTTATGGCCCTTTTACTCAACTGCAGTCACGACTGTGAAGGGCTGATAAGTTTAAAACTACATTTGGTTGATAAATGACAGTTGTTTTTGTCAAGAGGGAGTATGCGGGAGAAAGTTTGGACAGTTTTAAAGGCTCATAAATGACAGGGGCCCAAAAATATGTGAGCGTTGGTGATAGTGAGGTGGTGGGGCACAGAGTAATAAACTTTCATCCAGTCCAAAATCCTCGTCAATACTCCAGGTTTCTGACAGGAAAAAAATGATAAGATGACAGTCGCAACTTAAGGATCACATACTTTTTTTGTACCGCAGCTTTTGATCATGTCACACGGTAACGCAGTATCAGGAGATGTAGCATTTTTGGCTAGCACGCTCACGTGTATTTAAAAAAAAAAAGGTTGGTTTTCGCCAAGTTGAACTGAGTGAATTACACCTTTAGATTAAGTCCAGTATGTTGACTTTGACCAATGGCCCTTTTTTTTTTGGTCTTGAACAGCTATTTTCTCGCACTAACCTCAACCTTTACAATAACAATGCAGTTAGGTCATTTTACTTTTCGGGGTTGAAAGTCGAGAGTCAACTGTTCAGCTGAAACTCCAGGTCATGTCTGAAAGCATAAATATTTGGCTGATAGGACATGGGGCACTAACACCATTTCCATGTACCCACTTCTCGGGCTTTCTTGACCCTTCATTGACATAAACCTCCTCTTCAAGGTGTCCCAGAGAAGCAAAATTTATCCCACTTAAACTTTTGCTAAAAGAGGATGAAAGTTGTTAATCTCCTTTTAAGTCTGTCTTTAAAACTGTGTTTTGTGTTAGATGATCCACTTCTTTGGTCCACTTAATTTGGGTAATATATACCTAAAATGCCCGCAGTGTTTAGCTGGTTGTCATTTACAAAGTGAGACACACACTAAACTAAACTTGCAATGAAGTTTTTCATACAATGACTCAAGCTCGTCCACCAGTGGTAAACAGAAAGTACTCTTGTTACTCTTTTTGACACAGTTTTAAAAATAATTGGGAATGAGTCTAGAAAAAAGGGGTATCTGAAATAAATCAGCTCTGCCTCCTACAAAGTTTTCAATTGCTAGTCTGTTAGGAAAAAAACAGACTAAAATATCAGTTCACTCCTAAAACTTTCCCTCCCAAACTACCCAAATGTGTATGTTTACAGGTTACCAGATGTCCTATTTTAATTAAGATATAACAGACTTAACCAGTGATTATGACAAGCAAAATGAGATAGGGTAGAAATGAGCCATGTTTAAAGCCTCTTTTGTCAGAATATACCATAAATCTGTTTGGGATTTGTTGCCATGAGTTATGAGCTTCAATCAAACAGAAACAGGAGTGGGTTGTTGTAAAACTGTGTTGACTTTGTAATATTGCAGTTACAGAGCTGATAAAAGTGCAGGAAAAGCAACATGAGCGCTGTATCTGTGGCGAGCAGACGCGCATTATGCCTGACTTTGCCAAAGAGACTCTGCAGGCAGAGGTATATGCAGTTCAGTCAGTGTACTCACACACAGATAGACACAAACACATTTTGCCAAACTATCATCCTCAATCACAGAGCCAAAATGAGTTTCTGTAACTTTTCTTCCCCTCCTCGCTTTTTCCTTCGTTTATTCTCCTCGCTGCTCTCAGAGAACTTTGAAAGGCCTGGACCGCCTTCAGAAGAAGAGGCGACAAGGAAAGGTCTGCTTCACTGCTAGTGAAAATCAATGGGCATGAAGGATGGGCTCGTGGATTATAGTGGCTTAAAAACAAATACCGAACAGGATAAAAAGGCTAAGGGGTCAGGCTTGAATACTGAGCTCCAAACTCCTGCTGCTCAGCCTGAAAAGCTGACAGAAAGATGTAGAAATATTAAGATGAAGCGTAGGTGAGTGTTCATCTCAAGGTTAAAGAAGCATAAGAAAGCCTCTTAAACTCTTTTGTGTTGTGTTTTACTGCAGAGACACCACAGGTAGTGTGGGTGTTCCTGATGTACAGCGGTGTGGATCTGCTGCAGCACCCAGCATGAGAGCTATAAATTAGCTGATTCCACAACCATGTAGTTTTTATTATGCTGCACTTTTCACTCTGGCAATTATTTTTTAAAGGGAGAAGCTGCTGTCCCTCTGAGGCTGTAAACCATGAAGCTCATTTAAGCTGCACTTTTGATTTCCAAGAGAGCTGTGAAGCTTTAAATCACAGTCACTCTGGATGTTTTCCTCCCTCGAGTAGACCAGGTTTGGACAGGCGCTGTGTTTCTGTCTCTGTATGATGGCCCCATTAAATTTGAAGTACAATAACTAGGTAGTGAAAATGAACAACACACCTGTGCATTCTGTCTGCAGTGTTATTTTGCGTTTATGTTGGATGTAACTCCTTTAACTCTGATTTGTTCTCTATCCTATTTCTGTGAATCAAATGGTCACCCGTCTATTTATGTGCCCCATCTCTCCACAGGCATCGTCTCCCTGATCTCCCTGGCTGTCCTCTCCTATGAGCGCTACAGCACCATGATGACCCCCACTGAGGCAGACTCCTCCAACTACTGCAAGATCTCCCTGGGCATCACCCTGTCATGGGTCTACTCCCTCATCTGGACCATGCCGCCGCTTTTTGGTTGGAGCAGCTACGGCCCCGAGGGTCCCGGGACCACCTGCTCTGTTGACTGGTCAGCCAAGTCGGCAAACAACGTCTCATACATAATCTGCCTGTTTGTCTTCTGCCTCATCGTGCCCTTCCTGGTGATCGTTTTCTGCTATGGGAAGCTGCTGTGCGCCATCAGACAGGTGAGTGAATATGGGGACTGGGGAGAACCTGTAGATCCAGCAAGAAAGACCTTGGCTGCTCCTTTAGCCTATCCACAGCCTGTAAACTCTGATATTTAAGGGGATGATAGAATGATAAGTTACTGCCGTTGCCAGCTCATACAGATTCTATCAAGGTAAGTAGCCAGATAGGAGATTAGGGATGAAAATGTATTCCCTGTTTTTACTTTCACAGCCTCATGAAAAACAGTGGCCTCCTTTTTTGAAGAATATCTTCCTTTTGTTATGAGGAAACTCAGAGTGATGAATTACTGAAAGATATTTTATATAAAGGACTGAAAGCACCAGATTTACTTTAGCCTGACTGTGAACCCAAGGACACTCTAACATGTGGACAACAGATGGTCTTGATTAAACCAACAACACTGTGAACAACACTGACCTAAGGAAACACTTCATGATGAAATATGTCTTTGTTTATGATAATGATACACAACACAGACCCAATGACCGTGTTGTGAACGATTTTGCTACCCAAGAGATCGATGACTCAGATGATACATTGTTTCAGTTTGCGAGTGAAGATGCATGATATGGTATTTATATCTCTATCTCGAATTAAGGATACCAATAAATATGCACACCTGAAGGTAAGATAGATCAAGATTAAGGAAGCAAAATGTTAGCGCTGAAACAATTTCCAAAATGACTGGAGTAATTGAAATGTGACAAAGCCTCAAGGCAAATGTCGTGCCTCGATCTTAAGTTTTAAATCCAGACTTCAAGTACTCTGTATTTTGCATATGTTTATATAATTCTGTTAACCATTGTACAAACCTGACACAAAACCAGACATCACTTAGGTTCAGCTATTTTTTTACTGTGCCACTATCCAGGGTTATGTCATGACTTTTTGACTGGAGTGGCTTAAATGGAGCACTGATGTAGATCGGGGTGGTCGAGGTATCTGTGCACACCATGGACTGTATATAAAATGGACAGAGTTTGCCTCCTTGCTTGGTGAAGCCACTCCGAGAACAGCACCCTCTGTTGATGGGCTGCAGTATAGGTCATAAATCCCGCCTCCGCCAGCAAAGCTTATGGAGCTGTGGACAAAATTCTGAAATTTATTACACAGAACAGATTTTTTTCTCCCCCCTGGTTGTCGATTGACATGTAGTTATTGTAAGACTGGTTTGTGCTCAAGTCCTCTTTTTTCTGTGAAGCTCCGTTTTTAAAAGTTAGTAGGGGGTTCATGTTTTCTTTGATTGACACCTAATACAGCCTATTGGCATTCAGGGATTGCATAGTTCACCCAGGGGATAAGCTGTTTGAGCCGAGCATCATCACAGCAACTCTCGGCGACTCTCCTGCCGAATGCGCTACTGCGCAGCGCTGGTTTCAGAAAATGAAAAAAAATCCTGGAAATACTGAGAGCTTTTTGGCTTCAAATCCGTATACAGGCGGGAGGCAGAACCAAGTTGTCCCTAGTATATACAGTCTATGGTGCACACACATATTATTAACATTAACCCACTCTGTCTTCACTATCTGCTTTTACAATTATCACAAAAGTGTTTGCCAGTTTACTAACATAAAGTCCAGTAGTTTTTAGGCCCAGTAATAAGACAAGATAATCCTTTATTGTTACTACAAGGGGAAAAATTGCATTGTTCCAGTAGTTATGGCAAGAATACATTTAATGAAAATACGTTTGAATAATTAATAAATTGGCAAAATAAATAGTCGATACATTACTTACATTAGCAGAATGGCGGAGAGATAAGGAGGAGAGCTGGAGGACTAATAGACTGTGTAAAACAAAACACTTTCACTTTATAAGTAACAAAATGACCCACTTCCTCTCTGCCATACCTGTGAGCAAGAGCTAAAGTCTGCCACTACCATTTCATGAATACTTTTCCAGCTGGTTGAAAAATTAATTTCACAGTTTTAATGAGCCTCTGCTCCAGCGACCATTGTAAAACAGGGATAATTTGAAATAATAAAATTTGGCTATATAACACTATAAATACTGAAGTTATATCACTATTAGTCCATAAAGTCAATCTCAGGGTCTTTTTTAAGTGGAGTTGCATTTCATTGACTTACACATCAGTTGGTTTACACATTGATATACACTTCATCTTCTTGAGGAGAACTGATAGGACTGATGTGATAAATATGCTGGTTCCCAACCTCAGGATGAGTTTAGCAGAGTATATAGAAAGCCTCTGCACAGGAAATCAGATTAACTGCTCAAACTGACATATTGATGGTTCTACTTTATGAGTGTGTAGTAAAAGCTTTTATAATTTGGTAAACCAGTCTCAGATAAGCCAATAATGAAGAGAACTCTGGAGGTTGGCTGGTGTTAGAAGACACCAGCAAACAAAGACAAGGCAGAGACATGTCGAGGCTATAGAGTTGCTCATTATGAACTCAAACTAAGTTTCTGTAAAATTTAAAATGTTTTTGGCAGACCTCAAAATCTTGTGGCAACACACAAAAAAAAAAGTAAATTAAAAGAAGTAATGATTTGAGTCTGTTATACTGGACAGTTTCTGCCATTATACATCAAATACGCGTGAAACCTTTGTATAACATTACATAACATAAAATAACATATCACATAATTGGCTTTGCATTTTTCGGTGTAAAGTTTTGAGGGGAAAGTTGCATTACTGTGAACAGAGTTTTTAGACACCGTTTCATTGCAAAGAACTGGGATTACATTAGAGATTCCAATTATTTTTCAAGACATTTGGAAAAATAGAAAGTTGAGTAGAAGCCACTTGATACAGCCCAGGTTCACAGTGACAGCCTAGTGAGTAGTCAGTAAAAATAAAAAATTTAGATATTTTAGATACCAAACTTAGGGCCTGATATAGAAAATTGCATGTGTAATTAGTGGGCATGTTGCAGCTGCTCTACTATCATTGCGCAATTGATAACAGGTGCAAAAGTGGTGTGGACCGCCCTCTTTTAGCGTGGGATTTTGCGTGGGTTATCGGCTGTCACCATGGAGAGTTTGTGAGAGCAGAGTGACTGTCAATGAAAAATTAAGTTTGAAGCCATGGAGTTGCCCATATGGTTTTGGGGAACTGCATAGGGGGAAGCAAGGCAAGTTTATTTGTATACCATCATTCATACACAAGGCAATTTAAAGTGCTTCACAGATGCAAGAAAAATAAAGTAAAAATCAAAAAAGGGATTAAAACAATTTAAAATCAGTAACACGAACAGAGAAATTTTCTCGTGTGTGCCGTGTTTGACCTTGTTATTTATAAAAACCATTAGACGCAGGAAAATGCTGTGTTACAAAGAGTTTTTCAATAGGAGATATGGCACAGGTCATATTTGTGTCTGGCTTCCAATCAGCCCATAGGTCACTCAGCATTACTTTACGATTACTCTTCTATTTTTTTTTATTTCTGACAGTCCAAATATGTTGACAAACGCATGGAGACTCTCTCTCTGTCATCTATCATTGCACTTCTGCATCCTTCCCATCACAATGACCGTGTGTAATGTTGTGCCAGTTTGCATGTGCCTTTCAAACATACAAAATATAGACGCAAAACAGTGACTGCAATCGGCTTACGGGTTTGATAAATCACATTGCAGGTGCTAAATGATTTCATTTGCATCTGCTCCTCCCAGTATTAAGTGCGTTCTGATGATCTACATATATTCTGCATATTCATGAAGGCAAACACGCTAAATGGATTGCTTGTGCTATTTTGCTCATTTGACAGACGCAATCCTCAGTGCACCCAGTTAGTCGATCAGGTTTGCGTGCACTATCAAGTTTGCACGTGTTTTTGCACACAAACCTTTAGTAGATTAGGCCGTGGAGTGTGGTATCCACAAACTGCCCTATTGCTTACTGTTCTGATGTGAAAATGCAGTAAGGTGATTTAGTATCAAGCGCAAAGGTCCACTTGGTTTCACCTTTATGCTCACTGCATGCATGTTGAAGTATTATGGCATCCTCTTGCAGCCAGAAAGTCTGCTTGAAGTGGTGGCCCTGAATTGCATGAATGGCTTCTTGTCTTTAGGCTATGTATATTAGCCTTCTGATTGGCTGGTGACCACTAGAACAGGTTGTACCTCGCCTTCTGCCCAGTGAGAACAGGAATAGATAACCCTGCATTTAATAAACTGAACCTGAAGCTGCACAATTTCGTGTCTCTGCCACTGCTTTGCAACTGTCACAGCTGCCATGCATAAGTGTTGCTCTCACATTTTCAGCCTTACCATCACCCCAGCATCTATCTGCAGGCTCCAAATAGAGGCTCTGACACATTGTCTTGTCACTCCTTAATTTCTGCGTGTAAAAGTAAACTGTCAAATGTAATGAGGTTGGGACCTAAACCCTCAATAACTCAATAATCTGCTTTCTCAATTGGCAGTCCAAAGCTGTTGTCTGAGAAAAGTAACTAAGATAATTTAGTTGTTTTTATGATAATTTGATGCTGTTCTGTTTTGTTTTTTCTATAGTTTCAAATTTTCCAGAGATCTAGCTGTAAAGGAACAACAACACATCACAATAAGAACTCAGTCACAGAGTAGTCTGTGTGTCCTTTTAAACCAGACACATCACCTTCATTATGTATTCAGCTGGAGATGTCAGCAGTGAGGCGAGGAGGACGGCTGATCATCAGGAGTATTTTTTAGCCTGTGGCTGTGAACTGTGACATGATGTAACCTGTGTTTGGGCTTTCACACACTGTCCCACACTGACTGACTAGAGGGATATTGGAGGAGACAGCGTGGAAGACAGTGCTTGCTCTCTTCAAGGAGGCTTCACACTTACAAACACACACACACACACACACACACACACACACACACACACACACAGTAATACTCAGTTGCATAGTTTGCTAGGACAGATCCCAGAGCAATTTTCTAGCGCTACAACTCACTTGGGCTGTGTAAGCATCATGACTTCTCAGGTAAACAATGAGTAATCTGTGTGTGGCTGAGTGTGTTTGTGTGTGTGTGTGTGTGTGTTTGCAGGATTTTGCTTGTGCTCTATCTGTGCTCTATGGTCTGTTTGCAACATTTATGAAACAAAAGATACCAAAAATGCATGACAATATAGTGACACAGTGGCCCTTTTGTTTCCTGGAGTTTTCCTCCCAAAACTCTGTGTGCATTCCTTCTCCCTTTGTTCTGATCTATTCATCCCTTCAACACATCTGCACACCATCTTTCCTCATCAGAAAACACACACACAGCTTTGTATAGATGATAAGGAAGGAGGGAAAGTGATACTGTTTTGTTCCAATTCTCTCTTTGTCTTTGTCAGCTATTCACTGGTCTCAAAGAGACTTGTGAAATTACCTCAAGCTCATTACACAGCACAATGCTAGCATGGAATTAGTAAAGAAATTGTCTGCCAGCAACACAGAAGCCATGCCAGTGGAAATTCGATTAGGGCTCCTTTTCGTGTTGCCTCCTTCTCCCTAAATTCAACAATAACCATGTTTACATGTGCAAAATTTCTTGATCCAATTAAATATTTAAGGGAACGGAAAATGTGAATCCACTGTTTAGATGGGCATGAAATTAAATAATCCAATCATGACATGCTTGTACATGCAACAAGCTTTATTTAGACATGCACAGAGTTATGTGAAAACAACGGCAGAAGAAGAGTTGGATTTACGTCTGTGTTGTCAACAAACCAACAACCACTGTAGTGGCTCACTTTGTCTGATTCAGGCCTTTTCCCTCCACTCAGAATGGACCTGAACCAGGTTCTGGATCGCTCTTAGCATACATGATCATCAAGCGGATCCAGCAGCACATACTGATCCTGCGCTGCATGAGGGAAAATGTATCCAGCAAGAAAGTAGTGTCAGACACACATCAATTGCTCTTGGATCTCACCATGTTTACGTCTTGCCACTAACAGCAGAAATGTGTCATGTCAGCATAGGGCACACAGGGCAGTCAGGTTAGTTTAGTCCCAACAGAGAGACATGATCGGAATAAGTGTTTTTATGGACGCGTTTCAGAATAACGATCGGCATAAACCACCCCTCTCGATCTGAATACTATTTTTCTCCAATTGAGCCAAATTGGATCAGAATTTTCTTATTGACATTATTACATGACGCATTTTTATTGACATCATGGCAATGGTGGAAATAATGAGAAAATATAATCAACATGTACATTTCCTGTGTCTGAGCATGTCAAGAAGAAACATTCCCTGGAATAAATTTGAATAAGAAGCACCTTTTGTGCCTGCAGCAAGCTTCAACAAAACAGAAAAGCTTTCAAGAAGATAGTTGACTTAGTGTGGAAAGTCGTGATGAGTCGTAGTGACAAAGTGGAAAGATGGTTCAGGCAAACATTAGACTTTAAGCCTGTAATGGAAATCTGAGAGCTGCTCATCTCCTTATTGGAGAAGTTTCTTGAGATGGGGATTTTTAAATTCAGAAGTTTTTGTTCAAGCCGGAAGAACATTTATATAGAGTCTGGGGTACAACTGTGTAAAAATGTCATAGAGGATTTACAACTCACAATTTACAAGTGAATCATTTACATAGTTCATGTATTATAAACCCACATTTTATTGTCAAGTCATGAACAACCTGGGTGCTCACGCTGTACATGTCAACACTGTCCTAACAATAAAAGTGTATACAGCTTGAGCATTACATTATACACTGAATTTCCCATTTGGAGAAAAATAAAGTTTTTCTCATCTTATCTTATCTTACAGCCATCAGCTTTGTGAGGTGTCAAAAACTCCAGTGTAGAAGCTTTTGTAAGACTGTGATCAAATACTCAAGCTGATGTGTTGGATTGCACAAGATGGTACAGATGGTCCTGGTCGTATGCCTTACTGATATGGACATGAGTATTTCAGCAGTCCACATTACATGACACACTTAGTGCTCCTGAAAATGATGGACTATTTTGCTCGGGCACATCTTTAAGATGTCGATAAAGAAATTCATATGCCTGGTTGGGGGCAGCTGATTGGGCTGAGAATGAACAGCTTTACACTGCTTAGGAAATGATGAGCAATCAAGTTGACATTCAACCTATTTTAAAATCAATTGTGCAACTAAAAAATCAGGTCAGAACTATTTATTCACACAGCGTTTGCAGGGCTTAACCAGAAGCCTGAAATCCCCCTAGCTGCCACCCTGAGAGACTAAATCATGACTAGCTATTTGCCTTGTCACTGGTGGCACTGATTTTGAAATCAACTACTCTGGGTCATGTTCAGCAGGCTGTCAGAAGCTAAATAAGTGCGAAATTGCATTTCTGAGTATTTCTTAATTTAAATTGCAGTGAATCTCTGGCAGACCCAAACAGCAGGCTCAGACACAGTGGGGTTTCCTATGTCACAATTCCAAGCCCCCTCCGAGCCCCGTTATGCAGGCCTGACTCAGAAAAATGGAGATGACAGTCGCAGAACAAGCATATGCGTTTGCGGATTGCGATGCTAGTAAGAAAGCTAATTATGATATTAGCTTTCATCATTCCGCTAAAGACATTATTGTCCGAGAGCTGAATAGCTCCTATGTTACCTGCTTCTTCTACTACACCGGCAATGTTAGGCTGCAAGCTAGCGTGGAGAGGAGTGTGCAGAGCAGCACTGTCTCAGCCCATGACCCAGAGGCGAATCACAAATGAGCTACTGAAGCTCTGCAGAAGAAAAGCCCTTAAAAATGACCCAGGTAATATGATTTTGGCAAAAAACATAATAATTACAATTTAAAGACCACTGATAACACTTTAAGTAGTAAAATAACAAAAACGATCCGAGTGGGACTTTAAAGAATTAAATGTAGCATATTTTACTGCTGCCTGTGTGTTGAGTAACCTTTTAAAGTTAGTAGTTATACACAAAACCATGCATCCTTTATATGGTCAAAACACTTTTTTCTAAAGACTTAAAGGTTACAAGTTTTTCATGATAGGGCATAATCAAGGATGTGGCTCAAACTAAAAGTTAGGTTGACTCAGCAAATCTCTACTTTAGAAACTGATAAATCACCTCACCGAGACAATTTATGTCCCATTTATGTTACAGTCGTCCTGTCCAGAACAGCACTGTGAAGGCGCTGAGATTATGAGATCAGAGACTTCTTCTAGGCCAAAAATCCAGGATTAAGCTTTCTAAGGGCAGATTTTCTTTGTTTCAAACACCACCAAACCAGCTATTGAGGTTTTCAGGAGTTATCTCAAAGAGGACTTTATCAAATAGACTGCAGCTGCACCTGAACTAAACAGCTTAGGATTTTCCTGAAAGCGTATAGTTCTGTTTTTTTATGGGGACTTTTTGTCACAAAAAGCTTCAACTTGTTATTTTTAAAAAAATATACTTTAAAGGTTCTACAGAGTCATGGGAGTTAATACATTCAATCAACAAGTGTTAGCAGGACTTAATCAAGCCTGTGTCTGGGCCCCCTCAGGAATTTAGTTAGGAAAGTTAGTGTTTGTCTCTGCTCAAAACTTTGAAGATTGCTGCACTTTTAAATAACGCCTTTTTTACTTAGCTGAAGATGAGCGAATATTATATTGGATATTAGTTTTGAATCTGATACCCACCATAGTTGTCAAGTTGTTTGTCTCCATGTCACACAAGAGCATGTCTGAGAAGAGACAGTTGAAGTAGTGTGGAGTCTGGGATTGAGTGCAGCCTATCTATTGCAGACGTTGGTTTCCTGGGTGACAGAGCGAGTCCAGTGCTATCAGGGCAGCTGTGGATGCTTAATAGTAAAGCCTTCGGAGCCAGAGAGCTGATCTACTGCTCTGAAAGAAACAGACTGTGACCTTCTGCTACTGGATCTGAGGCTGACCTTAACTGTACCTCAATAATCCCTGTGGTCAATAATCTGAAACGATTCTATGAGAAAATGTATTTGTCCACAAGACCAAAGAAAATAACCAATCTCAAACTTCTTTGCAACCAAAATGACATGTTAACAGGAGTGTGTCCAAAGGAGAGGCAAGGGGTGGCACCGCCCCCTTTTTGGCAATCTCAGTTTTTACATAAAAATTCTTAACTGGGTCTGATGTGAGACTCACATCAAACTGCAACATTTTTATACATTTTAATGTTACTCATTTTCTTTTATTTGGACACATATCTTCTTTTATAGTCTTACAGACAAAAAGGTTTCGGATTCAAATGTTGACACTGATGTGTCACTATTTGTAATTGAAGATGTTTTAAACAGAGATATTACTCTATCAAGATGTGGGGAAAAAGAGTTATATCTGGGCTGAACAATAAACAGAAACAACTGCTAGGACAAAGGAGACACCAGACTGTGTTAAAGCGGTAGTGTAACTTAAAGCAGATCAGAAGTGTGTGAATATGTTGATACCGTTTTACTGTAATGCATGCAATAGATGGATGGATGGATGGATGGATGGATGGATGGATGGGTGGATAGATAGATAGATAGATAGATAGATAGATAGATAGATAGATAGATAGATAGATAGATAGATAGATTATGTATATGTAAGTTATAAATGTTGAACTGTGAGAGGAGGTTATACTACCTTAGTCTCAGTGATTTAAGCTTAAAAAAAAAAAGATTAGTGGGGTCAGCATGTTTAGATGAATACTGTTTTTCCTGTGCACATCATGCCACCTCTTTAAATTGGGCCATCCCGGTCAAAAAGTCTGTGCTCATTTCTGTATGTTTAAAAGTTTCTTCACTTTCTTTCCTTTTTCCTTCTGCTACTTTCAACCTTTTAGCTTCTTTCTGTAATCCCAGATGGTGCCCGTCACCACGGTGTTTTGTGGTGTGGAGATGCAGAGTTCATTTCACGCATATCTGTGGGACTCTGCTCACTTTATCTTACATATCTATATTATGTCAGCTGAGCTTCTTGAGTCCCTTTTGGACCCTTTTTTTGTGCAGGACTACATCTGCACTCTTTATCTCTGTTCTCTGTGCTGTTTCTGGGTTATTCTTCCTCCTCTTGAGATACTGTGTAAAGTAAAGGCTTTAGTCCTTCTGTCAGGTCATATTGGGTAACATTGGCCAGGGCAGATAAAAGTTGTTCAGCACTTTGTCAACTTAAAAGCTGAAAGAGTTGAATTCCCCTATCTAATAATGGGGTGCTCAATAGAGTGGTCCATATGGAAAGACTAAATCAAGATTGGACTCCTTCCAAGACTGATATGGATTCACTGCCTCAGGCCCATTCCCTGTCAGACCTAAAACCTGAGTGAGGCAATGTAGGTGTTCATATCATAAGTGAAATGACCTAGCTATGCCAGCCCTGAATCAGTGCAGTTTTGTGAACTTTATTCATCCTGATGAATAAACCAGGTGAGTTTAGAGTTCAATGAAGAAGAGAAAGTGAGATTAACAAGACAGCGAGTCAGTCATGCTGAGGCAGGAAGTGTCTCTGCTGTTTGTCTCTCATGAGAAAATAATGAATTTCACTCTTCTACAGGAGCCAAAAGCTGTCTGAGTAAATCAAATCAGTATGTAAGATAATATAATAATGATTTACATAGATTATATGGCAAATATAAGAGATCAAATTGTTGTGACTGACAACATGAATGTGCGTTCTCAGCAAACTGCCTCATGTTTGAGTCAAAACACTGACAAAGCACTTTAGTTTTAATGTTGTCAAGAAACTCAGAGTGAAAAAATGGACATTAAGACATGAATATTATCCCGTGCATAAATATCAATGACAGCATCTTTATGTTATATAGTAGTGGCAGGCAACTGTGACTTTCCCCTCAGATTTTGGCTTTGGCTTGATTGCTCCTGCAGAAAAACACAAAATCAGTCATTTCAAGTCTGTCAATATATTATGGCTTAAAGGCACAATTACCACAAACTGAGTTTACAATGGCAGCAGTTGAGCATCTGTGTTTTAATCTGCATTAATTTGACTGAGATTCGAAGTCCAAGTTCTGCTATAACCCCCTTATCAACATTATGAGATGCATGCCTGTTGTTGGGGTACTTCTGTGGCTTTATTTTGGCATTCAAACTGCAACATGCTAATTCAGGAGGAGAACTGGACTCCCAACAGTGACTGATGGACAGACATTTTTAATCAGCCAAAAACACAATCAAATCTACAAGTATTGAGGACTGTGCAGTTTGCTGGAGCAACAAGTTATCTTGCTAATTAAAGATACATTAATTAAAGGGGTTATCTCCTGTGTCCCTCACAGAATAAGTAAAATTGACTTGACCTTGATTGCTTTCTGCCCTGTATTTTGAACTGCGCCCAAGCTAGATTTTGTGTTTTTCAGTCTGACAGAGCGCCTCATTAAAAAGGAAATATTTGAGCTCCTGGACCAGGTCACTCTATCAATTATCCCAGAGGAAAGCAGCAGTTTGCCTGTTTTTCACTACAATTGCTTGTACCTCCCAACCAATTATTATTTTTCTTTATTTAAATTTTAAAATGTTATTGGGACATCAATGTGAAAAGGTACTGTTTTTAGCTTATTACTCAAAGCCTTACAAGTAGACCCTTCTTTCTCTCGCTCTTGGTTGACCATCCTAAAGCTAAAGCACAGCACTGAATCATCCATTCATCCCCTATCACTTTTCTTGTCTTTCATTAGCAAAGTATACCAGACTTCTCTATTTAGAGTAATTTCAAGCCATTTCTCAGGGAGCTGAAGACATTTTAAACAACCTCCAAAAGGCGGTCCAGAGGAGCCGTCCAATTTACTGCCCATATCTCCTTAACTTTTTCCTTTTGACCCCAAGGAGCTTTGGCTGAGCACCTTTTGGGCATGGAGACAGTGCCCACTACTTAGGGGTGGTTATTTCTGCCACCATTTTTGTGCCAAGGATCTCATACTTTGCTCTAACTCCAGTTTATGACTAAAGAGTGGGAAGAGGTATGGGCTGACCTTTTTAGTCACCAGTTAGGTGTCCTGTTCAGTATTAAAATGATTGCTGATTCTAATACTGATCTACCCCCCCATCTTACACTCAGCTCTATCCTTGCTAAAAGATTTGGAGAAACCGGGAAGTGGTTTGCAAATGGTGAAAAGTGTCTACTATGTAACCCTTTTGCTTTACACAGTTGAAAACAGCCACCGTGGAGAAGCCACACTGTCTGACGGACACTACATCATCTGCAGAAAAACAGAGATGCTACTCTCAGGTGTACTCCCTAGCTCTTCTTATATCCCAAAGAGGATCAGTAACTAGAGACAGCTTGTCAAGTAAATCCACCAGTAATGTGTTTGACTTTGTTAGATTGCAATCAGACCTCTGACTTTGATGAAAAAGAGTGCCATGGTTGAACATCAACTGCCCTGAAACCACCACAGGATTCACCAGAGGACTTGTTGTCCACCTTCTCTGAGTCTCTGTGACTTCTCAAAAACCTGGCAAAGGCAGTGGACACTGTCAGTATACAATAAAAACCACATTAAACTAACTTTATGAGCTGCTGATTGTGTGTATCCCCTCCCCATGTGGCCTATTGAAAGAACCAAAAACCTGTTTCCATAAGTTAGAACGCTGTGTAAAATGTTGATTTAAATCACAATTTAATGGTTTGTGAATAATTTAAAGAACCACATTTAATTGAAATATGGTAAAGACAATATCAGTTGTTTCTGTGTAAGAATGTTATTGTTTTATAAAAAAAATATAAATACATTTTTCATATTTATTGACAGTAACACATTTCAAAACATATGGCAGCACTGTATGAATGTAAGACCACCAAGGAGACCTGTCTTAGAAGTCCCACATATCAAATCTTCTCTCATTCTTGTCTGATATTGGGATCTCCTTTGTTGTATTTTGTGTATTATGATGCTGCGTGTGGTTTTAATGGGGAACAGTCAGGATTGCAGACAGGCCAGTTCAGCACCAAGACTCTTCTACTACTGAGCCATGCTGTTGGATTACATGCAAAACAACTTCTTGCTGTATTATGCAACATCAAAAAAACTGCTTTAGCATTAGTTCCTCCTCTGATGTGTCAACTATGCCATGCCATGAGTGTTTGTTGATCCATCATGCTGGTTTTTGAACTCTGTGCTGATAAGCTGAGTGGTCCTTCCCCTCTCTGGAGTAGAGGATGCAGTGTCCATGATTTCCAAAAAGGATGTTTAATTTTGACATATCAGATAAGAAAGTTTCCCGTTACACCACAGTCCACCTTGACTGGGTTCAGCTTAAGAAGAGGCTGGCATTTTTGGATCATGTTCATAGATGATTTATCTTTGCATAATAAAAATTTAACCTGCATTACTTAAGTGCAGTAACAGACATATTGCACAGACTGTGGTTTGTTCTTTTTATAATCAGCCATGTTGCTTACAAGTTTCAAATAATGTAATTAGTTGGAAGATGTCCCTCCAGTTGTTTTTTTAAGCATTACACAACATTTCTGTTTTGTTCCCTTGTCCCAACTATTTTGTTATCATCATCATAAGTAAAATGAGCTTATACCCCTCAATTAAAAATTCACTTTTTAAGGACTTGTAAACCATCAAATCTGTTTGTATTATCTGTGCAGCTTCAGTCCAACTTTGAAACCACAAGAGTTAGGATGCTGTGTAACATGTTGATACAAAGAGACCCACAAAATGATATTGTGAGCTTTACAAACTGCTCTTCATATTGACCTAAACAAAAAAAAAAAAAAAAAGAATGAAAGAAAAAAGAGATATAGTTTTGCATAGTGATTATCCTTGAGTTACTTTGGCATAATTTGATGACTCACTTCATATTTCAAATGATGGGAAGATAATTATCATCAAATTAGATCATATAACTTGATTTAGTTAAACTTTTATTCCACTGCTTTGTTGCCAGGAAATTGTGAGCCTAGCTAAGTGATTTAATTGTTGACCCTTGGCTCTCATTCACGATTCAGCCCATCCAAGTTTATGGAGGCTATTAGATTCCCTGACTGAAAATTACTGTCCAGTATGTTCCTTTCAATTAGTATGGCAATAACAATGTCAAAATAATAGAGAGAGCTGCATCCTCTAGATCAGTTCATCAACAGGAGGACTTGAACATGAACTATAATCATTGACACTTTAAATTATTCAGGGTAAAACACAAAGAAGCAGAATATGCACATGAATACGCACTTAGTCATCCTTTTGGCTATACTAAAAACCAATGTGGTTTCATCAACTTTACCTTGGTGTCTAAATTCCTCATGGGGCTCATACATCCCTGTGGAAATAAAGTGATGCTCTCAAGCGCTGTTGCCCAACATGCAGCAAGTGACAGACTGTGACTGTAGAAGTCCTCATTTTATGCCAGCCTACATCAGTTGTAGTGACCTTGCTCTGGTCATGAGATAATTTCATTGGATGCAAGCAGACTCTTTTTTCCTTTGCCTGTGCCTGTTTTGTGACTTCGTGACCTGCAAACATATCAAACTGAAATGGGCAGACAGTGCACCAGAGGGAAATTTTAATGCAAATGGGGTGGTGCAGTTAGGATTAAGAAAATACACTCCTGCCTCTACTTAATTTGCAGTTGGCACTGTAGAGAAAAGTGTTTCTCATGGGCAGCTCTGCCTCATTCACAGGAGAAGCAGGGCTTTCTACTTTGCAGTAGACAGTAGTAGTAGCTGAACTACAGACTGTTTGAGTACACTGTCAAGAGTATGTTCAAGGGATGGGTGATAGATTATTGTTCACGATATATCATTAGAAAAATCCTACATGATAAATATTTGCCATCTCATGATAAATACGATAAATGCAAGTTATAGATGTAAAAGCAAGAGATGGACTCTCAGCCATAGCCCACACAGATCAGAATTACAAACAAACATGGCAGAAGGTAATGAAGAAGACATTTCTGAGCAGTGCGTAACTGAACTAGGCTCCACATGAGGGATTTCCTTCAAGATTTGGGTTTAGATGAATGCAATAAAGTATACCTGACATTGGACAGTGGATCTGCTGCTGTTCACTCTGTGCAAAATGTTTTCACATTTGAGACTTGTTTGATGTCATTAGTTTTTTCCATTACCTACCACTCAAACTTGTGGTTAAGTCTCTTATTTGACAACTCTAAATGGTGTTCTCAAGACAAAATTAGTCAAAAATATGTATTGGAATTATAATCTTTTTTGATATGGACTGTTATCATTATCGCCAAAATGGCAAATCCTATTGTGATAAATTATTTAGCCCATATCGCCCATCCCTACTAAACACGAGTGGGTACGAACTGCAGAAAGAGAGAGCAAGTATCACAGTACTGCTCATATGTTTTAGGACCATGTCCAGGTTTTCTACGAGTTCATGTTTTTGTTCATTTATTTGTTCACAACAAAACCACTGATGTTCCCAGTCACAAATACAACAGCACACTCCATACAAACATACAAAAACACTGTAACCTGGCAGAGACTGAGAGGTTGAGCAAAAGGGATACAACTGTGAAAATGCTGTTTGACAAAGTCAGAAAATAACCAGCATTTGTGTTTGAACAAACTTGGTGGGAAGTGGAGATGCTCGAGGGCTCTGCTGCTTGGCTGCAGTGAAGGCTGCATGCATGAATCAGTTCTTGGCCGTATTGTCTGAAGGATGAGGGATTGTTCTTTTTGTTTGTACTCTAGTTCCTTGTCTTCCTTTATTGTTTTTCTGGGTCCTCAATTCTTTTTGTTTCGTTTTTCTTGTAGCTTCTATATCCAACCTCTTACTATTTTCTGACACATCCTAAGACAAGGATATCCAACCTTACAAATGTGTTTTCCATTCAATTCACATTCACACTCTGATTGTCCCTGTCCATGGCTTACTTCTCTGAATCTGTGTGCACAAGTAGCTGCCATGATGGCTCATTTCATTCTCCGCAGTGACTGCTCCAAGCCCCTGCTTTCTCACTCTTTTCCAGCCCCTCTTTCTCCATCCCCCAGCTCTCTGTGTGCCCTCTCCACATATTCTCTCTTTTTCACTGCTCCATTATCATTCATCTTTTTCACCTTGGCTGTCTTGGTTGCCATTATCACTTCCATCCCATCTCCACCCCTCATCATCTCTCCTGAAAGCAGCTTCAAAATTTGCTCTTTATGTGTCACAATGAGGCAGATGCTGACTTCTGATGGCATGTTGTGGCTAGTGCATACAAAACAAGCAACACAAAATGAGCTGGGTCTGCACATGTTCAGGTGCTCTTTGCAACGTGTTCCTACTGTATAACAAAGGCTGAATTTGAGAACTCTGTCAACAAAGTCTGAAGTCAACTTATCCTACAACATTTCGCAGATGGAGCAACAGAGTTATTAGAATAATAGTTTCAAGTGTTCAACATTGAGGGCCACAATTTTAGTTATCCTCTAACCTGATTTCATTTAATCTGAAAATGTATGTACCTGAATGGATTATGTTTTAATAAACATTTTTACTTACATTATGCCATGCTTTTTAACATTATGGCTGCCAGGAGGTTAACAGGTGCTTGAAGCCACAGGGAGGAATTTTTGACTGGTGATGAAACAGGCTGAAGATAACAGTGACCGCTCTTAGTGACTTGAAAACTCCTGTCATTGCTCCTGTCATTGCTGGTCTTGTTTACCAGCAACATAAAAATACTAAATATTTTCTGTGACCAGATATTATGTAATAACCAACATGGCTTAGCTGAAGTCTGCAGACAACTTTTATTGAAAGCAAACTTTAACTAAAGCTGCAACTAAAGAGTTTTGAAAGTTATTTCCTTCACTGAACAACTGACCCAAACGCAACATCAAGTACAACACTCGAACATTTTTCATTTGTTTGACATAAACACAGCTGATGTGGAACATAATATAAGATCTAGGCGAGTGAGATCCACTGGCCTAGATCCTATCACTGAAAAAAAAAGGCGAGATAGGCTTTTCACGCAAAAATTAAGCTATTTTGAGGCCGTCACACAACTGACAAGCTTCCTGCGTGGAGTGCCATGGTCTGGCACTCACTGCTGTGGAAACCCAAACAAGATCGTTATTAAACTATCCTGAACTTTACTGAACAAAGAAGGTCTGCATGATAGAAATACAACGTAGGCTAGGGGTTTAAGTATCACCAGAGCAGAGTGAAAGTTTGAAATTGAGAGGTGTGTAATTTTGTTGATTTTTTTTCTGTGTGGACAAACTGCTTCCTACAAAATATGATTTTAAAGTGACTTGAGTTAAAACTGACATTAGTCTGCACCTGAGTCTGAGCTTTTATGAGATTTTTATCTTGATAAGTTTTTCTTATCTTTTATTATCCTGATTTGTGAATTATAATCAGAAAATAAGTTACTTGATAGAGCCATGACCAACACCATGAATTTGTGCCAAAAAAGGAGCGCTTGTGGATGAAGGACTAATTAAGTCTTCCAAAAGGACGCAGGTAGAATTTCTGATGTTCAGCAGTTTCAACAGCTGTTAGCATCAGGGTCTCTCATGCGCTTCAGCTCTGAGATCCCTGACATCTGCCAACCCTTCACTGCAAATCTGTGGACATATGGAGAGCGCACACATCCTGCACTTACATCCAAGCTGTGTGACGCCATTAACCCAACCCTGCTGCTGCTAATGGATAACAGAGGAACACTTCCATCAAGATCATGGTCAGAAGTGCAGGGGGGTTCAAAATCAATTAGAGAGCCTGAACAACAGCCTCAAACCTCATGTGAGCAGCTCGTGATGGCTGTGGCACTGAACTCCAGCCTCGGCAGTATGTGCTAAGGAGGCTGTGGGTCACTTTCTACCGAAGTTTCTTCCAAAGTTCTTATTAAACTTATGTCAAATTATTCTCACTTCTTGGCTCTAATTTGCAATTTCAGGATTGTGAGCCACAGCTACCCTTTCATATACAGGTGCAATTCAGAAAATAAACATGTCCCAAAAAACTTTTTTTTTTTCCCCCTCACAATTTAAATGAAAAAAAGAAAAAAAAATTCCACATACCCTAGATTCATCAAACACAAAGTGAAATTATTCGACATTTTTTGTTTGACTCTTGATTATTACAGCTAACAAAATAAAAAATCCACCAATGCAGAACATTACAATACTGTGGAAGATTCTTCAGTCAATAATGACAGTCTTTAAAGGAGTTAGAATGAGCCAATAAACTGTGATCACGAGGAAAAGAATTGGTGGTCCAAAAGTTTTCAGATGAAAGTAAATTTTACATCTTATTTGAAAGCCAAGGTCCCAGAGTCTGGAGGAAGATTAGGGACATACAGAATTCCAAGAGCTTGAAGTCCAGTGTGAAGTTTTTAAATAAGGGTGCAAATAAAGAGTTTTGAAGGTCATGTTCATCACTGAGTAACTGTCCCTGAAACAACCTCTGAATAAAAGACATGTGTGAAAAACAACATGACAATAAAACTAATAACTCTTTTACTTTAAAAAGCATTTTTTAAAATACAATGATAGTACATTTTTCATTCATGTGACTTTAACATTGCCGATACAGAACATAATATACAGCCCTGAGATTCACTGGCCTATTCTGAAGTCATTACACAACCTGATTACACAATAAGCTTCCTGCATGGAGTGCCAATGACAGTCTTGAAAGGAGTTAGAATGAGCCAATAAACTCTGATCACCAGGAAAAGAATTGGTGGTCCAAAGGTTGTTAGATGAAAGTTAATTTTACATCTTATTTGAAAGTCAAGGTTCCAGAGTCTGGAGGAAGATTAGGGAGATACAGAATCCCAAGAGCTTGAAGTCCAGTGTGAAGTTCTCATAGTCTGTGATGATTTGGGGTGTCATATCATTTGCTGATGTTGGTCTGCTGGGTTTTATCAAGCCCAGAGTCAACACAGTTTAAAGTCTACCTGCAGATTTTAGAACTTGTCATGCATCCATCTACTGTAAAGCTTTTTGGGGATACAGATTTCCTTTTCAAGCAGGACCTGGCACCTGCCACTGCGCCAAAACTACCAGAATTACAGCATTACTGTACATGCCTAACCTGAACCCCAAACAGGAGCTCTAGGGAATCATCAAAAGAAAGATATGAGACAAGCGAGCAACAATGCACGAGCTGAAGGAACTATCAAAGCAACCTGGGCTTCAGTCATGTTGCATTGATGTAGTATTTTGTGCAGAACGAGCCCTGATTGAATACTGAGAGCATAAATGAACAGGATTTTCCAGAGGGTCGACATTTCTGTACAATAAACCCTTATTTTGGATTTTTTTTTTTTTTTCTTTGTGTGTGTTGTTCTAATGTTTTTAGATTTTGTTTGTAAGTCAGATTTTTGGATTTAAAAATGTTTAAAAAAAAAAAATACAGATATTTTTTCGAATTTTATGAGCTGTACCAGAACCAGTTTTACAGTCCATTTGGACCTTAAACAATGCACAACTTATGGTAGAAAAAATAAAAAAGTATAAAAATCAAAGTCAGCCTCCTCTCCTTGAAATTTTGAGCATAAGCCACACAGCTTACAAACAGGAAGGCCCTGCCCTGTTATCATGCACAAGGTTTCGCAGCCATCATCAGTAGCTGATGCTTTACCCTAACTCATGTGGAGCTGCTGTTAAAGATATTAAATCAAATGTCAGGAAGACCCGGTTTGGGTTGTAAACCACTAATGTGTTGATCAGCAGCTACTGTCCCATTGAAACCAGTCCAGCGTGGTCTTCATATGTTGTGGCAGTTAAACAAGGAGAGAAATTTGAGTATCAGCAGATGTTAAGTGACATTCAATGTCAGAGTCACCCTTAAAGGGTTGGTTTAGTTTCCCCAAAGACAAAACCAGCTGCAGGGTCAGACTCAAACAGCCCAGGTACACAGAGGTCACCAAGTTCAGGCCACAGGAACCAAAGCCTAAAGTCAGCAAAAAGTCTGTGTCCATTTTTACCTCAGAGAGCCAAGTGAGCCTCTCATGAGGAGCATCTTAACATTTACATTGAATGTACTATCCCTCTATACTGTTCTCAATGATCACTGTCGACATTATCAGTCATGTTCTACTAAAGATGCACAAATAGATGTCGAGCTGAGTGTTAGATTTTAAACAACAGAAAAGAACTTAAAAATGTACTTTAAACTTCGTACTAGCCTCAGTTGTGTAAAACTGAAGTTCCCTGTTTCTAGCTCCTCAACTGCAGTATGCAGCGCCATATTCAGTGTATTTCAGAGATCAGAGCCAATATCAATCCTCCCATCTGTCTCTTTTCAAGTAAGTGATTCTCAAATTACTGTTTAGCTTCTAAACACACCAATCTTTCAGCTACACTCACTTTCAATTTAGTACACAACTGTATAAACTCTCTGCACTCTCACCAAATTACATTCATGAAGCTGGGTGTCTGTGTGTAACCATGGCTGTATATAAACGTCAACTTTAGCCTTTATCCACTCAGATTAGCCACAATAACCGAACATAATGGTGTATTTTTGACTGTGAAAACGTGCTGAGAGCAGGTAAAACAACAGATATACTTTCAAGCTTTTCAAGTGTGTAATACTGCTTGTAAAGCCTGCAGCTGGATGTTTTGTTAGTGTGATTCAGCTGGGAAGTGTTCATGTGTGGGAAGTGCTTGAGGCATCTTTGTTTGTCTTTTCCGGACCACAGATATTTAAAGTTTCATTTTAAGGACAGTTTTTAACTCCGCTTTTTTGCAAATCACCTTTATTTTTTAACTTGATGCAGATTGGTCAAATCCCCTTAACAATAGTTGTTTGTTCTCAAAAGCAAAAGTGACACAAAAGACAACCACAAATCACACACGTCCTACAAATCAAATCAGTCTACAAACAGCATTCATGGCATATCTAGCATACTGTTTATAATTTCACCTCTAACTGTTGAATATGTGACCAAAACAATACCTTTGAGTACAGTCAATGGTAAGTTAGGGAAGTGTATTGCAATTACCAAAAAAAAAATAATAATAAATACATTGATAAATTAATTAATAATAATAAAAGCTGTTTTTCAGAGTAATTTTTTTCTGTTCTGCTCTGTTCTTTGGACTGATTTTTTTATCTGTTTTTCAGAGTATTTTTTGTCTTTTCTGTTTTTCTCACTATTTTTGTTTTGTTTTGTTTTTCAAACTCATTGTTTTTGCTATTCTCTGGGATCATGATCATTTAAAAACAGACTCTTTCATCCCATTCTGCTCGATTTATTGGAAGCAAACATGGCCCACTTGATTAGTTTAATAAAGTTTTACTTTCTTTTGAGATACTGGGAGATATTCCTTTTTTAACCCTCACATACCGTTCGGGGTCAAATTTGACCCGTTTTGACTTTTAACAGCAGTAAAAATACCCTAAACATCATTCTTTAAGCCTGAAACTTGATGACTTTTCCTGAAGTTGCCCAAAATACATTAAATTAATTTAAAAATATTCATGTGTATTTTTGTTTATGTGCTACAAATTTTTCCCCTCTAAGGCTGTTATGGGTCAAATTTGACCCGTATCTATATTTAGATGGATTTTAGATCTAGCAGTGTGGGACAAGTGACAAACAGTAACAACAGTGTTCAATATAAGGTTTGTTGTTCAAAAAGATATATCCAAATCATTATTAAACTATCATTACCTTGACAGAAACACACACACACACGCACGCACACAGACATACGGTCACACAGACACACTTAGACAGAGGTCAAAATGACCTAACTAGTCAAGAGAACTTTCTGTGACAGAAAGCTGCTCTTTGAACTCTTTGAAGGGGTAATTTTGACCCGGAACATACTGTGAGGGTACAGGATTTGAACAGTATGTGAGGGTTAAGTCAGATAGATTGAATTGTCATAGGATTGTCTTCTTTACACAGACACCTAAGAATTTGCATACCCTATGTTTAACTAATAATAAGCTTTTCTCTCATTGACCCAATAGTCGAAGTTATCTAGGAGCCTGGAATCCACTGATTTGTAGCAGCCGCAGTGGTTCATGTTATTTGATTGTATGAGATTCTCGCAGGATTTTTAAGTATCTCGCTCAGTTAGGGAGAAAAAACATAGTCAGAAAAACAGCAAAGATATATATTTTTTTTAAAGTTACTAAAAAAAAAAAAACAGGTTCCTTTTTTAAGTAAGTGAATGCAATAGGCTTCCGTAGTAGACAACATGGCGGAAAAGATGGACAAGTGCATTATTGACCCCCGGGCAAGATATAAGCATTGACAGACCATCGACATGTTCTTCACAATGTCTGCTGCAAAAATATTGTGACGTGTCTGACGTTTAAGTGTCTTCTCTAGAGCTCATCCCAGGAAACAAAACCGATATTTGGAGAACAAGTGAACAATCAACAGTGAATGAGCAGCTCTAATCAAACAGCCTGAGTTTAGAAATGATCGATTTACTGAGGAGAGTCGGCATGTGTTTTAACAAAGCAAAGCTCTACCGCCACTTTGTGAAAGACATGTAAACAGTGTCTTTCACACTTATCTCTGTGGACATGGGGTGATGCCTGAAACCATGGCAACTGTGCAAGACAAAGGTGGTGACAGCTTAATGCTCAGGGATATGGATATGAAAAATGTGCAGTAGAAAAGAGAGAAACATGCCCACATTTCATCGAGACTAATTCAGAATTTTGATGAAACTGACAAAATAAAGACTACAGATCAGTCTATTGTAGGAGCTGTGATTGTGAGTCTTGATGAATAGCTTGCAGGTCATAAAGGTCTATTGATGTGCAGTTGCAGTTTTACCTTTTTTGATCAATAGCAGTTTGTAAGGAAAAAATAAATAAAACGGAATTTTAAAAAAAAAGCTAATAAATGTGGAGAGCTTTTTATGTGTATGGGGTCATCCAGTACATAATATTGGTGTCTGCTGAAAGAGATGGTGTTTACTGGATTTGTTGGCAAAGGACATGGGTATCTGGAAGGACATTTAAAATAAAAGGACCTTGTCAAATCATTAAAATCTGTTCTGTCATGAAAATGTGGTGTTTCAATCAAAAGCTTGTTAAACTCAGAAGCCAAGCCCGCCTCACCACTCTGTTAGTCCTTCCAAAAGCACAGGAAGCTTTTGCAATTCTGGCATACACAGCTGTGTCTCTTCATAGAGATGTCTTTGGTCAAACCTAAATGGTAATTCATGGACCCTTGTGTGCAGAGAAGTTTAAGGACCACAACCATCTCTAGAGCAGACCTGATTGGTGTCATTTAGGCAAGTATGTAGGTATGTATAAATGAGTGTTTAATCACCTGAATACAAAAACTGTTTTTGGTTGTTTATTTACTTGAATGAGCCTTTTACATCCACAAAGGAGAGGGTCCCTTTCCACGGTAGCCTAGAGGGGTCAAACTAATCATGCCCATTCTTGTATTTGGTGAGTGGACTGTTTGAAATGCGCGAAAGATGAAAAAGGATGAGAGTAGTTATGCTCAAAATAATTTGTATTCAATGATAAAAACTGGGAAAAAAAGTCCTTGAAGGCCTCTGTTGCTTTACCAATCGGAGGGGTGAGCAAGGGAGCATTTCCCATTTCTACAAACTATAACACAGCTAACTGAATTATCATTGGCTATCTGTGTATGGAAACCAGAATCTCATTGTGGGTTGTGTTCTGCCTGCTTTTGCTCTCTATACAAACTGTTTTACTACGTACACCAAAGCATGCTGGTTTGTGATTGGTCAATACATCTGGTGCTAAAATCACAAGACATATTGAAACCAGAACACTTCCCAAAGTGAACACTTAGAAAAGATTTTCATGCACTCATCAAACCAAGATATTTGGTAAGAAAGTAACCAAACAACATCTCATCAACAAGTTGTCAAAAGTTGGCTTAAACTGAGAAGCTTCAAAGGATTTATTTATCTTGTGTTTATTTTGAGAACAGGCACTGGTCTGTCTGTATGGTGGCCATTATTTCACTCTTTCCTCATATCTTGGGCTCCCTGCCTGCCTTGACCTAGTAAGCCATGGCCTAATTGGAGTATCTAAATGTATTGCAGCCTCTCGTCTGGCACTGCCAGCCTCTGCAGCCATCTGTCTGTAGGATGTAGCAGCATTTCTCTTTTGGCTGACACACCAACAGTTGCACCAATTCATTCATTAAGGCAGTGATGAACAGAGACCTGTTCCTCAAAATATATCTGTACTGTATTTTACAGGCTCTGGCTTTATTGAGGATGGCTGCCCACTGTTCAGACAGAGTGTGCTTGTCTCAGCTGCACCCTGCATGTGCTTCTCCTGCAGATATAAATCTAACGTACCTCTTGAGGATTCTGTGCAGGAATTGGAGCAGTGGTCACAGATATATTATCACTTTGATTGGGTTCCTACTGACCTGTTTTCATGTGTTCACTTGGTCCCTCACTCCCACTTAAAGGCACTCCGATGTTGACTTTTGGTGAAAATTCTGGTTCCCAATTTATTCATTTCCAATTAAAAGACCCATATGTGGAAGTTTTTAGATTTTGCAGTTCCTGTTGAGCTGTTTTCTGTCTTTTAGGTCTCTTCTAGACTCTGGACAAAGTTTTTATGCAGCTGGTTACCTTTAATGTTTAACCAAGTTTATCTTAAGAGGGAATGCTTGGGAATCTAAATGTGACCTGTAAAAAATGTGTATTATCATGTTTATGCAAACCCTACCAAGCTTTAACATGATTGATGGTAATCAATAAGAGTACAGAGCCAGCCATACTGGTAGCATGAATTTTCAACACTCCTTTGAAAAGACCCAACATTGAAAATCTTTTGCTACATCTGAAAGTCTAAACCTCCTCATCTTTGTTTTTGTACCTGAGCTAATTACCTTTTCCTCCACCTAACTGGATAAAAAATTCATGTGTATAATTAATTTGTTGTTAGAATTTAATGCCCTCAGGATGTATTAGACTAGAGCCATGCTGGGACGATCAATAATATTCACACTGAATGTGTTTAAAAACATACGGAAGGAAATCCTCCTGGAAGGTGTTTGTGTGTGGATCTGTGTGTATGTGCTGGTGTTTTAGGCAGTTCCAGGACAAAGTGAGAAATGAGCTTTTAGCCCCCTGTGTCTAATTGATGAAACACAAGAACAAAGGAAAAAGTCCTATTTTGCAGCTGTGTGTAAGTGCATGTATACAGCTGGGTGAGTGTTTGAAGGAGTCACGACCAGAGTGTGGTGTGTGTAAGAGCTTCATGGCTTGAAAAGGTTAAAAAGAGACATCTTATATGAAGTTTTACTCCTGATTATGCAGTCAAATACATTACTCCTATAATATCAGGATTTAGTACTATACCCTCTGTTTTAGGTTCCAGAGAAATTAAGAACAATATGCTATTGATCTGAATTATGGGATTTTACAGTAGGGGTGTGAGAAAATATTGAAACACTAAAATACTAATGTGATACAAAGCACTGTATCAATACAGGTCCTCACATGAATGGCAAAACAGGAAACACCACAAACAGCCCATGTAGTCCATCCTATCTGTTTTACAACAGTGGCTTTCAAGTAAATCCCTTCAGTTTGAATTATTTCCATTTTACCAGTGATCAGCTATAAACTCAAACTCAGTGACCGTGTGTGTGGGGAGAGGAAGGCTATAGAGTGCACAGGAAATGCACTCACTCCCATCATTTCTTTGGCTCATGAAAAACCAATTTTAATGGCAGCCCTGTCATAAAGTTTTGATTCTGTAACCTTGGTTTCAGTGGGGTAGCCGACATCAATAAAAAAGCAGTGACATGTGGCGTTCTTGTGTGTGTGTTTGTGGGCTTATACATGTTTGTGTGTATGCATCATCCAACCCCTGTGTGGATCTGACATGCAGTCAGTAAGGAAGGAAGTAAGGAAGCTATAGCGAGACCGTGGAGCTGAATTCAGTATTGATATTTTGAAATTACTGGACTACTTTAGTGCAGATATTTGTGCATTATTTGTCAAACAGACTCCAGAAATTTACTATTACTTTACTCATTTACTTTAGAAAATGTGTTAAATGCAAAGTCACTTAGGGCTGCAAAAAATAAATCTGTAGATAAAAAAAAATTAAATATAGAAGATAAATACAAGTATATTAAAACAAAGAAAAAAGCCAAGGAAGACTAACTTAACTGATAACAAAAAGCTACCTCCCTGTATGTAGTAAACTAATGAGAATACCTTGTTTTAAAAAAAAAAATGTCTACATCATAACACACATGGAAAAGTGTACCTGTATGTGTTAAGTTTAAGTATTGAACAGTGAATACCTGACTGGTCCAAATCCTGTATATGAAAATAGAGTCTGAATAATGTTAACATTCCTTATGTAGATCCACTAAGTTTTAGTCATGCCTAAGTGAAATTGTTGACCAGATCACTGAAAAGTTTGCACATGAAATGTATATGGTACAGTTACTACCTGCTCTCAGGAGTCCAGACATTTTTCTCCAGTAAAAAGACTGGAGAAAAATGTTAGCTCTTTTTCACTTTTAGCTCTTTTTGAATTAGCCAGTTTCTGTTTTTGTCTCATTTGCCTTGATAAATTGTCCTTTATATCCAAAAAGTGCTTCTTAATTGATTTTTAACAACATACACTTCCACCAGACATGCAAAAATGCATACTGAGTGCACTGCAGAGCTTTAAATGATAAAGATCTTTTCCTTACCTTGTCATTTTAACCTACGATAAGTGAATTTGTCTGTAACTTGATGCTTGATTTTGCATCTGCTGGTGCCTTCATGTTGGAAATCATTTTCCTCTGTGTTAGTTAATGTGTCCCCATTTCCTATAGATGTTCATGTTGTATCTTGTCCTCAGAATCTTTTGTTAAATGTTGATGGTAGGTCTCTATTAAAAGGTTCAACTTTAGCATGTGGGGATATTCAGGTATTAAAATTCTCCGTCGCTACAATGGTTTTCCATCATTCGCAAAAATAAGAGAGAAAAAAATGTTTTGTCGTTGTCCCGTTAAGGCATTCAATCTAACTATAGTACAAGGATTAACTGACACTGCTTTCAGCAAATAAAGCCAGCCAGAGCCATAGTTTTAGCCAATCAGAGGCAGAGAAGAGGGCGCCATGCTTGCCAATGCGTGGTGGTTATGGGTACAAGAATTGTTATCAAAGTTTTGCCAGATCATCAGAAAGTGGCGAAAGTTAACACAGGAGAAATGTTGGTCAAACGGTCAGTCAGTCATCTTCATCTGCTTGTCCATTACAGGGTCATGAGGTGCCTAGAGACAAGGTTGATGGGCGATACACACATACGCACAGGTTGATGGTCTGTTAACATGATTTAGAGTAGCAAAAATTGTCAGTCCAAAGCTTTGTTTTTGCTTTAATCCCTGGGTATTGTACCTTATGTTGTGGATAGGCATGCATTCTCAGAAAGCACACTTGAAAGCTCTGACATGACCTCATCCTTGACTTTTCGCTCACAGCCAGCAGGTACACTCACTTTGTTCCCTCTGCTTGGCAAACTCTATCAGAACCTGTGACATTAGGACTGAACATAGGTTTCCTGATTATCCCTCTCCCTCTCAATCTACAGTAGAGTTTCTTCGGAGCTCCAAGGGGCACGATAAGAGTCAGGAACTCTAGATGGAGCAAAAGCAATCTAACCACAGAGAAAAGTCCTTTACGTGCACAATCCAACAAGTCAATTTTCTTGTACAGTGCACTCCGGTGTTGTTATCCCAAATGAAAATGAATGCCCCAGCACATTCACACACATACTCCATACAATCACTACCCCTGCCCCCTGAATTCCCCTGGCCAAGCCTCACCCTCAATTTGATTCTTGATTCCCTCCCTTACAAGTTATTTGTCTGAAGAAAGCAGCAGGTGATGTTTATTCCCCACTGTCCTGCTGATTTACTTGACTCCCTGATTCAATAAAAGTTACAATCATGCTTCTCTTTCACTGCAACCTTGCAGACACCTCAGCATGATGGCAAAGGGGGAGAGATGAAGTAGGTGGAAGTGAGGAAAACAGAAGGAGGGAGGACAGTGAGTGTTTGTAGACAGCCTCAGTGGAGCACTGAGTATACTTGCAGAGGAAGGACCTTCAATGGGCTCTGGGCAGCCACAGGAGGCTGCTGGTGTACAGGACTAATGCAGCCAACACAAGTCCTGTGATCAATCATGTTTAACTGCCGACGACTTCTCTAGCAGAGCATCCAGGAGCTGGAATGCTGAGGCAAACAAGCCAGAAAAACAAGCCTACAAAAGTGCAGCGACTGTCTTTTTCCCTCCTGGGTGGTGTGTAGGTGTGTTTGTGTTCTAGCTGATCATTTGTCTGGGCACCCAGGTGTGTGTTTAAACATGAGAAAAAGTCAGAAGACTTGACTGCCTCATGGTAGTGTTCTGTTTCTGGGAATTCATTTTTCTTGGACTCAAAGTTATAAAAGTGACTCAGGCGTCGTACAAACCCTGATTCCAGTGAAGTTTGGACGTTGTGTAAAACGTGAATAAGAACAGAAAACATAAATCCTTTTCCACCCATATTTAATTGAATACTGTACAAAGACAAGAATGAATGTTAAAACTGATAAACCTTATTGTTTTCGGCAGATATTTGCCTTAATTCCTTAATTTACCTTAATTCTGATGCCTGTAGTGCTGTCCCCGCTGTTCTATTAAGGTACTACAGAGGAAAAATCTTCTCCAAGTCACACTATCTTGTGGCCACGATGGATGTATTCAGTTTCTTTGATTTCTTTCTTTTTTGTGTGGGGTGGGTTTGGGGGGGTGGAGGCACAGCTCCTAGTATCGTAAAGTCCAAGAACGCCCCTGGACAGGCACACTGTACAGATGCTCAGTTTACTGCTCTCTCAACCTTTTCTTCATCTTTAACTATTCAAGTTTATCATAGCTGCAAAATATCTAGATAAATTCACTCTCAAACAAGTCTCTGAATGAGGTTTAGACATGGAGCTGTTAACAATTCAAACAGAAAAAAAAAAACTCCAAACATTCAAACTGGTGTGGCCCCAGAAGCTGGTTGTGTTTTTTTCTATCAAGATGCAGCTGGAAAAAGTCTATAAAAATGAGAAAGACACAGGGAGGCAGAGAGAATTTAAGTGCACTTGTTACAGACAAGGGACAAAATGAAAACTGCACACTTCAACCAACTCAGCCTGGTACAAGAAAGCTTTACTCATATTGAAGGATTAGATCTGCACTGGGTAAAATATGATCGACTTTGAATGTCTGACATTCAAGGTTTCTGCCTGTTAAAGGAAGTTTTTCTGCTTCACTGTAACTTCCTAAATGCTGCAAAGAGTTACACTCATATGGTGGATGATTGGATGGGAGTGGGTCTAATTACATTTGTGATGGCACTGATAATAATAAGCTTTTGAAGCAACATACCATGCCAAGTACGCCTGTATTTGAGTAATAAGTTGCTCATTTCTCAGGAAAATGCCAAACAACATTCTGTATGTGACACAGGGTCTCAAACATGACTCATCTCAGCCCCCCTACGCCTCAGGAAAGTAACATGAGAAGGGGAATGTCACTCCAGTACGTGGTGATGGCTGACATGTTTTAATATGACTCTCGGCATTAGTCGAGCATCTTGTCTCAGTGACTGCACTTCCCCTCCCTCTGGCAGGAAGGAGGGAGAGATGATGGAAGGGTGAAAAGTGGGACCAGATTGGTGAGGATGTAGCTTTCCGAGGTCTTCATGTTCTGATGCCAAGATAAGACTTAACTTTGGTGGCATGCAACAGCTTGAGCCTCACCGAGAGGAGAAGAATCACACACAACTCGTGACTTGCTTATTGAAAAATGCCAGCAAGGTTTTTACGCTGTAAATGATGAATATGACAGCAATAGCTTAAACAAAATGAGCAACTTTTGATGGCTCTGCTCTTTGTCTTTTAAAAGTCACTGCTTTCAGTCAGACGCAGGGAGTTTGAAGCACTTTAAAAGCCAAATGAGAAATGCCGGTGCTAAATATATATTTTAACAAGCAGTAATAAGGAATTACAGTTTTTATGAGTGCTAGTGGCATCTGTGAAGTTTCTTCCTCATTAATTAGATTTAAGGAGAGTGTTACTGTCAAGGATCATCTATCTCCTCCATGCTGTTCTTCTCCTCATAACTTAAGTGTCACAGAATAAGCTTTTCTCTGTCTGCTATTCAAAGTCAGATTAACCCTTTTTTTTAGAGCTACAGATGTAAGAGGTTTCTGTTGAAGGTAACAGGAGATAAAGAGTCAGACTTTACAGGTACTCAGAAAACTGTTTCTAATCTTTCCTTCCTGGTTGAGATGGTGTAGAGTTACAAAGCTGCTCCAGCTGACCTCCCTCTGGTTTGCAGTGTCAACCATCAAGAAACCCCAAAGAATGATTCTGGCATGGTGAACACTAATTGTTCCAAAGGATTCATCTTGGGTCTACTTTCCCCTGATAAGTCCCATGAGCTATGTGGTTTCAGGCAGACAATTAGAGGGATGTTTGTCTGGGCCTGGTTAGCACAATTCCCTCACATGAAAATGTTCATATTAAGGCTGACACACGTGTTTGACTTGAGAGGGCACGGTGGCCCTGTAGGCCAAAATATTACAACAGCAGTTTAAAATCTAACTTCAAAAATACAAATATATATATATATTTGATGTCATTGGAGATATCATCTGTTTTTGTTTTTTGTGACCTGTCATTGGATTTTTGGAAAAGGAAAAAAAAGGGGGGGGGGGGGGGTTGATGGGCGCCAGTTTGGCCAAATGGTTTGAGTGCAAACCCCATGTACAGAGGTAGTAACCCTCATCTCAGCAGTTGTTGGCTCAATTCACAGACTCTTTTCAGCATGTTTATATGATTGATCACTGATATTTAGAACCAATGTGCATTGGCAGTAAAAATGAAAACTGTCTTACTATAGAATTTGGAAAATCACTAACTCTAACAAGACACTTGCTTTAAAGGCCTTCAGCAAATATCTATACAAAACTGAAACCCTCTGAATTCATCCGCGGGTGCATCACCTGTGTGGATGTTTTCCACTGTTTTAGAGGACAGTAACATGATCACAGTATAAAAATATGCTGAGAGGAGAAAAAAGTCTTTTTTACCTTCAAGCAGGCATTCTGCTACTTTTAAAGATATCAAATAGCATATTGCTTTAAATCAGCTGAAATCCTTCTTGCAGGAAAGTTTATACACGTGTATTAATGTAAAGGCACTATAATGCACCGTTTCATCTTTGCCTCACTGAACGAACCAGTGTTCAGCAGTCAGTGAACGATGCTACACCACTCCCTCCTCTGCCTGCATCAAGTCATCTGGAAGTTGTTCATTTCGTTCACCATGTCATTTATTGACTGACTGAATCATTCCGTTCACATACTGATACATGTTGTTCACAAACGTTTCATTCACTGACTGTTACATATCGTTCATTTGCTGTGAGTGAATCACGAGACTCCACCCGCCCACCCACCGCTCACTGGCTGGCTGTGTGTCGTTCGGCAAAGAGTCAAAGGCGGCAGTTCCACTCCCAACCGGCATGCCAGGCTCAACTGAAATGAAAAAGGAACGAATCAGGTCTGGAAGTGATTCAGTTCACTTCCTTCAGTCAGCAGATCTGTTCTTTTGAACGAAACGTTCATGAACGACACAACACTATGGTGGTTTTAGTTAGAGTTGGCATGTATGGAATAATAATGCATATCTTTGCTTTATTTTACTGCCAGATGTGCAAAAACTTGATATTTTAAGAAATGAAAATAAATATTTACAAAAATTAGTAATCTTATCAGTTGGAGCCATCAGTGGAATGCAGACATATTGTACATTCCTGATCCTTTTGTTTTCTCTTCAGTTTTGTGTTGCAAAAAGTTGAAGTGTTTTGACCCTCAGGGCCACTGTACAAAACTCAGCCCTTGTGAACATTTGCAATCGCTGGAAACCTCACTGTCTGATTACTGCATGGATACCTACCATAACTGCAAGCCAAGATGAGGGTAGACGGAAAAAGTCACTGGAGGAAATTCACGACAAAACACTTCAGTCTCTGCTGATTTGCTATTAACAATCAGACTCACAGGAGCCTCCATCAAGAGAAATCACTTACAAATCCACCTGCATGCAGCTCTTCCCTCTGTGCTCCATTTTCACCCTGTTTTCTTTGTTATTTCTCTTGGCCGCACCAATTCCACCACTTCCTCCTGTATGCTTTTACCTTCCAAACAACCTCTCTCCACTCCCCCTCTCTCTCTTTCTCTCCACTCCCCTCTGTCTCACATCATGTCTGCTTCCTACCGCCTGCTTAGTGTCACACCGTCGCCACCACCAACCTCACAGTCTAATGGCGTGTGTCTGCTGCTGCTGGGTGGGTGGGGAGGAGGGCATGCAGCAGCTGGGGAAAGCACAGGAGGTACTGACTGCCAGACTCCCACAGCTGAGGTGATACTCAGCAGACTGTATGGGAGCCGCCCGCTTCATCCATACAATCCAGTTACTAGACCTGTGGATGCCAAATTTATCGATAATTTGGATTCATTGGAAACGCTTGAGGCGTGCTGATGTTGTACAGTGTTGGAGGAGTTTGGGTGTCATGAAGGAGCGATTTTGTTTGTCTGTAAAGGTAATTATAAACATGACCTTGTGTCCATTGTGGGTTCATACAAAAGAATCTTTTCAGTGTTGAATTTATGATTGTTTTGTTGATGATTCATAGTGGTTGTTGATATCAATTGGTAGGAATAAAGGTGCACCTTTTTGTACCAAACTACAGTTTAAAACTATGACCAGTGTTTCAGTACAGCAAAAGACACAAGTTGTATTTAAGTGTCATTACATTAGTCAGTATAACACTGACCCTTTTCGCATCTACACTTCGTCGTCAACAGCTTTTTTTTTCTCCAGTTTTGTATGTGTGCCTGGAAGTCCACTCACTGTGATGAAAAACTCCCCCCCACTAGTAAATATCCAATCAGTATGTGCTCAACATGTGACATCATGGTAGAGTCTCACAAGTCATATCCGAGGAGAGGTGAATATGGCACCAAGGGCTGAAAATACAGATTAGCACTGTTTGCCTTCATATTCATTCAGGGTATGGTGAAAATGCAAACCAGAAACACCCAAACAGCCTTTACCTTTAACATGCTTGTCTATAATTTTCTTTTTAATCTCCTGAGACAACTCTTTCCTTCGCTTCCTCTGGTCCATGTTGAGTGTGGTACACACCATGTCACCAAAAACCACAGTGACTACCTGTAGCCCTTTATATAGGACCACTGACTGATTACAAGATTGTAGACACCTGTGATGCTAATTAGTGGACACACCTTGAATTAGCAATGTCTGACTTTCATTGTTTTTTTTTTTGTTTGTTTGTTTTAGTTTTTCTTTCATTAAGCGAAGGGTACCAACAATTTTGTGCATGTGTGTAAATTAAAGCTGCATGTAGTGATGAACAGGACTTTGCATCGTCCTCCATGTAAGGGTGTGTTTCATGTTGGTGTAAATGGTTTCTTGTAGAATTCTTATTGATATTTCACCATGATGATAAGAGACTTTTTTAGCAGGTCACAGGAAGCTAAAACTGATTTTCTGGATGACCCTGCTTTGAGGGGCTATTTAGAAAGGAAGAAAAACTACAAGCTTGTTTAGCTTTTTGTTACTCAAGGTCTGTTGTGGGCTCTGTCGTGGCACCGGGTCAGAACTTCACTGATGATGGCAGAGACTTCACAACATAACTTGGCTGCAGAGAGTGATTTAGCTCCAAGTTTTTCCCCAGCTTCTGGCCAGCTTCATGCACATTTCTGGCAGATAGAAAATAACATCTGCCCAAATATCCAGAAGGGAAATACCAAAAATATATTAGCATATTACCCCTTTTGGTCCTAACATAAAACATTTGGTCCCTTGAAGTAGAGATGAAAAAAGTGGGATCCTCTTATATTGGAGGTCTACACACTTTCATGCTAGTATACAGTTTATACTGTATTTATTAACCACAGATCTATGAAATCCCCCTTTTTTTTTCTTTTGCCCAAACATCACTGACCAAGAGAAAAGCGTTGGACTCAACAAAAGCAACTACTTTAAAAGGATTACAAGACACACGATCAAGTTTTAATCTCTGTTAAGGAAAGACAGTAAAGAAGTGACTCTCATACTGGCAGATGAAAGAGGATTGACAGTTAACTGGTCCATAATCTGCAAATTCACAGCCTGCATGCTCAACATTGATCTTCATTAAGGTGATCAGGATGAAGTCTAGAGAAACATACACCACACTGGGTGACAGGATGGTCTTGCTCTGCTTGTGTGGACCTCTTAGATGAAAATGAAGAATAAAACAGACCAGAGCCATTTTAATCACATCTTAATCTATGACAAGCAAAAGAGTTTGCAGCATTCATCAAGTTAAACTAATAACCAATGAATTAAAAAATACATATTTGAGTGGTTCCAACTTATGTATCATTTTGAGTAAATATTCCAACATTATTTCTGGCCAAATTTGACAAATAGTTTTCACAGGTTGCTACTCACACACACTCAAGCTCCTTCTTTCAACCAGGAAGTTCAATCTGGCTCACTAACGTGACCGCACTACTAACACAGTCATAAAAAATATAGTGTGGTTTCTGTTTGAAGGAATGCAACTTTGAAGCACCAGGGGACTATAACCTGCCCTTTAACAGGGGATCTTTAATAATGTGTGGGAGGGTGTTTTATTTGTACTTTTCAGACTGAAAAGCATAAAGGGAATGATTGGCTTTGTGGATGCACTCCGCTGAACAGACTTTGTTTTCAGTGTTTCCTGTTTGTTTCAAAAAGGCTGATGTCAGGATAACTGTGTGCATGGCATGAATTATTGGTAAGAGATGCTGCACATTTTGAATACACAAATCTGTAAAGATTAATGTGCATAAACCCATAAGCTCTTTCTTTCTTTTTTTTTCTCTCTCTCTCCCTCCCTCCCTCCTTTCCTTCCTTCCTTCCTTCTTTTCTTTGTGTTATGAGATGTACCTTATTGGGAGATGTCCATCAATGCATCAGTTTTGATTAAGTTGCACCACAGCACAACTTCACAGAGCTGGTCAGAGTGTATCACTAGCAGACAAGGGTAAAGGATCTGCAATGACCCGGATGATCCTCATTACTGCAAATGCAGAAATGACTCAACTTAAAAAAGAAAAAAGAAAAAAAAAATCATATACGTATATATATATATATTTTTTCTTTCAAAATGAGGCCTTTCTGACTGATTTCCAAGAATGAGTCTACAGTTGTGTTTGGAGGAGCAAAAGGAAACAAGGTTTTATTCAATTTGACGAAATTACAGGCCTGAAGGTCTTGAAAACGGTTGGAAAGTTTTTTTTTTTTTTTTTTTTTTTACACAATACTGTCAAACTGCAAAAGATCTAACAAGGCCTGAGAAAACAAGACCACGAAAAAAGGGGAAAGACATGGTTACAACGGATTGATCTATGGTCCAAAGGCATGTCTTAAGTAGGGGCAGATTCTTAGGGTCCTGGTGACAATTCACATACAAGAAAACTGACCACGAAGCCAAGTTGGCTCCTAAAGTCGGGGAGTACTTGTCCCCCAACTGATCCATGCCTTTGGTCAGGTCAGAAAACTGGTAAACATTTGGAAAATGATGGTTAACGTTAAAGTACACTTTATAATTGCTCTTTCTATAGAAGCCTGTCTTAATAATTGAAAGAAAAATGGGTAAATCTATAAAAGATGAAGACTGTAAAGATGAGTAGAAAAAAACACCTCATCCTGTTCCAGGATTAATCTGATACAGTTTAAAGTGGTCCATCAAGCCAAATATTCCTTATATACATTTTTTAATTTGCAAAGCTGCAGACTTTTATGTTTATTTGGTGAAACACACTGAAATTGGATTTTCTGGCTTAGTAACTAAATGCATATCAGGTCCACAAAAGAATTCAATATTTCATCTAATCAAAGAAATGTCAGTGTTAAGATTTAAGCTTTATGAGGCTCTGCTGACTGAGAATTTGCAGCAGGAAAAATTAATGTAAAGCAGTTCATGTAAATTTGTGCGAACTAAACTTTAAGTCAAAGTGAATTTGTCACTGAGTACAACTTAAACCTGCCTGTCCACCTGAGCTGTATATTATAACTCAAAAATAGGAACATAGTCAGAATCATGTGGGTATTTATTTCTGTCTAACTTATCGACTGTGTCCATATGGCTGTCAGTCTACCTCTTCCATTCGCCTGCAGACCTGTGTGTGTGTGTTTGGAAGATGCTGAAGGTGACTTATTCTCCTCTGGGGATCTCACACATGTTTGCTGGACTGCCATCAAACAGATTTACGCTCTCTCCTGATCTTTGCCTTAAAAATAAACACCACAACAAATCGGGTTGAGTTGAGATGGGGGAAAAGATTTGCTCTGAACCAAGGTTAGGTTTTGTTTTAAGATGGTAAGGCAGACTAGAGTCCATATTTTGAGGGATTTAAAGATCTCCGCGACGACCTTTAGGATTTCCTAAAAAATTATTATGCAACTACAAGAGCATAAAACCATAAAAAAACTGATCTAAAATCCATTGCGGTAGATTTAAAACAAAAGTAAGGGGGGGGGGGGGGGGGCTGGCTCCACTTTATGCGAATCCCACATGGCTCCTTGAAACTTTAACACTAAGCTAAAGTGATGATTTGATTATGAAGACATACAACACTAAAGGGATCAGCTGATTTTTATAAGACCACAGGAAGGGCAACCACAAGAAAACAATTACACACTGAACTGACTGAAGTCCCACACTGCTTATTATATCAAGTACCATGATTTAAGCTTTTCATACATGCTTTGAGTTTAACCGCTGTTGTTTTTCATTCTGTCAAAACCTGTATATCAGGATTATGTCGTCTTCAAACCTGAAAATTGGATTTCTGAACCCAACAAAGGGGATATTGTGAATCAAACACAATATCACATTTGTAAGAGGGTCTGCCATAAAAGAGGACAGTGTTTCTAATCTTTCAAGTGGTGCACTGGAAAAGTGCAAAATGTACTGTAAATGTATTCATTTGAACCTGATGCACTGAAAGAGTCACAGCACTGGTGTGAGTGTGACTGATAACAAGCTTGAGGAGTCAGTTAAGGTGAAAATCAAGAGAGGAGAAAGTGTTAGATCAAGTGCTGAGAGCAAACTTTCAAGTGCAAATGAAAGCAAACTTTCATTATTACTGTAGGCTGCAGTGAAAGGAGTGCACAGGGCGGAGGTGGAGGTGATAGGTTAATTTAGAAGTGTCTGAAATTAAAGCCAGTGGTAGCCAAAATCTAAAACAGCTTCACAACTTTCAGTGAAGGGTCTTATTTTGTAATGCTATAGTATAATAATAGTTCCAGTTCAGTTCTTTAACATTAGGTTCGACTTGGGCCTAATGTGGCCCAGTAAAATAAGACGAGATACTTCTTTGCCTCTCATAACGATACACAACACACATTAACGTCAGTGCAGACAGATCAACAGCAGGGTAGTTGAGAAGGAATATTTATTTTTTTAAAAGGGTGTATTTTACTCCTAGATAAGACAGTTGAAGGGTAAAAAGGGAAAAAGATATCATCGAAAGATGTCAGCTGAGGTGAAAGGACTGATTTGCAGTGGAAAAAAAACAAAAACTATTTGCTTTTTTTTTTTTGGTAAAGATTGGACATAAGAGACTGAGTACCAATTAGAGGGCAAGCACTTGGATGCTAATTGAAGAGAAGAACTTTAAGTAGTTTGAGGGAGAATGTTGTGTCCTCTGATAACATCCAACCAGCCAAGAGTCAATCACAGCTGACTTCAGAGAAACAGTTTCCTTAAGGACGTGTTTCCTAATGACTTGTCCTATCCTCCTGCCTAGTCTTCCTAAATCAAAGTTTTATGGTCGACTCACAACAGTGATGAGCGAGCGCAGGCAATTTACATGGAGTTAACTCTTTCTGTTACAGATTTAGCCTTATTGGCAAATTATTTCCCTGTCCTTGTTCCTCTACTTCAATCTCATGAATTGAAAATATTCAGAAATTTTGGACAGATGTGAACCTTCAGAAACTGCTAAAAACCTTTGAGCTTCGGTTCTTACGTCCAAGCATTCAAATCATTTAAAGTTTAGTTTTCACCAGGGTTACAGTTGTACTAACCCCATAAAAAATCCTCGAAAAGGTTCAGAATCTGCTGCACTTTTACTCTACAACGACACTTTTCCATCACCACTGACAACAGCAATGATTCCTGCAGGAACTCTGACTTCAATCTAGACAAGGACCTGTCATATAGAGTCCACAATAAAGAGAGAACTCAACAGGGGTTTGCTTTTCAGAAAAAAAAAAAAAAAAAGAGCAAAAAATCTTTCCACAGCTAGGACTCAGCTCAGTTTTTGGCTCAAACTTGAATCATCCCCTACTCTGGCTGCAGTCCTGCTGCTGAAGTATTCCTTAACACTGAATTTTATCCATAAATCTACCACCTTAAACATCCTTTCCAGTGATTCCCACCCTGAGTAAACCTCATAATAATGATTGTGTGTGAATAATGTCCTTACCATTGCAGCTCATACTGCAAATTCAGCTACGTTAGCCTGCAGACATGACCTGGTCGTCACTTCTTTTGGCATATGTGTTCTGCCTCTTTGGTGTGAAATACGTTTTAAGCTAAATCAGCAAAGCCTCTCATTTTAAAAATGTCTTCAAAAAGTACAGCATGTGCTTTTTCTGCGTTCTCAGTTTATAGCTGCAAAGTGCTTGATTTCAAAAGGCTAGTGCCGAAAGCAAATTACATTCTTTCATTGTAAGATCCTCTCTTAAATATGAAATATGAACAACTAAATGCCTACAGGAAAGCTTAACTGTTGAATTTCTCAAGTGACATGCCACACTACCTAGTTTATCCATCTCTGTCGCTTCATACACTGTTATTCATCCTCTTACGTGCTGCACACTGTGATTAGAATAGATGGCTCTGCCTGCAGACAGGAAATTTCTAAAGAAGATGTCAGAGTGACAGCACCAGACCACAGAGTGACTCTCTCTCCCCTTAGAGGGACGACGTGCTCGACACATATTGAAAGCAGGTTCTTAAAGTCAACTTCAGTGGTGTCTAGAAGAGCGAAACATCTTTTGAGCAGACACGTGTTTTGGCAGGCAGAGAGAAGTCATTCAAAAACATGCAATCACTGTTTGACACATCTTGCCTTTCATGAAGGCATACACAAGCAGCTTTACGGGGATACATAAATAGAAGTAAAAAGGTTGGCAGGACACGTAAGCACTTTCCGTCCTTGGTCTGAAATTTGAGTCAATTTGTGTTCTTAAGTAGAAATGCTAATTCTGATGACTGTTCAGCAGCCAACTCCTTAATTGCAGGTCACGCAGGTTACTGGGTGTGAGAAAGAGTGCTGTAAAACTGCTGCATCATAAACATTCAAAACCTACCATTAAAGGGATATTCCGGCGTAAATTGAAGTTATGGTCCAACCACCTCGAGAGATGAATTGCTGACTGCTTGCTTCTCTAATTAAACCAACTTCAGCAACGACAGCAAGATAGCAATACACAGCGGTTAACCACGCCATGCGCAAACCTCAACCAAAACGTCACTCTATAGCCACAAATAATGCTCAGAACAGCACCTAACTTCATCAACAGTACATATACGGTCCCAGCCACAGCATTAGCCACGGACATCGCTTTAGCTTTGCCTAGTTTCTTCAGCAAAGAGACTAAACACAACTCACCCACCCTCCTCCAGCAGCTGCTTGTGGGGGAGCTCTGATGAGTCGATCACTGAGTGCAGTGGAGTTTCGCAGCTCAAGGGAGAACATAAATGATCCTTACTTCGTGGAAATGAAATCAGACTGAAACGCTCAGGCAGAAGAACTACTGTGTCTGCTGTGCAAAATGATTACAATGATGATTATTACTTTAAGGAAATGATCCACTGCATTTATCGACTCGTCAGGGTTACATAGGGAGACGTAACTGTTGTGTATTGCTATTGTGCAGTAGTAACTAAAGTTGGTATAACTAGAGAAGCAAACGGTCAGCAACATTCAGTGTAGCCCCCCTTTATGTGAAGGCAAAACTCTTGGAGGTTTCTAAGTGACTGCAGTGTAATGGAACATGAGTCAAACTAAAAATTCATAATACTAGTAAAAATAATTGTCTCCAAAAATGGTTTATTCCAAGTCCAACACTGTATTACTTTACATGTGACCAAAATAAAAGCTATATCTGAAAAACTGAAGATTTCTCCTGGTGTCCTTGGGCTGCCAACTAAAGAATAAGGTTAACAATCTATCTGAATAACGAATAATAAGATGGCCTGCAGTCACAGAAGAAAATTAACCATATGATATCAGCGAGATATGCTCTGTTCTACTTAAATTTCCCATCATGACTGTTCTTAACAAATTCTTTCCCACTTGTCAGTCCACTTTCAGTGAGTGTCAGTGCTGAATTGGACCCCTGCCAATAATTCACAGCTCCATTTCAGAACTGTCTTTATGCTCAGTTGAAAAATAAGAGGCTGCTGTTCTCAGTTCATGGTGCACTCAATTCAGCATCATGTCGTCCATTTTAAAAGGTGTACTGTTCTTTTAATGCTCATTGGTAAGCATGTAGTCCTCTCAGATGTGACAGATTTGTGAACAGATTTGTGCCCTCACAAGACTGACATATAAATATTAATTGTAGGGCTTTGGGGATTGTTGTTTAGCATATGAAACAATGTCTCTGTGAGGGCAGTCAATGAGTAAGCCAACTCCTTTCATCAGTCAACCAGCCTTTAATTGCAATCATTCTACGCTTACTCCTCATTTCCTCAACTTGTCAGTGATCTCTGCCACATAATTTATTTAATTAAAGCCAAGATTGAAGCTATCACACAGCTATTCTCCAGAGCTGATAACACGAGGACGCCTGCAGCGTGGGGACAGAGCCAAACAGGAAGACGATCTCAAACTTTTTAGAGCTAAAAATTTTGTGACGGAGTGTCGTTTAACGCCCCATCATTTCCCGACTGTCGCTTGTCTGTCTCTCATGGCCTGAGTGTGCTGGTGCCGGGAGTGCACATGAAACGCACTCGTTCCCCGCAGAGCCAAGCTCCTCTAAACTGTTAAATCGTTTCCCTGCAGGCCCGCACCTGTGTCCCGCGGTCCTGCACTCCAACCAACCGTTTCTTTTTTTACCTCAAACTCGTTTCTCCACGCTATGGGTGTTTGTGGGTGCACACTCAAGACTACACGCCCAATACAGACAAACACCGGCCCAATGCCAAAACACCCCCTACACACTCACCCTATACACTCTCCCTCCGTTTGCGCGTCCCCACGGAGGTTCCGCCATATTGAAGCAGGCACGTGTCAAATAGTAAAAGGGTTTAAAGACGTGTGGACTTACTAACAATCAGAAGTTTAATTTAGCTCCTGTCACTGTGATGGTTGCTGGATGTATAATTTTACTGGGAGGATGAAAAAATGAGGCAGCCAGTGCGGCTCAGAACTGTACATGATGCTCGTTTACTAAGACAATAAACGTTGCCATGCACAGGACACGTCTCTGTGTTGCTATGGCGATGAATCTTTCCGTTTTCCGGTGGAGTAAGGTAAGTAGAATAAAGCAGAATAAACTGAAAACAAACAAACAAACAAAAAAACCCACACGAGACCATCAACAACATTTTTTAACAACAACATAAATATAGATTGACACACGTTATTTCTTTTCAGTACGTCCCTTAGGGACACGTACATAAATTTTCTTAACATGTTACTAAATGTAGCCTTTGTTATACTTTTCTAAAGTCAGTCTGTCTAAGGGTAGAAATGTGCTCAAGAAACATCTTAAAAGTTGGGGGAAATTCATTTTTCCAAAATGAAAGAATTGGCAAAATATATGATTTTAAATAATCTGCATTTTATTTTTCAACAAAATGAAAAACTGGTTTGTAAATACACACTGGGTTTTTGATAAAATTCTATTTTTGACACTTTTTTGTGGCTAAGGGCTATTTAAAGAGCGCTTTGCGCACTCTAGAGGGAGCTCTTGGCCTAGTGGCATCATGGGTTACAAGGGAACAAATGTAAGTCCTTCAGAAAACCTGCCGTAAATACGTCATTTATTTGCTTGTCTTTTATTTTTGTTTCCTGCACTGTAAACATTTTTACCACTGTTTACTGGTTTTGAGGAATTGGTGTAAATAAAAACCCACCACGCTGGATTTTCGACTGCGCCATCATTTTTATCACGAACGAACCTGTGACAACTTTAAAGTGATTACTGCAGCTTATGAACAACAGTATATTCCCTTAAACAAAGTCTTATTTGTTTTAAGACACAGCTTAAAGCCAAATATGTCTCGTTATGAAGATCCAGTGTGTCAGTGGAGGTGCAGTTTGAATTTTTTGGCAGCAAGCCTCGCAGTGGTGTGACATTTAAAGTTATCTGGTACTGGTTTGTTTGACTTAACACAGGAATATTTGGAGCAAACCAGACCAAATATCAAATTCTCTCCTCAGGGGATTGTTTGCTAGACTTCTTCCAATTTTGTCCTGCCAAGTTAGATTTGATAGCAGAGAGAGTCAAAGCAAATCCACTCAGTACCAGTGGCTTTAGTGTGATGGACCTTAAGCTGAAACATTATATATGAGATTGTGAGAGATACAAGATAAATACTCAGGTTATGTATTATTTCCAACAGAAAAGCAAACAATGCAAAATTTTAAATCTAAGGAAGTTTTTTTTTTTTTTTTTTTTTTTTTAAATCTTATTTTTACTTAAAATATCTTATTTAGGCGGCCTTGTGGGAGGGGGTTGGAGCTCCCTTGCCTGAGTGAAATGGACAGTGCAAAGTTGTGTCTGTGGCCTTAAACTATTGTTAAAGTATTGAATCTTACTTATTATCTTGTCTTTATTTGTCTAAATCTTATTTTAACCTTCTTTGTTGGTATACTGCATTTTATAACTAAAGCTGATAACTGCTTTGTTTTTTTATTTTGATTAAATTTACAGTTTTTAATTACTAAGCACTTTGCAACTTGTTTTTAAAAGCACATAACACAGAAAATGCTAATGGCCGGCAGACAATGCTAATGCTTTGAGGATGGACAGAGAGAGAAGGATGTTCAGAAAATGTGAAAATCAATATCTCAAGTGGGGGTAGAGAAGGTAAAGAGATAAAATCTAAAGCATATTGTGTTGGAGCAAAATTTTAACTTAATGCAAATGTTTGTCAAAGTTTCACTTCTGTTTGGTTTATCATCCCTGCATGCGGATTGCAGCATTTCTTAAAATAAATGTTTGAAACAAATGTCCACTCTTTTCACTTTATAACTTTATAACTGAGAACTATTTTAAAAGACACTTTAAAAAACGAAAAAAGTTGCTAAAATTATAGCTAACTTTTTCATATTTCCTTATTCAATGTAACTTAATATAAACTGCAAAAAAAGTGAGTGGAAAATGTTGGACCAATTTTTTTGAGTTAGATTCAAGTCACGTTTTCTTCATTTCAGTCTCAAATTTTCATTTTTTTATTCTTTTTTTATGTACGTCAGTATCTCAGCCCCTTTAAAAGGCTGTATTCAAATATTTCTTAAGAGTTCAGTTCAAACTTTAAACATTTAAAGATACACTTTTAGCTTCCATTGCTGACCACAGATAATAAAATGAGCCACAAGAAGCTTGGTTTGAGTGCTTCTGTCTGAATTTGAGACCAGCTGTCAGCACCTGACACATTTTACCTGTAAAAAATAAAGTCAGCTGAGACAGGAAGCACCTGGGATTTCAAATAAAATGGTACCATCATGTTGAAGTCTGAGCACACCCTCAAGTCCCATTAGCAGAGCAGTGGAAGCCTCTTGGGGGTAAATGAGCTAAATGTAAAGAGTCTGCCAATCACCTGCACGACTTGATTGGTCTGCTACAATAGAAAATCACTTATTTGCTCTGTGTTTATTCTGGCTGTAATGCAAACTCTCTGCCAGTCTGGTGGAAACTGAGCTCTTTATTAATGTGTTCATATTAATGCAAATGCTGCAGAATGAGTGGCAGCATCGGAGTCTACGAGGATACATGGACTGTATAATGAGAGCTGAAATATGCAGAAGAAGAGTACTTAAACATAATGTGTCATACAGTATTCTATAGGTCCTCACAGCATACATAAACATACACACCACACATGTACTGCATGGAAAATAGAAATATGGCTATATAGAGAGGATTCCGGTTTCATTAAGGAGCATGCAGAGACCGGGATAGAGCGAGGAATATATTTTCTGCATGATGAGCTGTGATGATGGCTGATCAGGACACTTGAATGTTTTTTTTTTCTGTTCCTGTCATGTCATTTTCTGCTTTGAGTGATTGACTTGTGTGTGTGCAACAGTGTGCTGTACTTTCCTAGAGTGCCTGCGCCTCACTTTTGCTTCCTTATCACAACATATAAAAAAAGAAAACCTGCCACTGCTACTGTGAATGCACCTCTGTGTTGGTGAGCGTCCTCATGGCGATGAAAATGAGTGACAGCTGCTGACATGTGGCTGTCAGGTAGAAGCCCAAATGGAGACTGTGCAAGTTGGGAGAGAGTTGCAGGTGTCTCCATGAGATGGTGTTTATGTTAAAGGTGTCAGCTTTTCTGTGTCTTTATGTGTGTAATTGTCAAAACACTACTGCATGAGTGTGTAAGCATATGCATCCACAATTATGTACGTTAGCAATTTTTAAAAGTCATTGTGCAAAATTTTTATATATTTTTCATCACAAATCATGATATTTCTCATTATTTCCATCAGATATAGTATCAGACAAGAAACAAGAGCGGTCAGACAGTGTCACAGGTTTTAAATGAGCTGACAGTTTGACCACAGAATCTTACTTGTTTGACAGGAAATGACATTTCAGTGCACTAAACTTGTACAATGAAGATTCAAACCTCGGGGTCATTAATGAGATAAATGCTCAGAAGAGTTATGGAAGCGCTGTGTAGACATAGTCCTTTCACCATATACTGTTGACATGCATGCAAAATGACTTCCCATTCACCCTACTTCTTTTTACACTGTTGTGTTGATAGAACTAAGATGTCCAAGGTTAAGGCAAGACCATAGACTGTATAAAGAATGGACAGAGTCTGCCTCCTCTCTGGGTGAAGCCACTCTGAGAACAGCACCTGTTGAAGGGCTGCAGTATAGGTCATAAATCCCGCCTCCGCCAGTAAAGTTTATGGAGCTGTGGACAAACTTTAGAAATTAATGGCACAGAATATACATTTTTCCCCCCTGCTTGTGATGTTGACATGTAGTTACTGTAAGACTGGTTCGTGCTCAAGTCCTCTTTTTTCTGTGAAGCTCTGTTTTTAAAAGTTATTAGGGGGTTCATGTTTTTATTTGGCTTCAAATCCATATACAGGCGGGAGGCGGAACCAAGTTGTCCATAGTATATACAGTCTATGGGCAAGACACACCAGCCAGTGCTGATTTGGGTTGCTATTTCAGATTTAGTCTTAGTGTCCATCTTCAGACCAAAACGTCTTTCACTTTTAGACAATTTTACTCATATACGACCAACTGTTGATAACAAGTCAGAACATTTAGTCAAATTGTAAATCTTTAATAACACACAGCTGGGAAAGTTGGTTAAGAGGAGGAAGGTGTAAAGAGAAAAAGATTATCATGATGCGGTTGTTGCAGACAAGGGGCAAAAGTAATACTGTGCCCTTTAACTAACTAACTCGGTCTGTTACAGGAATCACTGCTCGTATTTTAGGTGACGGATCAGATCTGCAGTTAGGGGAAATATGTTGGATTTCAAATGTCTGACATTTCTCTGAGTTTTTGTTATCAGTGATGTATTTTGGCTCATCATCGTCTCATCTTCTTGGAAAAAGGGTTGTTTATGAACATTTATAGTCATAATTTGTGTTAACAAAAGTAACATTGACTCCAACTGTTGTGTTGCTAGTATAGTAGTGATTGCTAGTATTAATAGTGATTCCAATTTGTCTTTATCTATTTTTTTATTCACAAAGTACCATAAAACTGCAGGGTTTTTTTTATTATCATTTGAATTTTTTTACTCTTGTTCGGCTTCATCTTCAAGTTGGGGTAGGCAGGGTCAGTTTTTGGGAGAAATCTTGAATGTAAACACTACCCCTCTCAACCAGTTTTCCCCTCAGCTCCTCTCCCTCCCTCTCTGCTCCAGAAAGCCCCGCCCACAAACATACACTCCTGCTCGCCCGTATCGTTTCAATAAAATTCAGATATAATGCAGATAAATACTTTAAATAATTACAAATGGAGCCCAGTCAACGTGAAATTAAAATGCATTGGTGCTACTGTAGATGCCAACAGACTACCAGCAAACACAATGTTTGCAGGACCTCTAAAACTAGCATAAAGTGACATAATCCAGGACCCGAGGTAAACAGTTTAGTGGTGCTACAACACGCAGCAGGTCCCGTTTGACAAGAAACACTTCTGTTACAGATGCTTGGCTTACTTTGTTAAAGTAGTTTACCTGTCCAGCAGAAAGGTTACAGAGTCCGTAAGATCCCGAAGCATCCCAATCGTTAATGATTCATGAAGTTGACCCAGCTTTTTAGCTCTTGTCAAGTCTTCCTCCTTTTTAAGCGCCCGTTATTCCACCAGAGTCTCCGGTATTTACTTCATTTTCTTGCTTGCGTTGGCAGTCGTGGCCAAAGGAGGATTCAGACAGTTTTCTGTACTTTCTGGTTGGTTTCTACTGTCCGATATTGTAGCATGCTAACTTTGTTTGGACTTGTGAACAACACAGGAGAGCAGCGTCTGCCTCACAACCAATCAGCGCTAAGGAGCAGCGTCTTTTATGTTATGTTATGTCTGTGTGTGTGACTACACAGGCATAACAAAACATCAGCTATTGACTGATATTAAAAGCTTTTTTGTATATACACCACAAAAAAAAAAAAAAAAAAAAAAAAGATCTTCTTTAACAGAATCCTGCCTACCACACCTTTAACACCGGCCTTTTTTTTTCTTTTTCTTCTTTTTCTGGCTGATTTTTACCCTGCAACAGCATTGTAAGTAACATCAGAAAAAAAAAAATCTCATTTTTCAAAGATGCTCAGGTTGTGTTTTTTAAGTTATAAAGTGACTTCAGAATTGATTTTGGTCTGTTAAAAAAAGGTGAAAAACTCTTGACAGTGGCTTTAAAGGGTCTGTCCAAAGTCCCGATGTGTTTTTGTGCTGATGATGACAGATTTCAATGAGTCTTTTATTGTAATACCACAAATTGGTCTGTTTTATGCGAAACATCATTTAATGAATTTTCGTACCATTTTGTCAGTAATTAATTTTTCTACTTTGGTCTCTGGTCTTTATGTGTAACAAACAGTGTTTGTAAGCCTGTCAGGCTGGGTTCATTGTCAATGCATGATACAATAATGAAAACTCTATGGAAACAGATTTACCCTGAGTGTCTATCTATTAATTTAAACTTTTGACTATCATAATGCTAATGAGGGTGGAAATAAGATAAAAACATATTATTATCACCGAAATAAGTCTATGTAAAAGATCGTATTTGAGGTCAAGTGTTTAGTAAGTCTCATAGTGAGGGATAAAAAGTGCTCTCTCCTTCCTCTGTCTCCTCTCTGATTAAAGTCCTTCTGTGGATTTTGAGATGAGTTTCTTTGCCCCTCTTCAACCCTCCATCTCTCACTCCACCCCATCGGACCTTTACTCTTTCAATCCCCCTCTTCACCCTGTCTGACCTGCACTTCGTTTTGTCACTCTTGCATCCAACTTCGAGACTCTTCTCACTTTGGGGAAAACTCAAACGCCCTTTAGCAGCAAAAGTCAAAGACCTTTATGTCTGAACACAGTGACAGGGGATTGCTCTTTCATTGAAACCTCATTTTTCTTTCTTTCTTCTTTCTCTCTTTTCTCTGTTGCCCCCCAGGTGAGCGGGATTAATGCATCGATGAGCAGGAAACGTGAGCAGCGTGTGTTGTTCATGGTGGTGATTATGGTGATCTGCTATTTGTTGTGCTGGCTGCCATATGGCATCATGGCCCTGCTCGCCACCTTCGGGCCGCCAGATCTGGTCACGCCCGAGGCCAGCATCATCCCCTCTGTGCTGGCCAAGACGAGCACGGTCATCAACCCCGTCATCTATGTCTTCATGAATAAACAGGTGAGAGAGGGAGGCGAGGGAGGGGAGTCTATGCCTGAGGTCATCCCCTTGTTATCTTTCACTGTCACGGAGCAGAGGGCTGAGGTCGTCTCGCCTTCTGAGGCCGATTGTCTGGATTGTTTTCACGCTGGTTTGATATTATGGAAATGAGTCATTGTTTGTATTCCTATCGGATGTTATCAGGGCGCCTTCTTGACACTGACTAATCTAAATTATGTACTTAATAGCTGCTTCTTCCACATCTGAATGCAGGTATTTCTTTGCATTTGGAGAAAAAAAGGCACAACCTTTCTCTTTAGCTTCACACTGAGACTATAATACATCGCTCTTGGAGTGATGGGTTTTCTGAATATGCCAAGAGTATCAAAAACATCACAGAATCCCATAATAGGCAGTCTGATTACACAAATTCAATAAGGAAGGACAACCTGAGTCCACCCTCACTCCATCTTGTTGATGTCAGTGTGTGGGTGCATATCAGGCCATGTTCAACAAATCTAATATTTTCTCTAATCTCCTGACTCAGGCTGTTCATGTGATTTTGACTAATTCCTGGTGCTTGAACTGGCTTTTCAAACCAGAGGAGATGTATGCGATGTCCTGAAGGCACCCATGGCCTGAAGTGTTATAATTAAACTAGCAGACGGTCCTAAATGACCTTGGTCTGTGTCCACTTTAGAAAATATGATGAATCACTTTGAGAGTAATTATCTTTAATTGAGAGGTCCTATTCAGAGATTGTTGTTGTGTCCAGGGACAATTATCAGGCTTATTCACCCAACTAGTTTGTTATCCTTCATTAAAATATCCTGTGAGGACATTAAAAAAACAGACACAATGAGTCCATGATGCATGCATAATTATATTTCACATCTCATAAACTTCTATCAATGTTATTTCTGTCATTTTCAACATGATTTGTGTTTGTCAGATTCCTTTATGTGTAAAGAGTAGACATGCATCAAAACATTTGACCTGCCTTTTTTGCTCATGATAACAAATAGTTTCAGTGCTTGAGCTGTTTTTCCCTTTACACAGATAAATTTATCTCATTATGTAGAGTATAATGTAGAAAGCCAGAGGTTTTTCATTAAGCAGGGGAGACGTACAGGATGGCATAAAGTTTTAATGCAAGATGATTAAAAACAGATAAAGCCCAAAACAGTCCCCTAGATTTCATTGCAACTGTATCCTTATTAGCCATCATGTAGGTTAAATTCACTTTAAATCTAACATTTTTATTCAAACCTTCTAGTTGGAAGCCTCTGGGCCAAATCCAGCCTGCAGGCAACTTCCAAGTGGCCCAGGCCTGACCAGCATACATGGATCCACTGTGTGAAAAAAATGATTTAACTGCACATTCAGTGTGCAAAAAACTAGATGTGAGTGAGCTATCTTAGCTCATTTCTGTCTCTGTTAAGAGTTACACATGTAAAATATTAGCCAGAAAGGAGGTTCATCAAAGTACATGTATTCAAAATATTCAGACTACACTTTGTACCCTGGCTTCAAAAATTGTCGTTCACTCTTAAATGAAAAATAAATGACAAAAAAAAAACAGCAGATTAATCCTGTCCGGGTTTTCCTGGCAGCTCCAAACACAAAACCAACATGCTGTATTAGTAACAATAAACAAACATAACATTTATAGAGACGCCTTTACAATGGCAAAAATTATTTTAAGTGCTGCTGAAAAATTCTTAGATTCTTGAAGCCCCCATTAGGGAACCTTATGCCTTTGGCGTGGCATATTTCTCAGACTATTCCAAATTATTGATCATTTTAACTAATAAAACCTGAAACAGTATTTAAGACTTTGGCATAAAACAAAACTTCTTATCTGATTTGAAAGGTTCATGTGAATTAGTGAATGACTGGTCCAACTGACAGAGATCACATGATCTGGACCTGCACAGTCCTTAATTTTGCTCGGGAAATAGAGACACACAACAGCATCTTTTGTGGTAGTTAGATCAATCAGAGCACAATCAGGAGAGAGGATTTAAAGCTCCAGTGAGGATTTTTTGGATGTTTAAGACAGAGGCTTATGATATTAACATGCCTCTACCACATATCAAAGCAGAACAAAACATCAGGAAAGAGTGAGTATTTCTATACTTATTTTCATGTTGTGGCAGGATGTGTGTCAGAAAAAGTTCAGTTTCCATTTTAAGTTTTATGTAGTAAAGGTCAGCAGGGACAATTTTTCCATGGCGGGCGCCAAAACTACCAAAACTAGGAGTTAATCACAGAAGTTTTAAAACACTGAATAACCACTATACAGTACGAGCCAAGGAAAAACTGGATGCATCCAAATGGAATCTTTTACAAGTTTTCAGAGACTTTGGATTTTTACTCTTCAACTCAGCAGAGGAAGAAATGCTGCAACACTTGTGGCTGTCCATCCACATGCAAGAGGGAACACAGACAAACTTTTGGCCCTCAGATACCAAACTTGACAGCGTTAGCCATGCTTGTGCTTTTTGGCTGGAGGGCCAGAGAGACAGGAGACAGGATGAAAGTCAACAGGCCGTCAGGGCTGGGAAGTGAGCTCCAACATCAGACATGTTACATCAGTCATTCCGCGTGTTGTGCCTCTGTTGCGCCAACATGTGGGCAACCATGTCTGATTATGGACCAGCTTTACATACACACTAAATTATGGATTAAATATGGGGGGACACATGGCCCTCAACTCCAAATAATTAATCACAGTGGACCTTACAGAAGTGTCAGATTTAATAATTAAATAATTAAATAATTAATCACAGTGGACCTTACAGAAGTGTCAGATTTATCATGCAACGCTCATATGTCAGTGTCTATTTTTTATTTTTATTTTTTTTATTTTTTATTGAACCGACAGACCCACAATGTAAACAACATGTTTTTGTTGTCAGCTTGTGTCTTTTGACTCAAAGTTTCAGGTTTAACCCCGACAGAGCTCAAAGTCAAAAGCCACACTTGAAATAGATGTGAGATGCTCTTTCCTGAAAATTGAATTAGGCTATTTCCAGCTCAGGCCTTTGGTGAATTTAAATCAGGTTTAATGAGACACATCGCCTCACCACTCGGAGTGCTGGTGTAGTTTTTGACCCTAAAGGATATGTTCAGAAGGCAGGTATTGTTTAATGGATAATTCAAGTTCCTTTTATCACGGCTTTTCCGCCTGGTGCCTTTATATCACAGTGAAGGACTGCATTTAAATCACTTTGTCAACTTCAAAACTGTAACATGCTGTTTTCTCCAGGCGCAGCTACCACGGTACTCAAAGAGATTCTTTGATAAATGTTTGTTGATGGATTTCACCTTTAAACTGTCACTAAAATCAAGCTTTAACTTCTCATTGAGTTTTTAGCATTGCTATTCACAGAGGCATGCTTACTTGCTGTCATAGAGTCATCTTCTACTTGAGCTTCTCAAGACTGAATCTAGATGTTTGTTGCATAATTTCTTTTTTGTTCCTTAACCTAAAAACTGCCTTACAGTTTAAATAAACAACTTTTGGGGAAATACAGTTACTCTGGTGTAAAGGTTGTAACAGTCCAAACTGGTGTTTTCGGCTGCAATTATGGTCCTAAAAAGACTGTATCAAAGAGACCAACAGACACAAAGGTTGGCAGAGTGAGGGGAGTAAAGGGTTCAGGTTTGGATTTTAATTATTTAAAATGTAGGTAACATACAAAAAAATGATGAGTAAAACTGAGTTTGTCAATATAAACTGCAACAATAAGCATGTATTTGAGATCGGTAAACTGAAACACAAAAATGTTTGATGGTTACAATTTCTTTGATGACTTGACCTCAGTGAACATGGAGCCAACATCTCAAAGTTATTCAGTCATCATCTTTGGTGTGTAATAAAATGAGAATAGAACTCATATATAGCTCCCAGAAAAAGCAATTTAAAACTTTTTGCTTGTAAAGAGATCCCAGACAAAAGTCTCAAATATGACGTGTGTTGCCATGATTGTTACATATATGGCAAATACAGTACATGCATACATTCCCAGGATATATGAGAATGTCGGTTTAGAAGAAATAGCAACATAAAATTTTCATATTTACATACATGTACTACATTTACTATGAATCATACATATATATATATATATATATATATATATATATATATATACAAAACAATTTATACAGTTTAATTTTTGCTTTATTCAAGTAAGATAAATGATTGTCCCACTATATTCGTAAGTTTTCAAAAAAATCTTCTAGTTCATGAGTTGTGATGTGTCCTATGAAATTTTCAGAAATGGCAGTACCCAAGGAAACATACAAAGCATTGTCACTAACAGGGTCTGTATTTGAGAGCAAAGCTGGCTAACGTGAGTAGGGGGGGCGGAGTTTGTACTTCAAAGTGTGATTGACCTTAGCTCTGGAAAAAGTCACTAAGGCTCTTTATTCAGTGTACCTACCCCCTCACAACAGTTACAGATACATTGTAGAAACACATCATTGTTTTTTTAGAATGTTTTATAAGCATTGAAAAACTCCTTACAGGAGCTTTAAACCTTTGTCTATGCAAGTTGTCTTAAGGAGATTTAGAGTCTCGTTTTCAAGATGAGTGGCAGGCACACAGCACAAAGGACCTATTGTGGACAAACAATACACATTAAATTACTGACAGATCAGCTATACAGATACGAACAATAGAGCCAGAAAGAAATGTAACAAGCGTTGCCCTTATGCATAATATAACAATAAAACAACAGGACTATAGAAAGAAATAATTGAGATGACAAAAATATGAAGTATGAAGGAACTAAAAATACTGCACTGTATTAGACGGTGGAAATTTTGTACTGTGTATGTACTATCAGTACTGCTTTGCTTGCAGGATTTTCTAACATCCAACTTAAAGAAGACCCCATTAACAAATAGCTGCTTTAACTATGTGATTTGTTTCTACCTATATCTTAAGTTTTCTGCTGACATACAACTTTTGAGTGTTACTCCAGTTTTATAGGAGACCAAAGGTGTCAGAGAAAATATATGACCTTTAACAAGATATAAAGAACTTCTTAAAACATGTGAAATTACAAGAACACCAAATACATTAATGTTGTACTTGGATGCCTGGATATAATTTCTTTAAGACATTTAATGCCTATCTTTGGATTCCTGAGTACATTTTGGACGTATATTTATGTGACTCTTGCCTCAGATAACGCTTACAATACTCTCCATTTGATACTATGCATTTACTCTAAAGATTTAAGATGTTTTGTTCCTCTGTAAAACACCCTTTATTATCCTGAGAGAAGATAACTACAATTCTTCCACTGGAGCAGACGATAAAAGTACTCTCAATGCAATCTTAATCATCTCATACTGTTACATTAAAGGGAAGCACAAAATGGTGCGTAAGCTTGGAGATTTCTTTCTTTCGGTTTCAGCCAGAGAGATTTTATGGGCTAAACAGAGAACTATTCACAGTGCTTAATACCACAGAGCATTTCTTATTGGCATTCAAAGCCACTCAAGTGTAATAGTTTGCTTTGAAGTTTAACTTTCTCCACAGAGTAACTGTCAAGAGTTATTTTTCATAAGGCTGGAAATCAACAGGAAAAAAAAAAAAAAAAAAAAAAAAATTACACCCTGTCATGTGGAGGCAGCTAAGCCTCCCGTCTGCTCCTCCTCACACTCCTTTCCTGCTCCAGACTTTGCTGGAGCTGACTGACCTTACAGGGACATTTTAGCCCACACATCATCTCCTTCATGACAGCGTGAGAGCGAAAAAGTGGGAGAGAGGGACACCAAATGTCCTGTATGTCTTTTTCAGTCTTCAATTCCTCCCAGCCCGTTACTATGGAAACTGTGAGTTGAGGCGAGTTGAAGACTAAAAATGCTGTACAGATACAAGTAGCAGCTGGTGTGTGTTTGTCCCATCAACGATCAGCAACATGCACAGACACGAGGCCTGAGGGGGAAGTGACCAACCTGCACAAAAATACTGAGGACTTATGGGTAAGTTTACATTGATATCTACCTTATATGTCTATCCTGTGCTGTTATGTTTGTATGTATTAATGATGGTTTTGTAAACTAAGAGCAAACTGGGGCTCTGTGTCAAAGAAGAACAAAGTTGACCTGTAAAATTACAAATGTTCAATAAACTAAGAGTTTGTGGCCTTTTCAGTTAATTTCTGTGTACTCTCACTCACAAATATACTGATCAGAACAAAGACAGTGGTGTGAATGAAGTTTTTACAGCTTTGTAGAGGTAAATTCCATGTGCGACATACAAAATTTGAGTTGTGTTGTGAGTATCAAACAGTTCCTTCAGTACATAACCCAAAATCTATGGAACTACACACAGATCTGATACCGGAGACCTAAACAACTGCTGCTTTGTCTGGCTATAGATTATGTTTTGCCAGTGTTGTTTGAAATAGTCCATTCAGCCTCATGCCAAGAGTTTGTCCTTGGAGCTGCATTATTTCAAAGGTTCTTATACAATGACCGATAAAACACATATGTAAAAACACTGAAAAAAGCAGGAGCATATTCAAAATCTGTTCCTCTTTGAGGATTTTTGGTGTTAAGTATTTCGTGTCTTTATTTTGCAATCAAAAAGTGAGAGAAACTGTCCTGCTGCAAAAAAGAAACAGATTTTATTTTGCAGAGTTGTCTACTGGTAATGCAACAGCAACACCAACAGCGTACAACCTATCGGCTGTCACTTCCATCTACACTGGCCAAGCCAAAGGCACGTTGCATACTTTACAATCCCATCCAAAACTGTTATTCTGCTTCCAAAGGTTTTGCTTTTTTATTTTTAACGAAACCCTTATTTCATACCTAACTGTAACAAATGCAAAAAGCAGGATGCTATGATATAATAACATATGACACTACAATTAAATTAACTAACTACATTAACTACAATTAATATGATACAATGCAGTACTGTCCAGTGTGACACACTATGATGGATATGATATGACAGTATACTGTATAATAGAAGATGATATGATATGATTCAGTACTATACCATCCAGTATGACATGATATGATACAAAAGGATATATATGGAATATCATATTAGACAATAGGATGCTATATGATGCATTATTAAAGGAATATTATGCATTGTGATATATGATGATACAATATGATATAGTATAATGCAATATAATACATTATTATGCAATACCATACAATATTATACAACACAATACAATACTATGAAATATGATATAATATGACACTAAATGATTCTTGAGATGAGATACGTTATAACAGGTATAAAAAACAAACAAACAAACAAAAAAAACAATAGCAATGGTCACATTAAATAAAGACACTAAAAAAACAACAATATCTGCATTAGAGAAACAAACACTAAAGGAAACCACAAACAGCATGAATAACTATAGAAAAGTTTGCTGTACAGCCAGTTTGGCTCATAAACCTGTTCCAGAAAAGCAATTTAAAAAGTTTTCCCCTTAATGTGTTTTGTTTGATTTAATAAAGATAAAATGACCTCTTTTTGAAAGGTGAACCAAACTCTTATTTTCAACCAAAACTTTGAGATAATCACACATTATGTTTATTTGAAATAAAATTAAGATCGCAGCCTTGCTCATTCTAATGATTTATTTTGGTTGTTCAGTGGAAAGTTTTGCTTTCAGACTTATTTTATTTTATTGCATAAAAAATACACTAACAGTTCCATACTTGGTGAATACAAGGGAGAGAGAGATGAAATGAAAACCTTTCCCATTCAGAATAGTTTTTTATTACCAGAAATATCAGTTTATGTTCTTTACAGCCACTGACTGTCGAGCTTTGGAAACAAAAGCAAATACCTAAAGAAAATGTATGACATCAATTTTTTTTTAAGAAGCAACAGATTTTTTTGTTTTCTCCTAAAGGTTTAGACGACACAATTTAGGCACCTTTCAGACCTGACACATAAGCTACGCTAACCATACAGATTTATTTCACTCTCCGAAGGTAAAAACACCTACAAGCACCCCTAAAAGTTACCAATTTACATGTTAAAGGTTATTTGTATAATCTGCCTGAACTATAAGTGTAAAATGCCATTTTGAAATATTACAGCAGGGTATGTATGAAACTGTTTCTTAGCCTAAGATAATGATTTCCATTTTTATCTGCAAAACTAGCCCCACCAGCTTGATCTTTGAGTTTAGTGGACAGATATAAGATCAGTATCAACGTTGTCATCCAGCTACATTCAATTAAAGAACTAACACATTTTACAAAAGTACAAAATGCGTAAACTATTCCCCAAAACTGACTTAAAAAACAGTCAAAATTCACTCAAGTATCTTCTAGTAAAGGGTATTCTTTAGCCATGGCAAACTTTATTCAGACACTAGCAGACCTGTAGCTACTGCACACTCCAGCTGCATCACCTCTAGTTTAATAACTTGCTGCCAAGAGGAGCAGTCTCATAAATAACATGTCAAAAATAAATCAGACAGGTGGTGTACAGTGACTTTTTCTCGTTTCATTACAGGGAATATCTTAATCATGACTGACAGTTTGACAGGCTGTCTGATTGTATGAATGATCTACTACATCACTGTTCAAATAATTAGGTTTGCTGAAGTTTATTACAAATGAGTGTTCCCATTTACTTCTGACGTCCTATTTTATTAGGTTTATGTCAGAGTTTATTAGTTAGAGCTTCAGGCTGTCAGCTTTGTGATGTATAAATACAACCTGGTTTCATTAGGGGCACCTTATCTGATATTTATCCTGAATGAACATCACAAGAATGTTTATTAAAATAAAACTAGCTTTCACTATGTAATTGTTACAGCAATCTTAATGTGGGTTTCTTGTTTTTGCCTTCCCTGTATTGATGGCCCTGTGACGTTCTCACAATCTGTCTGAGAAGACACAATGATTTTAAAATAACATTTTCCTCCATTGTGGTATTTACTGAGTGGGGTTTGGCTTCAGAAAAGTGAGCAGGGAAAGTCACACCTTGTTGTTAGTAAATACTCTTGGGGAATTGTGAAGACTTCCAATGACAGATGATATAACCCATTCAGTAAGTTCAAGGGGTTTTCTGGGGTCTCTATTTGTTAGGGTGTGCCTAGATAACCTTAGAGCGAGTAGAGGTAGATCCATTTTTATGCAAGGGGGTAGCAGCTCTACTTAGACTTACCTGCAAATGTTCAAACTCCTTTATTACTCAGAGGCCAGATGGACTTTTCACTGCTCATGTAAATTTGAGGTTTAAACAAACAGTCAGGGTCTCGTTTCTAGCTCCTCGGAGTAAGTTGTTCCATAGTTTGACGCCAGAATAGTGAGACATCTCATTCTACAGTATTTTCTGTAAATGGCATTGATCAATCCACTGTGACTGCCAAGACAAGCCAACAATATCCTCAGTGGGAATCCCATTATTGTGTGGCTGGGTCTTTGTGTAGGTGTTTAAGCCAGTCCAGCATCACCTTAGAGATAATGTATGGTTAAAGGGTGATGATGGGAAATAGCACCCAGACAGGAAACCTGCTCAAACGGTTTATTTACACAGCTGTAAAGAGTGGACCATCAGATTCAATGGTTGGTAACAATCATCCTGATCAGCCCGCTCCTCTTTTCTCTTTTTTTTCAATGGTTCTTTTGATGTTGGCAAAGATTGATTAAATTAAATTAGATTAAATTGTGCCTAAATTCCTTTCCATGGATTTATTTATTATGAAATAGATGTAGTTGCCTCTGCCATCACTCTTGGTGTTCAGAGTGACTCTTAAGTTTTTATCAATTAGAATCCAGTACTTTACACAGCCAGATAATAAATCTAAAAGCAGGGTATCATGAAGTTCTGGTTCTTCATTAGTTTCTATAATCCGTTTTCACTGAAGGAGTTTTCATGAACGGCTGTCTGTGCAAGGCAATGAAGCAGGGTTATGAAAAATGAATTGGCCTCAGGACTAAAATCCTCCCTAACAAGAACTCATAACAAAGTTACACCCTGTCTTATAAACTTCTGTTCCATTTTATTCAAAATTCAGAACTGATCAAGCTTAAAATTACATGAAATATTAAGGTTATAAAAAGATTAGTCAGCTCTTGTGAGAGACCTTGGCAGGCAAAGTAACTGTTGTTGTTTATCGGACACAGGAACAACATTGAAGGCTCCCTTTGTAGCCTCTACATAACTAAACCTTATTACTGGTTGTTTGCTGCATGTAAGTCTGGTGTCTTGGTCAGGGTGGTGATAGGAAGCAGTGACCAAAACTCAGGTGTTGGGCATCTGAGGCATTTTTTTTTTATATATATATATATATATATAAAGTTTTGCCCTTGTTGGGTTTCAGTCCTTAAACTAATGCAAAGAAGAAACTGGATTTATTTGCTAAAAACAAGTTTGATCTTTAAGACTGATCAGTGAGAAAGTATGAAGGCAGTGTCTTCCCCAATCTCAGGGATGATATGTTGCAGTAAATCTAGGCTGTGAGACTGATAGTATAAGAAATTGAATGGTACACACAAGATAAACACACCCCAAGCCTTTTCCTGAATTGAGAGCGTGCCGGGAAATCCCAAGAGGAGATCAGCCCATTGTCATTCTGTTCACATTTTCCCAAGTGGCACTCATTATTTTTCCTGCTATGGCTCTCAGATCATTTCATTTTGCTTGATTTCTGTAGTCTGCACAGCACCTTACAGCAGATGGGAGTTTACTGGATCACATTAAGTCACAGGGTCATGGGATGAAGTCCTGGGTTAACTGCATTTAATGCTTCCTGACACTGACCCTTTTCATTTAGATCAAATAAACTGCATTTATGTTCTTAAGTGAACTCTGATGAGAAGTCTCCTCATATACAGTCTAGTTGAATCATACCGCTCTGAACAAACATCACATACCAAAGAAAAATAATACAATGGCAGTAATAACTTTATTTATTTAACACCTTTAAGAAAGTTAACAAAGTGCTTTGGCTGACAAAACAGAGTAAAAAAATCATAACAGGAGAGGAAAAAAAGACCATAAAATCATAGCAAATACAAGGACAAACAAAACAGGAAAACAAGATTTTAGAGACATTAAAGATTCCCAAAGGAGGGAAATGAAGGAAAAAGGAAGCAAGTCAGTTTTCAGAAATGATTTAGAAGATGTCACTGTTTCTGCAAATAGATAAAACACCGGTTGTGTATTGAGTCACTCAGCTAAAGCAATGACAGATTCTTACAAGAAGACCTTGTTACATTGGTCCTTGTGAACATGAACGATCAAACATGTCAATGGTCTTATTCATCCATACAGGGTCAGTCACAATCAGACAAAGGATGAAAAAATTGTTCTGCACATACAAAACATCTCCACACAGCCAGTTGAGTATGATATAGTGGATAGAGTGGGTACTAAAAAAGGACTATCACCTAACAGGAAACTGTAAAACCTAAGCAGAGTAAAGCCAAGGGGGTGCTAAGAGAAAAGCACCAAATGTTGACTATGATTTGACTATGATTTGAGCACCTGGGACTAGACTCAAAGATTGGTGATTCAACTATCATTTCACTGGTTAACCTCTAATTAGGTGGCTATACATCCTCTTTTACCCGGACATATCCTCTTTTTGGGGGGCTGTCTGGGGGAGTTTATAAAATCCTTCAAATGTCTGGGGTTTTGTACAGAAGTTTTGAGTTTGTGTCGTGTAAAAAACACTCGACCCCACCCGAAAAACTCTCAAAATATACTACGCGTGGCTCTGCCCTGCGTAGCAGAGTCCTCTTTTTGGGAGGATTCAGAATATGGTCACCCTACCTCTAAAATCAAAACTCTATATGTTTAAATCTGATAAGTACAATGGCAACCAAACAAACCTAATGAGACCGTGTAGTGAAACCTGTGCTTTGATGCTACCATTAGCACCAGCAAACCAAGCAGATTCAAACAGATAACACTTTCATCCACAATTAGGCTATATATAATCAGGCTTTGATAGAATCACAACAACTTTAGCCTCTTTTATTGTAAATGTTTAAAACCACCAGTGATCATTTTTAGTGAAATTCAATGATCAGTATGTATCCAGTTACACCCTAATTTTATGTATCATTCCTAAATCAGATCACAGATTTGTTTTTGATTTTCTTTGTCAGTGAGAGATTCTCATGACTTGTAATTGTCTGGGACTATGCCTGCTGTTTGACCCTCAGGTTTGCTCAGTTTGTTGAAGAAACCATCCAGAACTTTATCAGTGCAAGAGTGTGACAGGACCCTTCCTGACTCAACTCAACCTTCCCTCAAATATGCTGTCAGTGCACTCGCTCTTTCAGTCCTCTGCCACGCTTTATCTATTTTTCTGTCATTGCCTCCACCTTCCTCAGTAACTTGTTTGCACTAACTTCAACCTCCATCTGTTATATTTTCTTCCCATTCCTCTCTCTTTCCTCACCGTGCAACTCTTCAGTGTGTTGTTTGGACAGCTGATGGATCCAAAGCTCAGAGAGGTGCTGAACATCCTGCCTCTTTACATACCCCTGCTAGCCTTCACTCACTGATGACCTGAAGGTTATGAACAGACTGACGTTGGAGACAAATGCATTTCAAAGATACGATGTGAGCAGAATTTTTGATGACGTCCCGAGGCGTTTTTCTGTGTGTCTCTTCCTCTCTGCGTGTCTTTATATCAAGCTAACATTTGACAGACAGCGATGTGCAGGAAGAGTTCAATGTCAAGTCAAATGACTGTAAAAGTCTTCCCAGATAATTTTCTCGTGTTGACAAAAATATCTGGTTTTGTGATTTATTTTTAGGCCAGGAATGAAATCTAATAAGCTAAATTATTCTGTATTTCCCTTTTTTAGATTCACAAATGTCACAAGAAGACATGCACCCCCTAAAAACCATATTTACTCAGCAAGGGACATCATGCTTGAGGTGTAAAGCTCAAATGTTATTAAGTCATACTGCTTGTTCCAAGCTGTGTCTCATATCCACACTGAGAATCTGAGTGTTTCTTATTTCACTGTTTCCAGCTTGATATGTAACTACAACCCCAATTTTACAAGAATTGGGGTGCAATGTAACATGTGGACAGTTTGAAAATCATTTAAAGTCCTTAAACACCAAGTGCGAGTAGAATCATTCGCGTGAATGAATTACATGTTAACCCTCCTATTATCCTCAAATATTACAAACACATTTTACCCTTGGGGATACTTGCCTCCAAAAATTGATTTGCATAAAATTGTTGACCAAGTTTTTGTGTCAGGCACTTTCATATGTTGATTACATACATAACCCCTTGATAATGACAGCAAGAAGTTCAGAGGCAAGCTCCGGTTTATTCTTACTCACTGTCCCCAACATCGTAAGCTTCCTTTTGAGCAGTTCCTCACCCAGGGTATAAGATGTGAAAAAACGATTACATGTAATATTATGCCCATGCAGTCCTTCAGTCATATCAAGCACAACCCTTGTGCCCATATTTTTTTATGGTGCTTTGCCAGGAGATTTGCCCATGTAAACCTGCATATTCCAGGCAAAGCTGGACTGTGCATCACATGCTGCCCATATTTTGATGCCATATTTGGCAGGTTTGCTTGGCATATACTGGCAGAATGGACAGTGGTGGTTCTAGACTAAATTACTCCCCATGCTAGATGTTTCTCCTCTGAAGCTGCTCTCTGCCTCCGTCATTGTTTACTTTACTCACGAAGCACTGAGCAAGATCCGAGCGCTTTATTCGCCTATCAGAGGCAGACGGGTACGGTGATTTGATTCACCACGACTCCAGAAATGATTAAAAAACTACAAAATGACGTCTCCGCGCTTCCGGCTTAAGAGTAGCAATGCGCAGCCGCACTACCGGCTTGGAAAACTGATATGCTGACATGCGTACACAGAGCAGAGCTGTCCCCTGACAGCTCCCCGCCTCGTCTCATACAGTCTGTCAGCCTCTGTGCAGCACCTTCGCAGCAAGCAGGGGCGCCAATTTGACAACAAGAGTTAATAAAAAAATGCTTTGCAGTTCAGATTTATTACTATTATCTTTTATTTTATTTTTTTGAAAGTGCTCGTGCCGCCCCCCATGAGTCATGACACAAATGCCGCCCTGGGCGGCTGCCCTGTTCGCCCGTGCCTAGAACCACTACTGAGAATGGACAGCGCCCACAAAACGCAACCAAACACTCATCTATAGTCACATAGGGGCCTGGATTGTAAAGCAGGGGTAAACGTGGCACCCAGCTGTCTTACACATCCCTTATTGCTGCAAGTCCGGCCCTGCCTTGTTTGTTTGTCATCAAAATGTATGACATGGGACAAAACTTGGAATGTCTTCAGAGACATGGTGGCTGGAAATATTGCCCTTCTAGTCTCAGCGTTCCAAAGACTTGCTGTTGCCACACCTTTAGATTTATAGACTCCTGCCAAAATGAGCAAGCCAATGTAGGCCTCCAAGTCAACTACATCCAGATCTTTCCAACTGTCCCAATACACACGCTTCCCCTCTAAATTTGTCATCCCAAGTACAATATTTTCAATTGATGGTGTTATGAAGCGCTCTAATGATGACTTGATGTCGTCAACATGGCTGACTGCATACCTTGTGGGACCTGGAACTATTTTGATAACATCTGTTGTGCTAAGTCAACCCTGCTGTTTTAGTTGGGAAAGGGACCATCTTATCTTTCCATTTTTGGAAGTGATTGGTGGTTGAGAGACAACAGGAGGGTCAACACTCTCATTCTAATCAGATGAAAAAGCCTCTAAATCAGGGTCCTCCTCAACACAATCCTCTGTCACAGAAACATTCTCCTTTATGTCAGTTTCACCATCAAAGAGCTGTTCCAAAACCTTGTTGAAATGAAACCTTTTCCCAAAGGACATTGTCAATTGAGGGAGCATGCAGATTGCAGTATACACAGAGCACAATGAGGAATGATTTGGGCAGAGGGACACTTTGCAAGCTTTTACATGCTTTGCCCCTCGCCCCCTTTGTATGAACTACCAGTGTCCTTGTGGGAATACCCCACTCTCCACCGCACAGGAAATATCAGAGTTCTCGAGGGAGAACCCCCCCCTCACACTTGTATCACCTCAAAAGTATCAACTTAAAAAATCAACTATATATTTTTGGATGGTAAACACTGATTGGGGTCAAATTGACCCCAAGGATAATAGGAGGGTCAAGAAAATGCAAAGACGAGATTTGACCATTCTACTACTCTGGCGGCACGAGTGACGAGAATTGGGCAGAAGCTGAAAATGTCTCAACTTGAGCGGATATTCATGTCGCGATAACTTATCAGCACGAAGGTTGCCGGGTGACGTATGAAAACAGAGGGTTGTTCACTGGTATCTATCATGGAGGACAAACTGATTGTGTCGGTGTGCGGGTGCACTGAATTACATGATACCTTTTCGTTCAATTACCGGAACCGGATTAAAAAGGAGCTCGCTTGGAGGCAAGTGAGTGAGGAGGTCTGATTACCTGGTAAATTGTAAGAACCTTTGTCTATCACTTGATTCCGCTGGTTGAATTGGCAGGGATTACCATTGAAATTACCATTGACGCGCTACTGCAGTAAGTAAATACTATTCATTCACGCGTCTACATACGCGCAAATTAAACAAGTAGATGATTTTACTTGCGCTCGGTGTGAGCACCCTATTACTGTTTTCTTGACAGAATTTGCTCCTTTAAAGTCTGACCTCAGCAACACGATTAGAAGAAAAGCGGGTCAGGGACGATAAAACTGAATAAGTTTTCTCGTGTAAGAAGAGAAGAAAATTAAAAATTAAAAACACCCAATAAATGAGGGTAATTTGCAACAGGTTTTTAACATGACCAGGTATAAAAGGGGGAACTTCATAGTGGCTGGGTCTCTAAGAATATTCTAGGAAAAAAGGGATCAGAAGTAATCCTCCCCTGGTGACTCTACATTAAAAGAAAAAGGTACGACTTTTTAATGGAAATCACTTCATAGGTTTAAAATCACATATAAAAACCATTGTTTAGTAACAGTTTGTTGCTGCATCCACGAATGTAAATTTGTGGATACTGTTTTTGGATCTCTTTTCTAACCCAATGCTGTGAAAGACTTTCATCATATTTTGCACTCATGAGAATGTAAATAACCCTAACTGCACCATGCAAGGAGGACACCATGCTTAAACAGGACCAATTTAGAAACTGATACACTGAGGTAAAGTGGAAATGGAATTGGAGCAACATATGCTGCCATTCAGACAATGCCTTTAAAGTAACACTGGAGCTCAACAAAACTCTGATGAACAAGGTACAATGGGCTAGGTAATTGCTGGTAAAAAAGGTGAGTTTTATTCATAAATGGGGCAAAAAAAGTCGCTGACATTATTGTTTTTGCAGATGGAAATGGACAAAAAATGTGGACAGTATAGTATCAATTATTGAGTTTCTCTGACTCGTCACTGTCAGAGTCTGTGACATATTTTTTTTTCCTGTCTATCAGTCCTTATACACTGTCATATCTGTCATATCTCATACTGTATTCTGTGAAGTGTTTTCTTTAGTGCTCTGTTAAATCAATGGAAAAAAAAAAAAAACATACTGTTGCGATGGAGTGTTGACCAATCGGAAGCTTAGCACAGCCATGAAAACACCTTCATAGGTATTTTCATCTTTGATGAGACTATGCTGGTTGGAACTGCTGTTACTAAAACAACAAAAATGTGCCAATTTACTTTTCAACATTTAGACCAAATCTGTAAGTTTTAACGCAGTTTTCTCTGTGTGTGTTGTTGTAATATTTTCTGATCAACCTATTCACCCATTTAATATGTAATTTGTCCAGCTCCCTATGTGTAGGCTTTTTCTGTTCTCAATTGGAATACTTGTAATAAGTGTATGTTACTGTTTTTGAATCTCTTTTCTAACCCAATGCTGTGAAAGACTTTCATCATATTTTGCACTCATGAGAAAATGTAGTAGACTATAAGTATACCTGAAATTGAAACAGTATACTAAGTATACTACGTTTACTTAAGAGCTGCATCTCAACTGGAGCTGTGGAAGAAGACCTAAAATGGTTTTAATTGTGGTCCAGCACTTGTCAGAGTTGGGAATATTTCCAGGTTAAGGTTAGAAATGTCTAGAATTTTAAGCACAGCCAAATACCCTGAATGCATTGTTATGCTCTGAACCTGCAGCCTGGGCCCTCAATTATTCAGAATCTCTCCATCTGTCCATCAGCAGATCCCCGAACTTTGAGCTGGGCAGCACAGGGGCTCTGTTATGTGCAGAGGTTGGTGTAAAACAGGGAGATCTTAATGAAATCACAATAATCCTGAGACTTTCAGGTCTGAGTCTTCAATTGGAAAGACTTTCCAGGGGTCCATTCACTATTTATTACACCTTGACAGATAGTGTATACATTTCATTGCATTTCCTTTGTACCTCAGAGACAGACAGCCCTTTCTCTCTGTTCTGATCTGTTTCTCAGTACATTTGAGAATACAGTATATGTGGAGGTGCAGCTTGAGTGAAATATCACTCTGAGAGAAATGGTTGATGGTAATACTCAAGTTGTCTGAACATGATTTAAATCATTGTCAAATTAAATCCTGTACAGTAAAATTTGAAACAATAAAACCTCCTTTGTGGCTGTTAATCGTTATAATAAACTCTCTTAATCTCAGTCAATCTTACTGCTGAGGAGGAGTCACAGTTTAGGAGGTCATTACAGCTCATCATTGAGCTAATTAAAGTAGTGACACTGACATCCCATCATTTTATTGATGGTTCTTGACTCGGATAACAAGCCACTGAATCGGAACGGAGCTAAAAGGTCATTTTCATTCGTAAAATCATACAATCATTGAATTTGGCTGTCTCATTTCCAAGTTATGTTTGTTTTTGTCCAGTCTGGAGGTTGGTTTTTTAAAAGATGGGAAGCTAAACAGATTCTTTGTGTTATCATAAAAGTCAGGTTTCATTCAATCCAGTGGTAAAGCTGATAAAAATTATAAGCTACCGTTAGATATTACGCTCATCCTCATAAAATGTGTAAAGCTGATGTGATCAGAATTAACTAAGGACCTTGTGTCACAGTCTGCTCCAGCCTTTCCCCATGGACTCAGTATTTTTCCACTGCCCTGCTCACACCACACCCACTCCCTGATTACCACACCCACTCTCAGTCACTGATCACACACCTGCCTTCACTCAGTAATCACACACCTGCCCTCACTCACTTATCAGCGCCCCTGCCTTCTGCTCAGTATATATTCTCCAGCCTCACACTCACTCAGTGCCAGATTGTTCTTTGCCATGCGAGACTTTCCGGCGTTCTTCTGTCTGGCTTCCTGATGCCGACCCTGCCTGTCTATGACCTGCCTGCTTTGTCTGCCTCCTGGTAAATTCCCTCAGCCTTTTGTTCCTGACCACGAGTTCTGCCTGTCCCCCTTTGGATTGTCTGCCTGGTCTGCTTGCCTCCCGGTTTCTGAACTTCTACCTGCCCCGACCAAGCCACCTGCCCAGCCACTGAACTGTCTATGTGCCAAATTCCTGACAATAAAGCTATCGACTAAACATCGATTCTGTGCCTTGTTTGTACTGCATTTGGGTTCCTACAATACCCGTTACACCTTGATATTTTCTACACAAAAATACAAACACCCGTAAATATTAAAAAAGATACTTCAAACTTGATTTGAAAGAAAAAATGACATAATAAATACAAAAAAACAAACTCAGTATTTTTACTCCAGTATTTAGCAGTTTACTTTAAGCTGTACGCCATAATTATCTAATCTACAATACAAAAGTGCTGGGTTTTGACACCAAGGTACAAGCAGTAGGTCTTCTATAAATCCTGGTTGTTTCAAGGTGGGTCTCTATAGATCGGATTTGGTTGTCCAGCACATCTCTCATATAAGCGACTGGAATGAAATATGGGGAATTCAGAGAACAAATCACCACAGTGGTGTTTTCCAAGGTCACCTTTTGCTAGTGCGCCACTGTCCAGTTAGACGCTGCATGAGCACCCTGACCTGTTTGCAGCTACACAACCTCATATGCAACAAGCTGTGATGCACCGAGGGTTCTGACAGTTCTCTATTAGAACCAGAGGTAGGCGCTATAAATTAAAAATGTAACTCAATCAACCATTGGTCTGTTAGCAAAGGCCTTCATTTACAGTGAATCTCCTAACAAATGGTTCAACATTTATGTTAAAACCTGTTGAAACTCTAAACCCCTCTTGCTGTAAAGGTCTTGATAATCCAAGTCAAGTAAAAGATTTAAACCAAACATATCCCATCTACAAAGATCCATCCAAAGGTTGCATGCTCTTGCTCTAGCTGTCTGTGATCCATCTTACCATAAAAGGGCAGGGTTTTGAACCGTCCTCTGCTAAAAACAAACTTAATGATACTTTTCGTGATGGGAATTTTGGGCTAGTATATTGGCAAAAACCTCCCTGGCATGAGGACAATATCAATGTCTTTATGAGCTGACTACAAGGCCAGGGTTTTGAACTCTTGTTTCTAGGAAGGTCCTTAAATGGTTGAGGTTTACCTTGTCAGCTTTCCTTGCTACTCTGAAACTTTACAAAGTTGGAGATCACATCCATAGACTGTATATAAGATGGACAACCTGGTTCCGCCTTCCGCCTGTATACGGATTTGAAGCCAAAAAGCTCTTGGTAATTCTGGGTTTTTCTCCACTTCCTTGAAACCAGAGCTGCGCAGTAGCGATGTAATTCCAGGCTGTACAGGGCCTCATAGTGGCATTAAGAAAACCAGAGGACGACGCCAACCATCCACACTTGATATGTAAAGCTCACCTATAGGGTCTATTTCCACTTCTGTCCTTTTCTACACTCAGTCTGAGTTTTCTGATTTTCTTGTGGATTACAGTACAGGACGAGTATTTCTGAACTCACTGGATATCAGCTGACGAAGCTCAAGCCTCCGGGGGGCATCAGCTTGTATTTTGGGATTTGGGTGTAGCTAGTAGATTTGTAAATAATAAATGAGATATCTAAGCCTGGACTTCCTCCTCAATGTCATGGTTATTTTTAACAGGAAGAATACATACATTCTTAGCATCCTTAATTACCCAAGAACTTGAGATGCAAGAGAAGAGTTTCACCTATCTATGGTTACATTAAAAAAAAGAAGAAAAAAATAGCATTTTAGCTAATCTTACAAACAGATATCTGCTTTAGAGTGCAGACTCTGGAAAGTGACATATGCTTTCTGGTGTTGGAAGTGTTCTGGTTCCTGTTTGGTCCAGGCAGTTTTGTCTGTCTGCATTTCCCCTAGCACTGGTTGTATGCAATAAAACTCTCCATATGGTGATTAAGAGTTGACAAATGCTAATTTCAAAATCCAGTCTTGTTTCACAAGTTAATAGTTGTAATGCATACTGTAGCCCAGGCCAGCTATCCTTTATTGCTTACTGCTGTCTGCACCACATAAGCACAGAATAGATGGCCTTCTCTGACAGAGGCTAATAGGTCCTCAGATGTTAGTGCCATTGCAAATATTGGATTGACATTATGGTTGAGTGTCAGTACTGTTTGTTAACATTAAGTGAACAACTAAAGAATATACTACAAATGTGGAGAGTCAAACTAAATGTTGTTAATATGGATGTGTTGCAAAATTGACCATGAGTTGTTAAAGAAAGACAAAACTGTGCAGGATGAATCCAGAGAGAGCCAGAACATCAGTGAGGTCGAGCTATTATGCCCAAGAGTGTCAGTCCCAGGTGTGCTGAATCTGGCTGGTTTCAGCAATCATGCTCATCAGACACCCTTGGGCATAAGGGAGACACAATGACTGATAAGCCAAGTCTGCAGAGGTCAGACAAAGAACGAAACATTAGCCAATGGGTTCAGAGATAGCTGTCTGGCCGGTGTTTTGGCTCACACATGGACTGTTCTCTTTCATGCAACCAAAGCCTGTGTGATTGTGATTACTTAATAACACTTTTTAAAAAGGGTAAAAATCCAATGGAAACCAACAAACCTGATATAACACCGCCCCAAACTAACAGATTCTGCATTCAAAGTCAGACGTCTGTTTGTGGAGATAGCCTGATGATGGACAGATGATGTCTTCATGATCTTTATGGACACAGAAATTGTCTCAGGCCATAAGAGCAGTTACAATGTTATTGTTCAAATCATGTATTACACCTACAGCTATCTAGGCTATGAAAAATCTTTGTGAAAAAATGCAGAGGTGATTTAGCCAGAGGGCTGCTTCAGTGGAGTAACACAGGGACAAGTAAGGGTTAAGATGGACCCTTCACTCATCTCACCTGAAGAGGTTCACATTCTCATAACCTTCTGTTCTGATTTACATTAAACTGAACATTTACCCCTGAGGGTAATGTTAGACAATGGGAACAGGACTTGTGTGGGAATATTTGTGTTGGTATTTCTGTTCCCATTTGGCTCTTCTTATTGGAGCTCAAACACAAGAAATGCACGTCTTAACACTGTTACTCTTTTATCACAACCTTATCACCATCAGGCAGCTTTTGTTTTAGGTTACTTTGGAGTGATCCGCAACTTGGAGACCAGGGGCCTCATGTATCAATACTTGCGTGGAACTCATACCAGAAACGAGCGCACGCAAGGTCCGTCACGCTGAAAAAAATCTGTATGTATCAATGTGTGCGGGCGCCGAAATCCACGTGTGTTTCCTTGATAAATCCCAATCAGCGTGGAATTGAGCGCAGATGTCAGAGTGACTGGGCCCGTCCCCGTTACGCCCTCCTATAAATATGCAGATTTATTTAAATAGGGTCTCCCTGTCCTCGCACGCAGACAAAATGACAAGAAAAACTAAATGTACGGCGTGCGAGGTGGAGGTGCTGGTGGCGGAGGTGGAGGAGCGACAGCGTGTTTTGTTTGGCAGCCTGTCCAGTGGCGTCAGTGCAAAACAAAAACGCTTGGAGTGGGAGAAAGTTTGCGAGAGGGTGAATGCGGTGGGTTCCGAGACACGCACCCCCGCGGAGATTGAAAAAAAGTGGTCGGACCTCAAGGTGGAGGTCAAGCGGCGTACAGCTGCCCTCCGGAGGAATACCGGCCAGACAGGTGGGGGTCCGGGGGAGGAGACCCTCACACCGTTTGAGCAGCGGGTGGTGGCGATTATTATTACAGGGTAAGTGGCGTGTCACACAAATGTCCACATGCTTTGTCATCCCACTGAGCAAAAGACGTATATTAGACGTCTAGTCTAAGTTTATACTTCATTTCAACGTCGGGATTCAGTCTATTTTTAGACGTGATTTATACTTCGCCCTTAACTTCATTTTTCGATAACTTTTTATGCAATAAACAACTGTAATGTGCATAACTGACCTCGAAATCCTGGATTACATTACCTATGATACCGTGGAGAGAGATGTAAACGCAACAGATACACAGAAGCAGGAATTGAAATGAACAAATATTTTTATTGTGTCACAGAAATCAATATGTCGGCCGTGTCGCCGGCTTGCGGAACCCCGGCCCGCGGCAGCCCGTCCGCCGGCTCGGAGTCGTCGGCCAGGACCAGCGGCATTCGGGCCACCCCGAGCGGTGGAGCGTCCACCAGCCGCGGCGCTTCCGCTGGACCACCCGGACGCAGTGGAAGGGTCCTCGCGGAGGGGGTCCTGCAATCGCAGGAAGAAATCATCAGGGGGATCGCGGGGATCAACGAGCGGCTGGACCGGCTCGTAAATGTCCTCGAGCGTCTGGTGGAGAAAATAAATTAATTTGGCTCATTGAACTGTGTATTCACTTCTTACCCATTCACACTGTGGCGATGAGATTCTCCCGCGCGAGGACGGCGGCCCGGCAGGGATCAGCTCGCATCCCTCCGTCTGCTGCTGGTTCGTCATGTGGGGCGACGTGCTGCTCGGCCACGGGGATGTGGTGCACGCTTGTCACATAGTGAGTCACCAAACACCGCCACACAGCGTCGCCAAAGTGCGAATCACAGTCAACGCAAGTATCAGCTCAACGCCAATTTCTACACCACCTCCTGACTTTGCGTTGATTAGCACTGGAACCGACGCTCGTTTCGCGATGATAAATCTGGACGTGTGCGCCGATTTTGGCGTACGCAAGGTTTTCTTGCGCCGCAAGCGTTGATACATGAGGCCCCTGCTCTGCTGTTGTTGCCTGGATTGCAGGCCAGGATCTTGCTCCCATTTACTCTGTTATAGAGTATGCTTAGGGACTAGTGGCTACTCAGACTGCTCTCTCTCATCTAGGTCACAAATCACAGATTTGCATTAGGTCATATTTCTCGATGCTGGGCTGATATACCTTAATAGTGTAATTTGGGGTTTGTCTTAACCCACTGTTCTGGGCAGGCTTTGTAGTTTGCATCCCATGCTGTGACCTGGAAGCCAAATTGCATAAATGGAATAAATAAAGGAAGCTGGGTAGCCTAGTGCGCAAACCTCAACAAGAGCAGATAAAGCAAAGCTAGTAAGGATTACAAAGTAGTTGTATTATACCTGTAAAAAGAGCTTTAAAGTTGTACATGTTTTCACCATTCAACACGCGACCAGGTGGTCTGCTCCTTACTTGTTTCCCGATTGTTTTAGTTCGTGCCATAGTTGGTCAACCAAGAGACAGTCAGTGGCCCTCATTTATCAATCTTGCATAGAACTGAGGGCAGGATTCATCGTACGATAGGACACGTGAAAGGGTTTGTATCTGACCAATCCCAGCGTACAAATGATTGGGTCTTAATAAATGCGGTGGCTGAAATCCATCTTCATTTACATGTCTCGCCCTTGAATATTTGCGGTTCAGAAGCCTCGTCCACTGACGTCAAACATGACAGAGGAGAAATATTAGAAAGATGCAAAACTTTTTCGACCTGAAAGTGGATATCCTCATGTCTGGAAACTAACAAGGATTTGCTCTTTGGGGGCATCAAAAACTGGTGTAAAAGAAGTCCAGAAAAACCCTATCTCGAGCAAGATTACCATGGCTGTGAACAGTGCTGCAGCAGAATAGCGGACAGTAGCAGAAGTTTGAATAAATCATTAGTCAAACTATTATTGAAAGTATTTAGCTTTAACTTTTTGCTCTTTTTGTAATGTAGAGCGGACTGGAGAGTCTGAGAGAGGCTTAACAAAAATAATTATTGTCATCGTCTAAGGGTGTGTTGCTGCCCCTGAGGCATATTTTTATGGACTTTTATTGAATTTTATTGAACTGATTAAATAGCAAGAGCACTTTCTAAACTTATACTTTACTTGTCAGAATCCATTGATAAGGTCCTGTCTCCTACGTACAGCACCTTTTGTGCAGTCTCTCCTCATTATTGTTCTCCTGGCATCGGGTCCTTATGTTGCACCACCACATCAAACGGCCCTCCATTTGCCAGTGCAATGTTGTGCAAAACTGTACTGGCCTAAATGATGTGCCACACCTTTTCAGGAGTGTACAACAACATTCCTGCCGCTGGGCCAAGACAGAGCTACCTGCCTTCCTGCTACCGGCGTGTCTGGGTGTGTGTTAAAACAGCGCTCAAGCTCTCAGGCATTGTTTGCCAGCAGGGTTATCAAATAGGCCTGTTTACTAAGGACATAACAATTTTATTTTATTTTATTTATGTATTAATCTTTGATTAAATCTGGCTGCTCGTGCTTAATGACAGGTTTGAGGTTTAATTATTTTGAGACAGACATTTGCTGCACTGCAAATCTGCACTTACTCAAACTTGTGTACACAATTTGAGACCAGTCGTGAGATTTGATTGTATCGAACGCTCATGTCCAAATTGATAAATGCCGATCCTTGCGTAGAAATGGTCGTATTGACAGTTTTCTGCCGTATGTTCGTTTGATAAATGAGAGCAAGTATGTTTATGTTTTTCAATAAAATGGTTTTATTGACTAAAACTGGACCTTAAAGAACAATCAGTCCAACTGGAATTGCACAAACTTAAACTTCTCATGGTCTCATGAGTAACAGTAACTTCTCATGAGTTACATACCTGGTTAATGCAGTTTGGGATTCATTTTCTCTGCCATGCTCTGAGCAGAAAGTTGAATAGCATGATTGCATTGCCAGGTAGAAAACAAAACCAAGACAGACAAAGAAAGGACGTAAAAATGATGGGACAGTATAATACTAAATACCTCAATTGGTTGAAAGCCTGTAGATGGTAGTAATGAGCTGAAAGGATGCACTACCCACCGTGGCAGAGGTGGACACGCTTCTGTCAATAAGTTGATTCTTTTCAGTGTTTCCAAATTGGGACAGGTACAATTGTTAACTCAATTGACTGAACTATGACTGTAGCTCATCTTAAATGGGCATGTAAACATACGAGACAAATATGACCAAAGTTATTGTTTCATTTTTGCTTCCTTTGGTGTCGCTGCCTTTTTTGCCATTGAGTGAAGTAGACAGAAGTCCAGAGTATTAACCGTATTTTTTATTCATTTTTTTCTGTTGTTTTTTCAATGTATCATGTTTTTTTTTTTTTTTTGCCTTTATCCAGCTCTGACTTGTCCTGTAAAAACTTTCCAACCAATAAAACCAAAACATCGACAACACAAATGTTAAACGTTAAATAATCTCTATCAGTATCATTAAGATGATGTAGATTTTAGATAACCAAAGGTTAAATACAAGACTTGTAGCTCCTCACTGATCATGAAAAAGACTGGATTAAAAAATAATAATAATAAATACACCTCTTCATGACCTCCAAAAGTGAATTAGACCATTCAATTTGGATTATTTATTTATAAATTGTGGAGTCTGAAACTGCTATCAGTGGGTAGAGGTCAGTTAAAATCTTTGGCTATAAACCTGAGAAACAGCACTATTGAACACTTTATATGATGAGTTACATATTTAAGTATTAAAATGTCACAATCCCACCTCCGTGAGTGTTGTTTCTGTTAATTGTATCAAGCTTAGGTAGTTTTTTAGTTTGCCTGTGTATTTTGTGTTTCCCCCTCCCCCAGTGAACACAAAGGCAGCACAACTGTGTGGCCACTAATCATGGAGCACCTGCTGAGTGCAGCTGATGCAGATCAGTAATCAGCAGGTTATATAGGTGGGAAGCTGGCAGCAGCATGTTGCCAGAACATCATTGTTCTTTGTCCTGTGAAGAAGTCCCTGTTTTTATCCTTAGCCTGACCTGTGAATTAGATTTAGAGACATTCATTCTCCCAGCATTTTAGTTTAGTGTCATTTTTCTCTCAGAGAGAATGACTTTGAGTTGTTTAGAGTTTGTGTTTTCAGTCAGTTTTGAACTTAGTTGTGTTTGTTTGCAAGTCTGCTTCCAGGTCTTCCAGGCATCATTAAGGGCGGACAGCAGTTTGAGAACATTCAGCAATTATATTTGTAGCGATTTGAATTCAAAATAAATGTCCTAAAATAATAGAATATTATTTATGCAATAGTTCTTCCCCATGCCCGCCCGTCTGGCAGCGAATTAAACTTAACTTGATCTTAAGAGCGAGCTAGATCTAATTTACTCACTCACTATGATTAAAGCCGTTTATAAAATCACATACGACCACATTTCACTTCATTGTTTCTTATGAGCAGATGCATTAGACCATAATATTCAACCAAAAGAAACTTTGATCAGCCGTTTTCTTGATAATCTATAACCAGAGGATTAACGACTCTTTGAAAGTTAGAGGGGGACAGAAAATCAAATTATCTATTCGAACAGAAACACCATCAAGCATAAGAAACACATACGGGATGATACTTAACAATATAACCTTGTCAATCGATACTTCGTAAATGATTAACATATATATTCGGGTGAGGTAGATAAAACATAGCATTTATACATTCAAACACTCTTAACTCGAGTATAAAAGAGTTTCCAGTTACTACTTCTAAAATTGCTAACCTATCTTGAGAATACCATTTACTAAACTACGAAGTATATAAAAGAAATGCACATAACTAAATTCAATGAATACATTTTTGGTTCTGACCAAACCATATTCAGACAACACCACTAGGAGGAACTCTTGGTCCATGGAAAACCTGGAATAAATTTGTGAAGTTAACAGTTTGGCTTGTAGACATGCTAGACAAATGGGACAAAGACTGTTTCATTGATGATGTGGTGTACAGATAGAAAATCATGGTGAAGTGTCCATTAACCCTTGTACCTTCTTTCCTCAGAATCCCTAATCTGGTATTAGTGGCACGGAACTGCCACTGTCACTTAGTGGCCTGTAAAATCATCTATAAATGAAAAGTTGCCCTTTTTTTATCATGGCTGTCATCAGTGACTTCTGCTCTAACCACTCAAAAGAAAAAATCACTCAGTTTCAAACTTTTAACCCTTTTAATTTAAGTCTAAACACACCGTAAAAAATGCTCAAAATTTTAAAAAGTGGTAAAAAATAATAAGAGTATTGCAAAATCAAATTTCTATGTGCAAGATTATCAGAACCTATGAGTGGTATAAGTATGTGTAAAATTAGTTTTAGTTGCAGTTTCAGTTTTTGTGTCACAGCAGAAAATTAAAAAAAAACGACTAATCTGGCATTAGTGGCACGGAACTGCCACTGTCACTTAGTGGCCTATTAAATCATCTATAAATGAAAAGTTGCCCTTTTTTTATTATGGCTGTCATCAGTGACTTCTCAAGATCATGCGCGTGCACAAACATTTGCACACGAACACACACGACCATGCACACATGGAAAACACTAACACATGAAAAAAAATACATGCACACCTGATTTATTCACTTCTACAGTCCACTTTTGTTTTTTTTGCAAAAAATGGCCTCTCACTGAAGGCCAATAACTGATATGAAAACAAATGAAATTTCAGCATTCATGATTTGAAAAAGTTGGATTGGAAATAGACTCAAGATAAAATGCAAAAAAATGGGGGGTAAAATCTGATTTGAACTCTTGTGGCAGTATATTACAAACAGGTAGCAGATTTTCCTTCCAAAAGACTGCATCTATCATAGGCTGTAGTTTACGGGTGTGTCAAACTGACCAAAATGGTAAAAAAAACAAAAAAACACCAGAATAACAAATTTGAGACAGTTTCATGCCCAAATAAAGTAAAATGGTAAAAATAAAATAAAAAATTGCTTCCTTTTATTAGTGATAAAGTTATGTGCATTTTTTGATTTTTGAATATTGTAATTTTTGCCAAATTCCCATAAGGAATAATGGGGTTTTGACCACCTGGCTAGATCAGCCTCTATTATTCATGAAAAAAAAGGTGCACCTTGTGGCTGAAAGTGCACAGTGCCTCTTTAATGTCTTCTGAAAAGGGGGAAAACAGTCTTTGCTGAAATTCATTTTTTCCCACTGATATGGGTATATGTAAAAGACAAGTGGTTTCCCATTGGAATGCATGGGGCACTTGTGTGGCGCTAAGGCAAGATTAAGCATATTTGAAAAAAAAACACATAACCATAGGGTTTTTTTTCTTCAATTTCACGTATATCATGCCTCATCACAAAATACACATTTTCTAGGAATTTCTTTGCAAGGGCATTAATAGAAAAAAAGTTGTAGCATCAAAGACAAGGCCTCACCCCTCCAGAAACCTTAAGAAGGTACAAGGGTTAAACCTTTTCCCTATACTTGTCCTCCACCATGGCTTTCAAAGCCTAACGGAAACAAGCGAATGCTGTCAGATTGGCAAATATGAGGAAATGAGGAAAAATGCCTCATGATCACATACGCACCTGCCATGTGGGGAGAACATAGCCAGGTTTCAAAGCTTGAGCAAGCTTTTAGAACCTTTTGTCCTCCACAATAGTGAAGGGCTGGGAATTCTCAACAACCATGGTGGCCAAGGCCTCATCCACCTCACTCCTCCCTACTGAAAGAGAATGCTATATTTTGTTATAGATGTCATTAATTAGCCACATTTAATGTACAAGTTAATTTTGACTAATAAAAACAAAGCCTACCATGTTATTTTATGTTTGCATACTGTCATATCATTACCTAAAATGCCTTACCTGAGCTTGGTCGACCCTGGCTGTCTCCCTGTTCTCATGCAAGGCCTGATAATGCCTCAGCATAGATGAGGTGTTGTTGTTGTATCCCATTTCCTTGGCACAAAATAGACACTTCACCTATTAAAATGAGAGGACAGACATACCAGTCACATGGTACGGCTGACTAACGAGGCTCTGGATGTCATCACATACATCACCAACACAAGCTTCAATACCCGCTTCACCAAAGATTTCCTGCATTACTCGACACACCCATCGAGGCCTTGACACTGAAGGAGCCATCACTAGTATTCAGAACCAATTTTGACTCGCACTATCAAGACTGTCACAGTCAAGAGTGAAAATAAAAGGACTTAAAGCGCTCAAATGCAGAACAAAAAAATATATATACATTTAAAAAATAAATAAATAAGGAGCAATAAAAACTTACTTTCAAAATAGTCCAACCAAAAGAAACCCCAAAGGCAAAAACACAAGGAGCAAAATCCAAGGAACAAAAAAACAAAAACACAAAATCCAACAAAAGACACAGAGGAAAATATTCCATGGCATGCTTGCATGCAGACTTACAACACACCACACTATGAACCAACAGAGCAACAGGGGAAGACAAGGACTATATATACACAGGGAAACAAGCAACGAGAGGCAGGTGAGGCACTAAGACACAGGTGCAGACAATCACAGAGGAGGGAAAACTGAGGAAGTAAAACAAGACGGGGAATAAGCTACTACAAAATAAAACAGGAAACACTGAAATCTAATAGAGAATAGAACTCTGAGAACATGAGGGAAACCGGGTCACACACAAACTGAAAACTCACAAGACAGGACTACAGGGGAACAGGAACCTTGGGGAGCAGAAACACTAGGGAAAATCACGAAGAAAATACACTTGGATAATGAAAACCAGGGGAAAACTAAATACCAGAACATATCATGGCACACACAAAGTGTCCTGGACATGTCAAAAGCATCCTGTAGGCGACAGAGAGCCTGATGTTGAGCAGGAGCAGAGCAGTAAAAGACACTGTCATCAGCATATAAATGAACATTTACATTGGGAACATTTTCGACAACATCAATCAACAAAGAAACAAAAGTTCCTGCTTAAATTCCTCACTGGAGCTTTACAAGAAAAAACTTAACATACTCAGTCTCTTTCTGTCTCTCTCATGTCATCCCCACGAAAGCAAAAGTACACATCCAATCAGAAACAGAGTAATAGTTCACAGTGTTGATTGAAGATGTAATTAGTTTAGTTTAATACACTTTTGAAACTTTACTTATAATTTGTGCCCTCGACATATTGTTCCACATGAAAGGCAGGCGACACAATTACAGGAATGAAAGAAAAGCACTGTGGGTACAGATGAGGGAACAGAGGGAGAAGAGGAGTCTGATCGCTCATAATTATCTGTAATTTGCCTAAAGGTTCACCAGAGAGAGGGGCAGATATAAATTATGATTGAAATTAACTTCCCATTAGAAACTTTATTGAAAAATATGATGCTGAGTGTTTTTAATGTAACACGTATACTCATTCAGACCCATGTAATTAGAAGGGTCACCATCATATTACAGCAATAATCTGATCAGTCTTTATCATTTCATCCTTGGCAGCCTCCTGTCTTGTCTTCAGTGCAGTTCTCTCCTGATCACGTGTTTTTCTTCTGTGCTTGCTCCAGTTCTATAGATGTTTTCAAGCCCTGCTGCGCTGTGAGACTCCTCGACGAGGCTCCAGCGTAAAGAGCTCCTCCAAGGTTGCCACCAAGGCCATGAAGGGCGTAGCAGTCACCAGCCCCAGACGCACCAACGACTTCCTATTTATGGTAGCCTCACTGGGTCAACCGGCCACCACCATTCCCCAGCTGGGACCCTCTTATGAACCCACTATTGATGTCACCAGACCGCCGTCTTCAGACATAAACAAACCTGTCATCGTATCACTCGTGACCCACTTTGATGGCTGATTGTTGGCTACTGGATGAACTCTCTACACCCCCTGCCAGGAAACCATTAATAATGAGAGAGGCTGTGTTACCAGGGCTCGGAGAGCCGCAGCCTGCCAGTCCAAGTGGATTTAACACAGCTGTTGCGTCAGCTCAGCTCTGACTGGATGAAGGGCCAGTAACAAAGGCAAACTCTCAGATTGTCTTTTGACAGTCAGTGTGAGCAGAAACCAGCGGTAGAAGCTAACAGTCTGTGTTTTCCTGCAGATACAAGCGCTTGTCCGTCTTTCTAGGAATGAACATATAAAAAAAATGTTCTTTACACAGTTTGAATTAAACACAGTCAGACTGTTATGGAGATAGAGGAGGAATAAAGGAATCATTTATTTTTGTGCAATGTCTTCAGTTAGGTATTCATTCATAAACCCTTTTCATTAAGAGGTGTTCAGGGAGCCTAAAGAAGGATTAAATGTATTTTTGTACTGAACAGTTACTGATTGGCAAAACAAAAGCAGGTTGAAGAACTGATGAGGTGAATAAGCTAAAACACTTTGATGTTTCTTTGGAGATCAAATGGACAAGAATTGACAAACAGGAATGCACTGAAAAGGATTTAGAGTGAGACTCATTTAAGCTATTAGACCCTGCCAGTGTTTTTAATTTATCGCATCACTCGTCACTTTGAAATGTAAATATAGTTTAACATTGGGCATTTTTGTAGGCTTTTTTAGGGATATGTAGCATCGGTAGCACCCTAGCATCCTAAATATTTTCAGGAATTGTGAATTTAAGGTCAAAGAAACGTGCATGTTGAAGATTACGATCGAGTTCCTTCAGTAATGACTGTGCATGTGCACTAATGCGGTTATGTTCAGTGAATCACAGATACTTGGTATCTACAAAACTCTGAACTTTACTGCCTTTGATTATAATTTCATGAGTTTTGATCTGGAATTCCCAACTCTACTTACAACAATCAAGTCAACAGACCATATTTCTGTGGTGGCTATGTTTCTGTGATTTTACACTCAGGATTGTTTTCATATTTTACTGTTCCAAGTTGTGCGTCATCAAAATGTGGAGGATCGGAAAAATATTTTCACGTTGTTACTTCCTTATCGACCAGAAACTGCTAAAATGATGGAAAACAAGAATACAGAGACATCCAGCCATTTTTCAACTGAAAAAAATACTTTCAATCACTCATTAGCTACTATTACAGCGCAGCTTACATTCAATGATATCCAAGGAAACATTAAATTTCAACTAAGCAGATGTGTATAGATGTCTGCACATAATGCTGCAGCTCACATGAGCACATGATCATTTTCCAAGCTAGCATTTACACTTGAAGGAAGAGGTGTGTAAAGATGGTATCCATGTGACATCGCAGTTGGTGGAGTCAATGGGCACGAAGCGAGAAACATTTTGCAGAATTTAGCCAGTTAAGAGCCAGAAAACACAGAAACTTCTTAATTCTGAGCTGACGGGTTGTACAACTGAGCAAAATCAAGAATTTATACTACTGATCCTTCAATCAGAGTGGTGTGTGTGTGTGTGTGTGTGTGTGTGTGCGTCACAAATCTTGCTTTCTTGAAACTGGCTAAATCACCATGCAAGTGAGAATTAACTTAGCAAAGCTTTAAATAGAAATGGAGTTTCAGCTTTAAACAGGCAAAAAGAAGTTCCATGCTATCACCTATTATCACATGAGCACTTCGGGGAGAAATAAATTATGAGACAGATACATTTGAAACTGTGATTTTATGTGAACAGAGCCACGGAACAAAGACCTCCTTTTACAGTAGCTCAAAGCCTCAGCTCGTGATGGACATAACCTGAACTCCAGTCCTCCACCTTTCCTTTTCAAGTTAATTCTTTACACCTCAACAGATTGAAGTGAAATACTGATCACAGCATCATGAAACTTGTTCTGAAGCTTTTCTGTCCAAATTATCCCTAGAGGAATTAATAACATTGTTTGAATTGAATTAATTACAGATTAAACCAAATCAATAATTACTAAGACAAACATTTATTAAGATAATTTTGTTTATCTTAAAAAATCTTATAAAGTGACCGCATCAGATTCAACTGTCCGTACTGCCAAAATCACGTTTATCAGCTTTACATAAAATACTTTTTCTGTGTGTAGATATAAAATTAGAAATAAGAGCCAATGAAAGTTTACAAGGGTGAAGATCAATGTATCAGTGTTCTAAATAACGGGATCATTTCCTTCAGGCTCGGCTTTGTGTGCTTTCTCAGCCTATAAATCAGGCAAATATAAATGTCAGGAAACTCGATTTCTTTCAACAGGTTACTGCATTTTTGGTGAACTGTAGGAATCTCTGTTAACTTCAACTGCTTTTATATGAGCAAACATTTCTGTTACTGTTGTTTTCTTAATTGAAAGCAGTTGTGTAGCAGGATGTTTGTCCCTTTTGTCTATAGAAGGTGGAATGATATTAACTCACTGCATTCACGTTTATATTGTGTCTGTAGGAGCGCCCACACTACAGTAAGCACAGGGGAGGAGGGGTTGACCACATTGTGAGGATCTGTTGTGTTTTAACAACTCTGATCCGACCACCTCAAACTCTTTCTTTTATAACTGCCTCTGTATTAAAAACAAGCCAGTCTGTAGCTCAGGTAGCCGTTGACTATCACAATCCATTTATCCTCCATTTAACAGATTAATGAATAATCCTCTTGGAAAGGAAAAAAGGGGAATAGGCTGACACAAATTCATAACAAAGGCTATCAATTTGTGCTAGTTGTTTTTTTTGTAAATAAATACTGAATAAAAACTGGTGATTTTGTGTTCACACCAAATGCGAATAAAAGCATTAGTATGAGCGAACATACCTGCCTGTCTGTTGTTGGCATACATCTCCAGGGACAGTCCATACTGTTTGATGGTTATCAATCTCTCTTAACTCTTAACCTTTTAAACTCTTCACAAATTTTATCAAATTATACTTGTAAAATAAAAGTGAGCAATGCATTGAACACGTCATGTTTGTGTCATTTGCACTTCTATCCAAAAAGTCTCATCTGATCTTGACTTTACATTGACTTTACAAGTTGTTCGCTCATACTCATGCTTTTATTTGCATTTGGTGTAAACACAAAATCACCTGTCTTTATTCAGTATTTATTTTCAAAAAACACAACTAGCTCAAATTGATAGCCTCTGTTATGAATTTGCATCAGCCTATTCTTCTTTACTTCTCCAAGAGGATTATTTGACACCCTTTCCTTTTGTACCCTAAGTGAATGAATGTCAATTTTAGCTGTGTTTTAATAGTAGCTAGAGGTTAACAAATGCAGTTTCTGACTTAAATTTTACCATCTAAAGTCTTAGCAGTAAAAAAAGGAACAACTCATCAGATTTTCAACATTACATGACTAACAACCTGGAGCAGAGCATTGCGAAACATCTGAGCTTCTCAACCTGAGCGTTGCATCAGAGGAACGTGGCCTCCTTAAGGACATGGTCTGTTGTCTTTAAAATGTGCTCCAAAGGCTGGAGGTCAAACCCCCTTGAATGTTACAATATCAAAATACAACAGTTTGCAAGTTTACAGTGTTGAACAGTTTTCAAAAACAAAATATAATATTCTTAAGCATCCCCGGATCAAAACAAAGAGGCAGCAAATATCTTTGAGAAGGAACAGTTGGTTCTGTATATATCGATTGCCATGTGCTTGTCTGCATCTTGTTCGCTTTTTTGATGACTGGTTTGACTTTTATTTTTTTTGTCTTGCAATACAAAGAAACTGGGTTTTCTGAGAGCAGTGCATCAGTGCTGTGTTGTTAGTGAATGTCTAAGCTATAAGTGGTGTGGTACTTTTGAATACTGCATACAACTACAGTCTGTGCAGTTTTTGTAATTCACTTTGAGCACACTGACTGTTTTCTATGTGCTGTTAAAATCTTGTATACGTTCATGTACAGGAGTTGATACCAAAGCTAAAGATGTTTTTAATATTTTTTGAGAAGTGCTGTTCAATAAAGTTTTGAGTCTAAATAAATATGTTGTTTTTATTCGATAGAAGCTTGTCAAGAAAGGAGCAACATTCAACCCAGCGAGCATTTTGAGGTTGATTATACGTCTAATATACGTCTATATTTAGACTAGACGTCTAGTCTAAATTTGGTATAACAGAGGTATAGAAATGAAAGTTTTTCCAACGTCGAAATTTATACGTTTTTTCAACGTCGAACTATATACGTTTTTTACACGTTTTGATTTATACGTTATTTAAACGTGTTTGTTCTTCATTGTTCCGTCTATAACGTTGAAATGACGTCCAATAGACGTTTTCATTTAAACGTCTTTATGTTAGACGTTCATGCTTCAACCAAATATAAACCCCGGTATAGACATAGACGTTGATTAAACGTTTATTAAACATCTGGTCTAAATCGGCCGACCCGGCGGGGACTGGGCAAGCCTCCCCGCGCGCGGACGGTCCCGGCAGCGGCGGCCGCTGGAGCCCGCAGGTCCCCGGTCAGCCTACGGAGCCGACCGAACGAGTCTACTAAACTTTCATTTCTATACCACTGTTAAACCATTATTAGACTACAGGTCCAACGGACGCCTAAAGGCACAATCATTTCTTGTTAATATTTTAATAAATTTGCTAGATATAAACAATGCATATTACCATAAGCATCTGATATATGTAAATTGAAGAAAATATTCACAGGAAACACGTGTAACAACATATAAATCAAAACGTTTAAACAACGTATAAGTTTCGACGTTGAAAAAATTTTCATTTCTATACCTCTGTTATACCAAATTTAGACTAGACGTCTAGTCTAAATTTAAACGTATCTTAGACGTATAATCAACCTCAAAATGCTCACTGGTACCATCTGTAGAGCCAGATTCTCAACACCAAAAGATACCTGCTGCTTACCTTGATACACATACTCCCAGGATGTTCTAATTTGGCAATGTTGCTTCTCTTCCTGGACCTTTTAGAATATTTAGCTTCTACAGTCATGCTCATTCATAATTTAACACTGATCTACATTTGGCAACGATCAGTCCACTGTAATTGAAATCGCAGTACATTTTTCACTCAGAATATAACCATTACAGTCATGGAGTGGGAAAAACATTTTTTTAATTTCACATCTAATAAAATGAACATTTAAAAAAGAAAAAAATCTATAAATCTATATACAAAGTATGAACAAGAACAACAACATACAGAAAAATTTAACTAACACTAATACTGAAATGAACTATATTAACAATTTTAAGATGTATTTAAAAAAAAAAGAATTAGCAGGGTGGTGTTGTGGTGGTGCCCCTCCCACCTCGTCGAGCTGGCGCTTGCTTTAAATGGTCCCCAATCGATGCTCTGAACAGTTCCTCCGTTGCAGTCGGGAAGTTGATGCGAACATTCTGCAAAAAGGAAAAAAAAAAAAGAAACTTGAATCATAGTAAGTGTAGAAATTATCTAGTATTGTCCAGAAGGATTCTTCACTTTTTTACAGCTTCAGGCTTTGAATGAGTCAGTAACATGACCAAGAATAAGTAATAACTTGCAGAGATATAATTTATTTACCAAGAACAACTGCAAAGAAAGCCGTTCTCTTCAAGCTTTTCTTCCCCTGGCGTCCTCCCCCCAGGAGGTTGTAATTCCTCTGAACATCATTGTGTAAAATTCTGAAATGGATATCCATGACAAATAAATCTCTTAAGGTGCGTTCACACCGGACAGGCGATGCAACTTGTCGCGTCTCGAGGGGACGTTGCGTCACGTGTCCTTA